CTTTCTCTTGCCCAGGGGCGTAACACAGCTGCAGAATACGCCTTGTCATTTCGCACTCTCGCCGCTCAAACTAACTGGGTTGAAGACACACTGAAGACACTATTCAGACGGGGTCTGACTGCCACTCTGCAATCTGAATTGGCTTGCCGTGACGAAGGAAAGAAATTGAACGAACTCATTGAACTTACCATCAGTCTTGATCATCTGATTCGCAGTCGTAGAAATCCTCGCACACAGCTCCACGTTTCAGGGGACACGCCCCCTGATGAACCCATGCAACTGGGTTTCACCCGTCTTACCCATGAGGAAAGAATGCACCGATTGCAAAATCATCTATGCCTGTACTGTGGCCAATCAGGGCACAGGAAATCCACCTGCAGCGTACGGCCTCATACCCCAGTTCAATCGGTGAGTCCTTCCCATGTTCCAGCACTTTTCAGTGTACTGATTCCTGTAATTATTAAATTTGATAAAAGAATGATTAATACCACGGCTCTTGTCGACTCTGGGTCTGCCGGAAACTTTATATCTAAGAAATTTGCTTTAAATCACGAACTATCTCTCAGCTCATATGATTCCTGTCTTGCAGTGGAAGCATTAGACGGTCGTCCTGTGGGTGAAGGACGCATCCGTATGATCACGAATAAGCTACAGTTACAAGTTGGTGTTCTACACATTGAAGAAATGCAATTCTACATTATTGATTCAGTTAATCATCCACTGGTATTGGGACTGCCATGGTTACGACGACATGATCCTCATATCTCCTGGAGGGACGGACAGATATTGCAGTGGAGTGAGTCATGCATGAAACAGTGCATCCAGCCCATTCACAAGATTCCATTGCGAACCACCAATATGTTACCTGAACTCGTTGATGAACGAATCCCCATTGAGTACCATGACTTACATGAAGCTTTTAGCAAACAAAAAGCTACTCAACTTCCCCCACATCGACCAAGCGATTGTGCTATTGAATTAATTCCAGGCTCCAGTCCTCCAACGGGTCGAATATTTCCTCTGTCACAACCTGAGCACAAGGCAATGTCTGAATATATCGACGAGGAATTGGCCAAAGGTTTCATTCGACCTTCTACATCTCCTGCTTCAGCTGGATTCTTCTTTGTAAAGAAGAAAGATGGCAGTTTACGTCCCTGTATTGATTACCGAGGGCTCAATGAAATCCCCGTAAAATTCCGCTATCCATTACCCCTCGTACCTCCTGCCCTGGAACAATTAAGAAAGGCTAGATATTATACCAAGCTTGACCTTCGCAGTGCATACAACCTGGTCAGAATCCGTGCCGGTGACGAGTGGAAGACTGCGTTTTCCACCACTAGGGGGCACTACGAGTACACGGTAATGCTTTCGGCCTGTCAAACTGTCCGTCCGTGTTCCAATCCTTTATGAATGATGTCTTTCGGGATATGCTGGATCGCTGGGTAATCATTTACATTGACGACATCCTGATATATTCAAACACGATGGAGGAACATGTTGAACATGTACATATGGTGTTGCAACGCATGATTCAACATCGTCTGTACGCCAAATTAGAGAAGTGTGAGTTTCACCAGACACAGATCGCCTTTTTGGGATACGTCATCAGTGCAGAAGGGGTTACTATGGATGACACGAAAGTACAGGCAGTTCAACAATGGCCGTTAGCCCAGAATCTCAAGGAGTTGCAGCGATTTCTAGGTTTTGCCAACTTCTATAGACGGTTTATCAGAGGCTTTAGTTCAATAGCCGCACCGTTAACAGCCATGACCAAACGAAACTCCCACAAATTAACCTGGTCCTCTGAAGCATGCCAAGCATTTAGTGATCTGAAGACTCAATTCACCACAGCTCCTATTCTCCGTCATCCCAACCCAGACCTACCTTTCATTGTGGAAGTGGATGCATCCAACACAGGAGTCGGGGCGGTGTTATCCCAACGTCAGGGTCAGCCATCCAAAATGTATCCATGTGCCTTCTTCTCCCGTAAATTGACCAGCGCAGAACGAAATTATGATGTGGGAAATCGCGAATTACTGGCAATGAAATTAGCCCTGGAAGAATGGAGACACTGGCTGGAGGGAGCTAGTCAGCAATTCACCATCTTAACTGATCACAAGAATCTGGAATATCTCCGCTCAGCCAAACGTCTAAATCCCAGACAAGCTCGTTGGGCTTTGTTCTTCACCAGATTCAACTTCATTGTCATCTATAGACCAGGGAGTAAAAATGGTAAGGCAGATGCACTATCCAGGCTATCAGAAGATAAACCCACAATTAGTGATGAAACCATTCTTCCCACAAACTTATTAGTGGCTCCAGTACAGTGGGACATACTTACCGAGATCCAAGAGGCAAACCGAGAAAACAACCCTCCAGTAGACTGTCCGAATCACCTAATTTTTGTACCCAATAACATACGTACCAGATTATTGACCCATGTTCATGACACTCCCAGCTCGGGGCATCCAGGCATCACTGCAACCTTGGAGTTAGTCAAAGCTCGTTTCTGGTGGCCGTCTCTCACGAAGGATGTGATTAATTATGTTCAGAAATGTAAAATTTGTCAAACAACGAAGGCATCTCACCAAACCCCTGCTGGCTTATTACAACTGCTACCTGTTCCTCAACGGCCCTGGTCCCATATAGCGGTGGACTTTATCACGGATCTTCCTGTTTCCCAGAACAACACAGTCATTCTCACGGTGGTTGATCGTTTCTCCAAGGCTTGTCGCCTAATACCATTGCCCAAATTGCCCTCTGCCTTTGAAACCGCAGAAGCCCTGTGCAATCATGTATTTCGAATGTTTGGCTTACCTGATGATATCGTCTCAGACAGAGGATCCCAATTCACCTCCCGGGTATGGTCCGCTCTCTGTAAAAATCTAAATATTAATGTTAACCTCACCTCAGGGTACCATCCTCAATCCAACGGTCAAACTGAACGAATGAATCAAGAAGTCATCCGATTTCTACGTTCCTACTGTCATCAGCAACAGCACGACTGGAGCCGGTATCTGATGTGGGCCGAGTATGCACAAAATTCCTTGATAAAGCCAGCTACGGGTATCACTCCATTTAAATGTATTCTCGGCTACCAACCACCTCTGTTTCCATGGTCTGGAGAACCTACTGAGCTACCTGCGGTCACAGATTGGTTGCAACGGAGTGAGGAGGTCTGGAATCAGGCTCACAGACACCTCATGAGAGCAGTCAGGAGGAGGGAGATTCAAGCGAACCGTCATCGACGCCAGGGACCCACGTATGAACCGGGGCAGTGGGTGTGGTTATCGACACGGGACCTTCGTTTGAGATTACCCTGCCGCAAACTCAGTCCCAGGTATGTAGGGCCATTCAAAATATTACGCCAGATTACTCCAGTGTCTTTCCGCTTAGCCTTGCCTAATCATTATCGTATTTCTCCCACTTTTCACATGTCATTACTCAAACCCGCTGGTGGTCCACGAGAGGAGACGGTTGAGGAGGAATCGGAAACCAGGACCCCCTCACCTGTCATGATCGAGGGCGAAAAAGCCTATCTTGTTCGAGAAGTGCTGGACTCTCGACGCCGGGGTGGCGCCCTCCAATATCTGGTGGACTGGGAAGGGTATGGTCCAGAGGAACGGTCCTGGGTGAATGCTAGGGATATCCTAGACCCAACTCTCACAGAAGAGTTTCATCAGAGGTTCCCAGAGAAACCAGCTCCCCGACAGCGCGGTAGACCCCGGCGTCAGGTGCCTTCTCGCTTCAGGAGCCGCTCGCAGGAGGGGGGTTCTGTTGTAAATGAGGGCGATGCCGATCCTCTTGTGCACCGCCCGAATTCTAATTCGACTCACGGACTCAAAATCCCACAAGCCCTGCTACCTGGCACTGATTGCGGTCCAGGTGCAGCTCATCAACTCCCGTGTATATATACCGCACTCACGCTCTGGTTCATTGCCAAGTCTTGATTTGCCTGGCTGTCATTTCTGAGCGTTCCATACTCCCTGCTTCGGACTGATCTGTGTTTCGGACCCTGTGCTTGTTCTACGATTACGAAAGACATCTGCCTGCCCCTGATCTCCAGCCTGTTATTCTGACCAGTAAGATATCTGCCTGCCTTTGAACTTTTGCCTGTCCCTCGTTCTGTCTCCTGGATTGCCCCTTTGTGTTTGTTTGTATGTGTGCTTTTAATAAAGCTTGCAAATGGATTCAATGCCTTCTGACTCATCACAACAGTTATTCTGACCAATTACCATTTTCTGGAAAAAAATCTCCAAATGACAGATTTACAAACAAATTGTGTTATTTTTTACTCAAATCCAAAATGAATAAATCTAGCAAGTACACAGAAACCGCAGAATATTCAAGCATACTGTTAATTTGCTTTCCATTTCTGCATATATAAGTCAGCTTTATTAGACTTTGATTTTTGTTTTCTTTTTTAAATAAATATTTCCCAAATGATGTTTAACAGAGCAAGGTATTTTTCACAGTATGTCTGATAAAATTTTTTCTTCTGAAGAAAGTCTTATTTGTTTTATTTCAGCTAGAATAAAAGCCGTTTTTCATTTTTAAACACCATTTTAAGGTCAAAATTATTAGCCCCTTTAAGCTATGTTTTTTTGGTAGTCCACAGAACAAATCATTGCTATACAATAACTTGCCTAATTACCCTAACCTGCTTAGTTAACCTAATTAACCTAGTTAAGTCTTTAAATGTCACTTTAAGTTGTATAGAAGTGTCTTGAAAAAATATCTAGTCAAATATGATTTACTGTTATCATGGTAAAGATAAAATAAATCTGTTATTAGAAATGAGCTATTAAAATTATTATGTTTTGAAATGTGTTGAAAAAAAAACATTTCTCTCTGTTAAACAGAAATGGGGAAAAATAAACAGGGGGGCTAATAATTCTGACTTCAACTGGATACTACAATAATAATTAAAAAAAAAAAAACATCATAAAACATTACATAACATGCAAAGCATTTAGAAAACTCCAAAGACCCAGTAACCATTGGGGCTTTACACATTTTATTTCTTTTTCTCCAGGGAACAGCTCTGCTAGCCTATATAATAACCACAGTAATTATTTGGTTTTATTACAACATTACATCTTCAGTAAGTAATTAAAACGCACGCACGCACGCACGCACGCACACACACACACACACACACACACACACACACACACACACACACACACTATATATATATATATATTGTAAACGCAGCCATTTAAAAAATATTTCTTAATTATTTTCCTATCAGAAGAAGTCATTCTATGAAATATCACAAACAGAATGGTAAAACTAAATATTTACATATAATTTAAAATGTGTGATCATAGAACATTACATTTAGTTCAACAACAAACAAATACACATTTACACTGTACAGAACAAAAGGTGAAATTGCAGTGAAGTAAATATTTTCGCTAATACACCCTGTGACTGGCTGATACAAGTGACGTGCACCAGTGTAACTGCCATATTCAGCCACAAGGTGGCAGGGCTTTATTCATCATTGAGATCTCGACAAGCAATGGCGCTCATATGTTATTATAGCTATTATGAAACACTACAAAATACCACAACATGTAACAAATAAACATTCATTATGAATGCACTTTTCAAACATGACCTGTTGCTAATAAAACAAGCTTGTTAGAACAACAAAACTTAAAGGATGGTTCATCTAAAAATCTAAACTTACTAAGCATATACTCACTCTAATTGTTACAAACTTATATGTTTCTTATTTTCGGATGAACATAAAATACGATGTTTTGAAGAATGTTGGTAACCTTTAAGTCTAGGGGACCAACAATGATTTGGTTAACAACATCAAAATATCCTCTTTTGTGCTCAGCGGGAAAAAAAGAGACACATACAGTGTCCTGCACAGGTCAGATATAAAACTCTTGCTCATCCTCCACAGTGCCTTCTTGACTACACTCATCCATTGGTGTAAAGCCATTGCTTTTGTGCTGTCCTCTGTCTGGCTGTGAAACACAAACACTATTTGGCTTTGGTTTGTTTAATACACAAGGTGTGAATTTTGTAGAGATGCTTTGTGCTCTAGGAGGAGCAGGAGTCTGTCTCATGTAGCAGGAGTTATTATACATAAGGTCAGCAAAGTCAGGACCTGTATCTGTTGGAGGAGCAGATTTGGGCCGTGGTGCCGGGGCCTTTAAATGAGGCCTCAGCTTTGGTTGGGTATAACCTGAAACCACTGAAAGGTCCACAGAGCTGCCGCTGATGGTTTGTCCTGTGTCCACATCTGTCTCTTCAGCTCCTACCAGTGTATCGACATTGACACGAAAGAGTGGAGCTGCCATAGATGAGAAGCAGCGAGGACGAAAGCCTAACGGGGAGGCACAGGAGGAGCGGGACTCATCTGTGTGCAGAGAAAAAAGGGACTGTGTGCGGTGACTTGCCCATCCGGCCCGTAACAGCTCCACATCCTTCTGTAGACGCTCCATGTGGACGTCCTGCTCACACAGCACCGGCGGAGCCATCCTAGAAGAATGAGATCCCGGAGAGGGAAGTGTCTGAGAGCGCAAGCGCGAGGAGTTTCGGTGGTATCTGCGATTACGGTAGGAAGCGGGTCCGCGGCCATATGGTGGAGGAGGTGGAGGAGGCTCAGGTGGAGGAGGGCAGGTCACCGAAGGATCATCAGATGGAAGATGATAGAACTTTGCAATGGTGTGCTTGCGGAAACACCGTGAACCTTGAACCTGACAAAGTCAAAATCATACAATTCAGTTAAGAGACCATTTATGCAATTCATAATACGCATTTATTTTCATTAAAGAGCAAATTTTATTACAGTATTTAAAAAATATGTCATCCTGTAAATTCTATTTTAAAAAAAAGCTTTGTGTAATGAAATTTATTTAAAACAAGCAAAACAAATGTATAGTTTTTACTTTGAATGAATTGGTTTAGGCTTGAAGTTATTAAAAAAAGTTTTTATAGTAAATGCCACATTCATTTATGTTTGTCTTCATGGCTACTGGTAAATATACCTTAACCCCTTAACAGTCACCAGCACTCAAGCAGGATGTTATACAGATTTGAACCTAAACCTAGGTTAGTATAAACTTTAACTTATTCTAAACTCTGTACAATATGCACATATTACCTATACTTTTCAAATGTAAACTCCAAATGTCGGGGAGCAACAATAAAAAAAACAAATAAATGGATAAAAAACAGGGCCTTTTGTATAAGTAAATATTTAAAACTACATGAACTGCATGAATTAACAAATGATCTATTATGATACATTGGGTAGCCACATGACAATTTAATGAGTAAAACCAACTGCTTAATTGGCAGGCTTGATTAACCTTTAATCATTTCCTGTTTGAAAAATATTAATAAATAACTAGTTTCACAATAAACAAAAATAAAAACAGAGAGAAAGAAATCCATGTTCCTGCAACTGGCAAACAAAACACAATGTGGGAATGTGGCTTTGATAAGGTAACTGTATACCTGTGTGTTTTTTGTGTGAATGAGAGAGAGAGTGAGAGAGAGATTCAGAAAACTTAAAGGCATTGGTGAGTGTGTGTTCATGAGGGTAACAAAGTTCTACTGTTTTCTGCTTCACACCTCACTGCACATTTCCTCCATCACTCTACCTCTCCCTACATTTCCCCTCTTTTTTTTTGGTTTTCCATCCATCTTTGAACCTTTCAATACTTCTTTTTTCCTATTTCACTTATACATTTTCCACATTCATATGTTGATCTCGTTTTGCTTGCCATTGTGTTGTTTCTGCATGTACTATATCTTCCTCTGTGTATAGTATATATTTTAATTTTCAGTATATGGTTCCTCTTTTGGCCACAGCATGGGTTAAAAATGAACTCTAGTTAGGCACCAAATGTAAGTAATAACCACGTTGCAGAAATTAAAACATGGAAATGCAACAAAATGCATTATGTAAAAGTGAAAGTGTAACACGACAGCATTTTATATACAACCCCAAATCAGAAAAAGGGACAGTATGAAAAAGCAACTACAAAAAGAAAGTAGTGATTTCTAAATTTATTTCGACTTGTTTTTCATTGCAGACAATACAACGAACACTATTTAATGTGTTTCTTGTTATTTATCATTGTTTAAAAGTATAATTCAAGAGTTCACACTTAGCTGATGATTGTTTATACAGCTAGTTTGGCATACTGTCCCGGGAGAGAGCTCTGAGCTCATAAGATCCTCGAGCTGGGGCTCCCTCCTGTTTGCAAGGCTAGAGGGGAGTTTGAGCTCAGGTAGATCTCGAGAACTCCCCTGCTGTAGTAGCTAATGAACAGAAAGAGATAACTACTTACTAGGAGCATGTCTATAATGCCGATTTAGATTAGTCAGTTAACTTTAAGGGGTGGTCCAAATTGTAATTTTAAGGCTTGGTTGTGTTTATAAGATGCACAGCAATGTGTGCTTATGTTTTACTTGAAGGAAATCATGTTATTTTTTCAAAAGTCTCACTTTGATTTTATACAGCTACTCAGCTAACATGAAAACGGCTGATATATTTCCTAGTTCCTCTGAAAGGCCCGCCCTCAAGTGACTTATTGGTCATCGTCCTAATTTGCAGCTAGTCGCGGATCGGCTCCACGTCACACCCGCACAAGCACGCTGTGCAATTTTCTGCTGTGTAAATAGTCAGTCAACTTCCTGCCACTCTCTAAAATAAAATCTGACATGTGTCTGTAACAAGTGTAAAATGGGGTGCGGCTCCTTTAAGAGACATCGTCTTTGTGTGTGCCTATGTGTGTGTGTGTGTGTAAACTTTCTGTAGATGTGTAACAAGCGCATGTGCGCAGGACTTTCTTTTTCTTTTTTTTTCTGATGCTCGGATTAAGTTATTTTCTGCAATATATCGTCACAGAAGAATAAAGCACAAAATGTGGGATGCGACTGTGTGAGCCTTGATTTATTTTTCTGCTGCTACACGAGTTAGGTGAGCTATCCTGTATTCTCTTAAGCTGCCTAAAGAGAATCAATGCAAAGTCGCGCACACATATAGAAAGAGAGGCTGCACGCACTGGTGAACTGTGTGTGTGTGTGTTCATAGCAGTTTGACAGGTAAATATGAATTTGTAGCTAAATCGTTTGCAGTGCAAAACAGCATTACCCATTGCCTACAGCGCAACATTACAGCGCCTCTGGTCACGGCCCTTAGCTGCGCAGTGTGTGTGCGTGGTAAAAGTACCTTTGTGATCTCACAAGGCCCAGAAGTATTTTTTGTAGTCCCCAAAATTCCTTCATTGTAGGCTTTGCTAAGCTAACTCAGTAAAAACCAAGGTCTCCCTTTGCATTGAACTTTGAGCTTTTTTACATTCAGAGATGTTGTTTATGTTCACACAGCTACATTGCACACCAACTAAAGTTTAAAATATGATATTGTAGTGGAACACCCCTTTAAGTTGCATATTTTTTTGACAGTGGGAAGAAACCGGAGAACCCCGGGGAAACCCACGTGAGCACGGGGAGAACGTGTAAACTCCACACAGAAACGTTGGCTGGCTTAGTAAGGACTAGAACCAGTGACGTTTTTGCTGTGAGGCAACAGTGCTAACCACTGGGCCACCCATCTAGGAAAGGTGGAGAATTTGGAGTGGAAGGGGGGATTCTTCAAAACGAAGAATGCCGTCATATGGAACACACGGGGTCGGCTGCAAGCAATATGCATGTGATCCTCTCGAAATTAGTTTATAAATAAACTTCACTAAACACTTATTCCAATTTTGGTTCTTGCAACACATTTTTAAAAAGTTGGAAGAATACAGCAACAGTAGTTTTGCCATTCCTTTTAACAAACCTGAAAAGACTTTTGGTCTCTTTAGACTCCTTTAGTTTTATTCAGGTGTAATTTTGTCCCATTCTTCCTGCAAACAGTATGAGGTTTTCAAAATGTGACACACATTCTCAGTTGGCGACAGGTCAGGACTGCAGACAGGACAGTCAAGTGTCTGAATTCTCTTCCTCCACAGCCAGGACTTAAAATGTGTGCAGAATGTGGTTTTGACTTGTTGAAAAATGCACGGGCATCCCTGGAAAAGATGTTTTCTTGAAGGTAGCATATTGTGCTCCAAAATCTCTATGTACTTTTCAGCATTAATTATGCCATCAGAAAAGTGCAAGTTAATTTTGCCAAAGGCACTGACACAACCCATACCATGACAGGCCCTGGCTTTTGGACTTGTTGCTGTTAACAATTTGGATGATCATTTTTTTCTTTGGTCCGGAGCACACAAAGCCCATTTCTCCCGAAAATATATCTGAAATACTGATTCTAGTACAGGATTCCACTGTGTGATGGTCTATCCCAGATGCCGTCGAGTCCAGAGAAGTCAACAGCGCTTCTGGACACTGTTAGCATAGGGCTTCCTTTTGGCACTATACGGTTTGTACTGGCAGTTGTGGATGTAACATATTGTGGTACTTGACAAAGTTTTGCCAAATTGATCCTGAGCCCATGCAGTGATATCACTAACAGATGAATGACAATTCTTGATGCAGTGCCACCTGAGTGATTTGACATCACAATTATTTAGCTTATGCTTGCACCCTTGTCCTTTGCTCACTGAAATTTCTATTGATTCTTGGAATATTTTAATTATATTATGCACTGTTGAAGGTGAAACATCCAAATGTGTTTATCTCTTTCATTGAAGTACATTGTTTTTAAACATTTAAATAATTTTTTCACATATTTGTTGGCAATCTGGCGATCCTCTGCCCATCTTTGTTCCTAAAGGAAATAACCTTTCTTGGATGCTGCTTTTGTACCAAATCCTAATTACAATCACCTGTTGGTATCACCTGTTTTACTGTAAATTAAATTATTATTGAGCCAATTTACCAAACTACAAGCCCTAAATTGCTCCTGTTCCATCACCTTTTCAGAAAGTGTTGCAGGTCTGAATGACAGGATGTATATTTACAAATCAAATAAAGTTGACCAGAAAAAAACATGAAATATTTTGTTCATTTTGTCTGCAATGAAATACAAGTCAAAGTAAATTTAGAAATCAATAGTTTCCTTTTTTATTTGTGTTTTCCATACTGTCTAATTTTTTTTCTGATTTGGGGTTGTACAGTTAAAATCAAAAATTTTTTTTTTTTTTATTATTGACCCCCTGTGAAATTGAAATTCTTTTAAAGATATTCCCAAGTGTTACTTAATAGAGGGAACGTTTCAACACATTTTAAACATAATAGTTGCTAACTAATTTCTAATAATTAATTTATTTGTCTCTGCCATGCTGACAATATATAATGTTTTACTAGTTATTTTGAAAAGTACGTTTCTGTAGAATCATAAAAAAGTAGTAAATAATATTATCCTTAATTTTTTTTTTTTACAAACAAAAACTGCTTTTATTCCAGCCAAACTAAAAGAAATAATTACATTTTCCAAAGAAGAAAAGATATATATTATAGAAACTACTGTGAAAATGATTGTTTAACATCATTTGGCCAATATTTAAAGGAAATAAAAATTATAACATTATGACTTTAACTATATATTTACAACACTTTTTTTTTTAATAAAATCTAATTTATTAGAAAGCAAACTATTTAAATTATTACAATTTAAATATATTTTTAAACATTCTATTTAAATCCAAGTGCTCCGATTTCCCCAACAAGTCCAAAAACATGTGGTACTGGTGAATTGGGTTGGCTAAATTGTCTGTAGTGTATGTGTGTGAAAGAGTGTGTATGGATGTTTCCCAGTAATGGGTTGCAGTTGAAAGGGCATATGCTGGATAAGTTTGCGGTTCATTCCGCTGTGGCGACCCCAGATTAATAGAGGGACTAAGCCTAAAAGAAAACGAATGAATGAATAAATAAATATGTTTAAAAGAACATACTTTTATGTAATAATAATAATAAAAAAACTTATTCTGACCTGTGCTTAATAAAAATAGTACGATTGAATGAAATCTTGAGGTCTGAGGGAGAGTAGAAATAGTCTATATTTAGTCTAAATGTTTATTTTTTTAACATTAAGGTGATACACTAAGATACTTAAATATATTCTTTTATGTCATCAAATTTTAATGCTTGATAAGTATTTTTTTTATATAATCTATGTGATGGGTGAGTTTATCTTTAGATCAGTATAAACACTTCGGCTAGAGCTTTTCATTTGTAAGATAATGTGCATTATGTGTGAAATCCTCCCTGTGCCATTTGGCAGCAGCAGGGGTTGATTAGTAATGAGGCTGTAGTTGTGACAGAGTGCCAAACCTGCTTTGATCGCAGCTAATCCAGGTCAGAAAGAATTGACCTGTACTGTATGTGCTTGTGTGTTTTAGTTCAGTTGCCTGGTTTGAGTATTTATATGCTAAACTCTTCTCATTTATTTTTATTTTTTTAGATATTCTAGCACTAACGCACAGTTCGATTTCTTGTTCTGAACCTAAGTTCAATTTCCAAGCTATTGTGATAAAGTTATGTCTTTATCAGTTTTTCGGTGCTACTAGTTCAACTAGCTAGGTAGTTCAAATACTAGCAGCAGTTGTTTACTGTGGTAACTAGGAAAAAAAGTGAAAAAGAAACAAAGTGGCAATAGGAATATCATCTTGCTTTGCTTTTGGTTTGTTTAGTTTCTAACAAATAAATGCCACTGAAAAAGATGCAAAGCATGTGAACAGCCCACTGAACGTCATGCATACTGATTCAAAATATGGCTATTTTCTCAATGTCATTATCATCCAAATAAATGGATTTTGATTTTGAAAATGATTTTACAAAGACTGCCAATGAACTCAACTTAAGTTATAAAGTGAGTTTAGAATAAAAACATGTTATTAAATGTGCCATTTGTTGCATTGATTCAATAAGGCAAACGTTCTCTGATATCTACAGTACATAGTAAAAAATAGACTTTTGCTGTTTGTTCAAACTACTTATTTAAAATGAATTTCTAATTTGAACTTAACTGTTTTATGTTTAATCCACTTAAATATGTAAAAAGTTAACATATTTCATTTGTTAAATTAGTTATAATTGTTTCATTTTAAGTTGACTTTTTTGTTGGGAGAACATGAAGGAATTGTGTGGAACCCAGCATTTTTTACCGAGTAGGTATATGGCTAAGTTAATATAAAATAACCTGAATATCATTTTATATGCTCATTTATTATCTCAAATATATCCAATATTTAATATACTGAATAATATGTCAGTGTGTCTAGCCTTTTGGTTAAATGAACTCAGTACAACTGCTCTCAAGTAGACAAGTTCAATTACTGCCTAAATGTTCTTTGCAGGTCTAACCTCCTGTCTATACTCCAGTTTTCATGTAACTCTACTGTCCTGTCTGGAAAAGTCTCATGCAAAATTTGTGGAGTGTAGCATATCATGAAACTTTTTTCTGAACACATAAATATATTCAACAACAGTATACACACAGAAAACAATGAATGCATTCTCTGTTTTACCTGTAGCAGTATTTTATTCCCGTCATAATCACTGGTTTGCCAGCGGACGTCACTAATTGGTGTGCAGGGCCTTGGTAGCAGCGGCACAAGTTCACCCACGTCTCTTACTCGAATCTCCATCACAGCATTTTCAGTTGGAGCTGGACTCTGGCCGCGGGGCATCCGCTTGAATGACAGCTGTATTTCTGTCTCAGGGTTAGAGTAAACCACGCAGAAACTGAAATCCTCCTTCTTCTGGGCCAGCTTTCGGCGTAGCAGCAGCCTATAGAGACGCACCTGCTCAGTGTAGGTCTCATAGTGGCAGTAGACCGTAAAACGTGCAATTTCTTTGCCATAATGCACCTGGCGAAGTGCCCATAGAGGCGTGCCTGGTGCCAGCGTGACAAAGTCCTGACTGGCTGCAGAAAGTGGTAAAAGCCCTCGGCCATTCACCCGCTCTGTGTGGTGGTATCTCCATGGCGGGCATCTCAGCTGACTGTGGAGACGCTCTAGACTTTCTTCACCTCCATATTCATCTTGTAGAAACAGGATGATGGCCAAGGCTGGCTGAAGTGATGGCAGTTCATTGACGTGCTGTAGGCGGATTTTGTGCTTTCGAGAGAAACCTCCTGCCCGCTCCGATACCCTGAAGAGGGTGAGGTCTGGGTGAAGCCAAGACAGAACCTGATCCGCAGCTTGCTGGAGTGTTTTGGCCTGACCTGGGTCAGTGATGATGTGGATAGAAACTAGGAAAGGGTCTTGCTGGTCCCCCATGGACAAATCACCTAAAAAAATAGACATAAGAGAAGTTTAAGAAAGGGCTGGGGTTGAACTAGACAAAAACATTTAATCTCAGCCTTCGTCAACAGAAAAATGTATTTTTACAGAAAAATGACATTTTTAAATAAATATTATAAGGCAAAAAATGTACTTCATACTTCTACTTATGATTCAATTGTAGTATGAACAGAAACAATAATTTAACCTCCTCTCAATATGTTCACTACCATCAAGTATTGAAGATGTGGACACACTTAGTTATTGACTTTATTAAATACAGTAACTGTGTTGTTAAATATTTGCCTTTGACTTTTATAGAGGAAGAAACAAAATGAAAAAAGTATGGGTTTTCGAGACTAAATGAAATCTTTTCATCCATGTGCTCCTTTTCTGTAATCAGGCTGTATAGAAAACAGCACAGCCTCATTAGTTGCATTAGTGGATGGTTAGTAACCCAGGAAAAATGCTTTGGCTCCCTGTAGGACTTCTGAATAAGGTTTGCCCTTCCACTGAACCTTTGACCAGATCGAGCCTCGAGTGCACACACACATACAAACAGAGGACAAAAGAAAGAATCCATTACTAAAGTAATAAAGACGTAAGACATTTTGTAATTTTAGTAAGTTATGTAACCTCCTACGCCTATGAGCAGGGATTAAAGAAAATGACAGAAATTCTCATATATAATGTGAAACAACTATACCTAAATTTATGCACAACAAGCACTTCAAACCCTCTTAGATACACATTTGTCTGCCTGGTCATTAAACACAGCAGACAAATTTGTGTTGTAAATATGAGAGCACTATTATTGTGCAGTCTCTCAGAACCCCCCCCCCCCAAATAATCTCTGAATTGCAAGAAAGTAGTAGGACGTGGACAGCTGCCTCTTTCTTCTCCTCTACTCTCCCCCACCCCCAAACACTCCTGACTCATGGGACTCGTCCCACTTTGTTTGTTGTTTAAGGTTGAGGGCACCAGAGGCCGAGGGAACGCTATGCTCTTACACACTTACACACAAAAACACACTCACACAAATAAACACACTTCTCTAGTTGCACTGCACTTTTGGAAGTATAACTGACAAACATCTGACTTTAATGAAGGATCATTTCAATTGATCAATGTAGAAAAACAAAGCAGCACTAGACTAAGGTCCTTCTTTATGTTTCAAAACATACAAAATATTCTCCATTGTATGACCTTATGTGGAATACACACATGCAGACAGACCTAATGCGATCCAGTTATGACTCTGTCAATTACCTAAAGGGTTCAGATGGAAGAAATTAAGTGTGATTGTTATGGCACTTCGCCCGGCAGACACATGGTTCCTTCTCAGGAAATCATATCATTTGACTTGCTGATGCTATAAAGAGCAAAAATCACAAAAATGTGATTTGACAGACTGGTGGAAATGCTAAAATACAATAAGAGTCCATTTTATTTTTATTATGATCATGTTAAATATTGTTTCATAAATAAATAAATGTTTGTTTGTTTTTTTTTTATCCACACTGTGATAGTATGATTATGTTGAACATAATCCTCTGACGAATAAAATTACTAAGCCTGTAAAAATTAAAAACAAACTGGGAGATTCATACTTTAAAGGGCACCTATGATGAAACTTTTGTAATCTGTTTGGACAGAACTGTATGTGGGTGTAGTTTAGTCATATTGGTCTGATATAAGCAAAATTAAGTCTCTTTTTTTATTTCTAACATTAAAAATAAAATCCAAATCCTTCCCATTTTGAGGCCCACCCCAACATGATGTGGGAATGTGGTTTCCCACCCACCAAATGATTCACAGCCGTGTATTAACATGTCTCCATAGTAATGTGCATAATCATATCTACAAGACAGGATGTGCGCAAAACAACCGGGATTTGTTTGATCTGTTGAGCTTTCTGTGATCATCAGCACCTCAAGAATGAGTTTTACAAGTTAAAAATGTTTTTTTAAATGCATGTTTGTAATAAAGAAAGTAAAATCACTGTAAATTATCACCACAGGCACATAGTGTCAGTACAATTATAAAAGAAGACGCTTCAATCCTGGTTTGTGGACATAAATCTGTTTTTGTTGTATCCATATAGCAGTGAATATTAACATGTATGCTGTCACATTTGCTTTGCAAAAACAGTACAAAGATAAAAGTGCATGTGTGTGTGTGTGTGTGTGTGCACGAGCGTGTGCATATATTGTGTGTGACTCATCGTTGAAGAAAGGCTTAAATTAGTTCCACAACAAATATACCAAATAACCTTTATGGGAGATCTACTTTATTCTTGTCTGTCACTGCGCATGCAGGAAAAGTCTACACCCATCAGAGCAATAGTGAGCGATCTCTATGGCTCTAATGGTTCATTTCCACTGAGTGGTACAGAACGATACGGTTTGGGTCGGTATGGGTCACCTTTATCAGGCTTGCGTTTCCTTTGCCAAGGGCTTTTGGTGGGCGTGGTGTATGACAAAGTTTCAGTCGCATCATTCTCACTTAAGGAAATGTCTACATTAAAGCTGTACGGGTCGCTCACATATCATCTGAAAAGCACTTCTCACAAAACAGACGCTTTACACACATAAATAATTATGTATAAATGATTATTACTAACTATAAAAAGGATTTGATTGTAACTGCAGATCAATGACAGCACGAAATAGCCTACTGTAACGTCTGTAATTATATAAAATAAATAAATAAACAAACATATATGAACCCATACAGACCCTTACAGTCCCCGATATGTTACCAATTACAGAAAAACTGTAAAAAAAACAAACATTTCGTCCTTATTTAAGTTCAAAACAACACAAAATATAGCCTATAGTCAGTGAAAACCTCTTATCTGTGTGTGTAATCTTCAGCAGCACATGGAGCCTCTGTTAGAAAGTAATTCTGTCATTCCTAGTTCATATTAGTCCAAAAGATGATGATAAAAATTTAAACAAGGCAGTTTGTTCACGTTTGCTGAAGAAATAATGTGCTCCTTTTTTTCCGGCTACACCTTTTTTTTCCTGTTTGACAGGATCGGGTTTCAAATGCGCGTCAACAATCAAGCGCACATTATTATCATGAGCTTAAGAAGTTTGTTATTTCAGAAATCGACGTGCGACAAGCGAAAGCAAGAAAGCGAAACCGCTTGTGTGTCAGACTGGCTCGTAAAAAACTACGAGGCTGGGGGTAGATTCTGCTCTACTCCATGGCTTTGTGGCTGTTCATCAAGATGACGACAAGATTTGTTTAAGCTCGGGCCGATCATGGCTCGTTATTATATGTATATATAATTCCACTGTAATATCTCGGCTCATCGGCTGTGTATTTTAAACATGGGGGTTTTTTTGTTTTCATCCTGGCTTGTTGCATAAGCGAATGACGTATCTCTGTAAACCAATAGCGTTTAGCTGCATGTCTAGCTTCGCCTTTTGGTACCTTTTCACAGTTTGGTACCCTTTCGAAAGGGAGCCGAAAATGTGGTATGGTACAGTTTGGTTCGGTACGCCTTTTGACAGTGGAAACAGCCATAAAAGCGTACCAAACTGAACAGTACCGTACCACTCAGTGAAAACGGGCCATAACACGCACGTGGGAATGTTGGGCAGGAAGAACCAGCTCATTTTTATTAAAGGCACAAGCAACAAAAACAGCTAACTGCTCAAATTTTCAATGTACAAAAATGTATATATTTTTATGTATATATTTTTATATTCTCATGGGTGTTTTTTGAGCTGAACTTTACAGACACATTCTGGAGACACAAAAGACTTATCTTAAATCTTGAATAAGAGGTAAAGTAGGTGCTATTTAAATGTTAAAAAAGTAAACTTTCAAAAACACTCCGCAATGTGGTTATTTAAAAATGATATGCAGTGATTTAGATCAGTAAAATATTTAACAGATCTGTCCAGTCTTCTCCCTGAGCGATGATGTGACTTACAATAATTCTGCTAACATGAATGCCGACATGTTTTAAAACCTTAAACTTAGCAGAAAGCAAGCCCATTCCTCTTAAATTGGTGATTAATGTTTACCTAGAACTCAACATAACATGACATCACCTTCATGTTGCAATGGTGGTAAAAGAAAGTAGGACAGGGAAATATTGTCTCGCTAAGGACATTCTGCAGTTTCATAAGTTTAAACCATCGCAGTACTAGGATATGAAATCATTTAGAAGTTTTTTCTTCTTAATAATGAACTTTGAGGAGAGGAAACTTTAGTATGAACTGAATCACATAGTTATTATCCAATTAAATATAAACAAGACTATTTATGGGTGAATTAAACTTTCTGATTTTTTTTCTTGTTATGGCCAGAAGATATGCAAGCTATCTTTCTTGGATGGATGATGCAAACCAGCATCTTGCTAGTAAAGTTTTGATAGATAAATGAAGGTTGTTACCAAGGTTAAAATGATTTTACAGAGTCTGTTATAATGATGTGCAAACAAAATGTGTATCTGTGCACTCAACAAACTGATTGCACATTGTATATCTGCACAGATGCATTTTAGATAACTTTGCACTTACATTACACTTACTCAATGCCCAACCTGACAGTCAACAAATACTCCAAAGACAGGTAGCTTATACAGTATGTTGAATAATTAAAACACAAAATAGGGGATCAAAGAGATCCTTATAATGACAAATATTAGAATTGATTTATAATAATTTGTCATATTTGTGAAAGTATTTTTAACAAATGTTTTAAGAGCCATTTTGAATGGTTAAACATTTGTTTCCCAAAAACAAAACACAAATATTTTCACAAACATATAAAAAGCAATATAGCTATCGCAGCCCCATATTGTTGTGTACATTAGAAATAGGAAGTTTCTGTACACAGCTCTGCATTCGGCAAGTTTCACAAAACCTTGATTACTTCAAACCATCTGTAATCTTAGTTGAGACTGTAATGGAATGTAATCTGGTTGTGCGAGACTTAAGCAACACCATTAAATAAGACACCTTGTTTAGCTCCAGCTTAACCATCCTTAATATACTCCTCAATCTGGTATCGTTCTTAAACTGTAAAAAGTGATTACTCTTTAAGTGTTTATTTCCCTCTGATCTAATCTTCCATGTACTTTTGTGCGTAAAACAAAGCATTGAGACTGATTTCGTGATGCTAAATTATATTTTTCAGTTCTATTCAAATTGCTTAATTAAGCACATTATTCAACAGTAAAGTGCCCAGAGCAAAGGCAACACTGATCTCTAAGAATGAACACTCAACTCTGGATTCTGTTTATACAGAACACTAAAGTTGTTAGTGATGTGACAAAACAAAGATTTAGAGATGAAAGTGTTGTGCACATGGATACTAAGGAAATCTGATGAGCTGCAGAAGTGGCCAAATGCTGACATGACTGATGATGCAGCAGTAAGGCAGTTATTCATGGCAGCATTTCAAGAAAGCATACTGTCATACTGTTGAAAAAGAGATAGAATGCAGAAACAATAAGAGGAAATGTAGTGGAAAAACAGAAATATTTTCCATGCAGAGATGTTCAGATAAAGAAAACGCATGCATACAGCAATATACTTATAAATCCAGTAATTGGCATCGGCACTTTGTAAAGGCTATAAACTTCTGCACAAATTGTCCCATTGTTTTTGGTTATGCAGTACTCAAGCATACCTATAGACTAAACGTGTGATATGCATGCACATCACAAACTAGCATTTTTGCAATTACCATGGACATGACAATGGCATGATATGACAATATGCAGTAATATTCAATATACAGTATTCTTCATTAACTTCCTATACTACACTGATCCACACTACAATACTGCCATATGCACTCTGCCATGCTTACAAAAATAGTTCTGTTATTATCAGTGGTGTAAAATAACGAACTACAAAGGCTCAAATTACTGTAATTGAGTAGTTTGTTTCAAGAAATGTAATTTACAAAGTAGTTTTAAATGTGTGCTTTTACTTTCCCTTGAGTACATTTTTAGTGCAGTATTGGTACTTTTACTCCACTACTTTCCTTCAACCTGCAGTAACTACTTTATTTTTTCTTGTCTATGAGGACTGAGTAGAAAGTCAGTCCTGCAAAAATCAAATTGCACAAAGAAACTAAATCGCATCATACTGAACTCTCTCAACACATAGGGGTGTTTTATAAATGCCGCAAACCACTTGGAAGCATTAAAAGTGTCCAAGAAAATATCCAAAATCTTTACACGCAGTGACTGAGAGACTGTTTAGATGCATGTCACAGATGAGAAGATGACTGATGCCTACTGTATAATGACTAAATTCACCAAATGGACTGAACAAACAATAACTAAATGCACTACAGAATGTTATGTTTACACATCCCTGCACAAATTGCATGAAACGCATCAGACATTCAAGCATAATAGTTACTACTCGCAACTTTGGAGTACTTTAAAAGGGCTACTTTTTACTCCTTCTTTGAGTAATATTTACAACAGATACTTTTACTCTACTTGCAGTACATTTTTGTACAAGTAATAATACTTTTACTTAAGTATGACTTTTCAGTACTCTTTCAAACACTGGTTATTATATATTTATTTTGCTTGAAATTTGTTGTAGATCGCACACAATGATCAAATGAAAGATACGTAGGTCCAGATTTACTACCAGCTTGTGCCAGCATAAACTGTCTTTTGGTGTTAATAAAACACTACTGTCATTATTTACTGTAAGACACACTGTCAAATATTAATGAATAAAAATGACAGAGTATAGCTGTTCATGTGGGTGACATTAGTGGATATGCATTGTATATGTGTCAGATACAAAAGTTATGAGATAAGAGTAAATGAATAATGCAGTATAATTTTAAAAAGCTTTGAGGTCAATTAACTGTTATGTGTGTCATTATTATTATTATTTTGTGATGATAAATGCATTTCTTCATCTTTCATCTTTGCACCTGAAGAGCTGGAAAAAGAGGATTGTAGAAAACAGTGCATGGAAGAGAGGAGAGATTTTTTTTAATTAAAAAACTTTATGTAAACACACAGACAACAAAGACACATTTGTTTTAATTTGTGAGGTTCATTAGATGCTGTTGGTCATGAAAATGAGCAGCAGCGTCTGTGTTCTTTCATTTGCACATCAACAGATAACCCGCAAAACTTTACACTCTTATTTGCACTTTTATAACCTTGTGATAGAGTTTTTTTTAAGTGAAATTAAATGAATCATTGAATTCCTCTCTGTCTTTCTAATTCTCAGATGGTCTCCTTCTGCTTTCCTCATTCTGTCCCCTAGTCCACATTGAACCACTTTTCTTGATTCTTTAGTAAATTCTGCACAGTCTATTATGTGGTGTCCTTGATGTGCTCTATGTTTTACTGTGTGTGGGTAGGTGAGTGTTTCTGAATGTGAGTGTGTTAGTCAAAGAGAGCTTCCTGCGCTGTCACTGGGAGGAGTGTTTCCTGCTGCCCAGATTAATGGGCTAATATTGGACATTAATCCCTCCGTAGGGAAACAGACTGGGCCCGACACAGCCACGGGGAAAGGTCAGCTACACACATACAGTACACACTAACACTCACACTCAAGCAGGCACTCGCACACAAACAAGCGGAGGTGTTAGAGCTCTCAAAGCACTTCAAGCAGTGATTTCCAGAACAAACTAATCTCACTGTCATGGCAACGACTGTCGAGAGCTTCACCTGTCAGAAATCTTCCTCTTTGTCATTTCTAGCATGCTTTTTTGAAATACAAAGAAAAGAGAATAAACCACATTGAGGACAAGGGAAAAGAAGGACAAATTAAATGTGCTTGCTTTCTCAGAGTGCAGATGTGCTTGTCTGAGACATATTTCATTAGTAAAACAATCTGTGTTTAATAAAAGGGAATGTGCAAAGAAATGGCATGTACTCACTGCTTGCTGACGACATAAGACTGTAGTCAGACCTGAGGAGAGAGTGAATGACAGAATGGAGAGAAAGAGAAAAAGAGAGAGGCTTTTGTTAGAGACTGTTAGAGTGATTTAGGATCCCAAGGTTTCAAAGGAAGGTCCTACATCTGGATAAACAATTCTGGGTGTCATGGTATATAAAGTGTGTGTAGTATGCCTCGAGTGTATACACACATATATGTAGAGTTTATGATCAAAGATTGTGTCTTTAGTGACTTTATTGTGGAAAGCTTGTATTCTCTTAGCTCAGTGGTTGCAGAGGAAGGCACAAAAACAAAGACTGAAGACTTTTTGAAATATGTTATACCTATGTACAACTACATAATGACCTAGTCACGTTCTCCACTGAACAAGCTTTCTCTCCTTTTATCGCTCTCTGGTCATTTTTTCCCTTTCCTCTCTCTCTCTCTCTCTCTCTCTCTCTCTCTCTCTCTCTCTTTCCTGTTTTTTTGGCAACGAGAACAATGCAATATATGAATTTATGGTAACATTTTAGAATAACTATCCGTTATAACTAGTTAATAGTCCATTAATTAACTGTTAGTTAATGGCTTATAAATGACTTGTTAAATAATAGTTATTAGTTTGTTAATTATTTATATTATTTATAACAGCCTTATAGATAGCCAACAGATAACTTACAAGCTGTTAGTTAACAAGTTATAAATGACTTCCTAGCTGTATTTTGGTGATTAATAACTATACCTAATAAATTAGTAATAGATCATGAACAAACTGCTAGTAAATTACTTACTAAAGACTTGTTTAGTATCAGTTAATAGTTTATATATGTTATCTGGATGTTATTCTAAAGTTGGAACTATTCTTCATTTATTAACTATTAGTAAATGAGGAATAGTTTCAACTTTAGAATAACGTCCGAATAACATACATAAGCTAATAACTAACACTTAACTAATATATTAACACACACTTTACAGATTAGTTTTTCATAGTTTGTTTACCATCTACTAATACCAGTGAAACTTTGCAGAACAGCAAATGGGTGGAACAAGGTCAAGCTACAGAAATTTGATGTGATATTTAAAATATAAAGTGTTTGAACCTTAACCTTGTTTCTCTCATAGGCTTTTCTGTGTGTTGTATTTTACTAAAGAATCTCCACAGGTGAAATGTTGAACATTGTTTTTAATTTATAGAAACACACATACACATGGCAGAACAGCAGTGTACAACAGAATACAAACCCATGAGGTTTGGGCACATTTTGTGCTAAACATGAAAACAAAACAAAAATGTATTTTGTTTGAAAAGTTCTACAAAAGTTTCACTGGTATTAGTAGATGGTAAAGAAACTATGAACAGCTGATCTGTAAAGTGTGTGTTAATATATTAGTTATGTGTTAGTTATTAGCTTATGTATGTTATTGGGACGTTATTCTATAGTTGCAACTATTCCTCATTTACTAAGTTAAAAAATGAAGAATAGTTGCAACTTTAGAATAACGTCCCAATAACATATATACACTATTAACTGATACTTAACAAGCCGTTAGTAAGTAATTTACCAACAGCTTGTGTATGTTCTCTTACTAATTTATTAGGTATAGTTATAAACCACTAAAATACAGTTAACAGGTCATTTATAACTTGTTAACTAACAGCTTGTAAGTCATCTGTTGGCTATCTATAAGGCACAGTTATAAATAATTAACAAACTTTTAACTTTTATTTAAAAAGTAATTTATAACTCATTAACTAACAGTTTAGTAATGAGTATTAACTAGTTATAGTGGATAGTTATTCTAAAGTGTTACCGAAGTTATTTTTTAAGTACAACTAAATTGCATTTATCTTTTATCTTAAGTTGCAAATTAAACAGTCTAATGTTACGTTCTTTACTGATAATATTCAGCAACATATAGTAACAATCAAAACTCTGCAGTCATAAAAAAAAAAACTTTTATTAAGCATACACACAAATTGATCAAAGCTTATACTATAGATAATCTAATAAAAAAATTTCAATGCTAATAATAAGTATGACAATAATAATATTTTTGTGAAACCTTTTATGAAAGGACCATGTCACACTGAAGGCTGGAGTAATGGATTTGGAATTACAGGACTAAATTACACATAACACTTTTACTGTAATAATGAAATAAACACATCCGTAAATAAAACTGTTTTACTGTCTTCTGCTTATGAAAACAGAATTTTTAATAAATTACATTATTTACTGCCATCCATGCAGTTTATAGTTACAGATGTTGCAGTTTATTGACCATGATGCACAACTATACAAAATTTTAATTTAGCTCTATGGAACCATCTTTCCTATGCTTTTCTGAGTGCAAGACCTTAATGTATTAACACAACGAGTGCTTTGAATTTTAATTGTAGGATCAAACAAACACTTTGAGCATCTTGGGACTTTTTACAATAGTTAACCCTAGATCAGTGGTTCTCAAACTGTGGTACGCGTACCACTAGTGGTACGCGGGCTTCCTCCTAGTGGTACGCGGAGGAATCGCTGAATAATGAAAGAAACAAATAACACTTTTAATCCTTTAATGCGTAATATAACATTGATGTGATCAGCATTGGCTGTTTTGTGAAGCGTACGACCACAACGCTGTGCTTAGAGTGTTTATTTTAGTGCATTGTGTCATAAGCTGCTGAAAATCAGTTTCCGAAGTTTAAGAATTGATTCTGAAGCGTGATTTGACTGACATGAAAAGTGGCCAATCACAGTCGACCTTGTCTAGTTGCGTGAAACGTAAGGGCGGGACAAAGGCTTTCTGTGTTGCAGAAAAAACTACTTAAAAAACAAATGTTTTGTTGGAATAATGCTTCTCGGATGTTTTCACTACAGAGGTGTCTAGCAGAGTAATTAAACCGCGGACATATTTCCTGCCTATTTGATGATCTGCATACACGTTTCGCTCTCCGACAGCTAGTCGACTCGCCTCTGACCTGTCACTCCTCTAAATACATTCTGAATGGCGGCGCGGGAATGAAGGTATTGCGCAATTACTCATTTCTGCAAATGCGGCGAGTGCTTTATTTTAACACGAGAGCGCATTCATGTACCCAAATCGCTAAAACAGATATGTGAGCTCTTAAATAGGCTTTTTTCAAATGAACTGCAAGTCCTCTCAGGATCGCCTGTGTGCTCACATAGAATACAATCGCGATCTCTCCACTATTAAAGTAGACATTATTTATCTTTGCTCCTTAACTAAATTTAGTCAAAAGTATTCAAAGTTATCAAATATTTAGAAATAGATTGATACATGATCGATGACAATGCTAATGGTCTTCTTATTTGGCTGTGTTGTGAAGTGAAACTTAGCAAAGGTGGAACATTTTTTTATTTCTTTACGACAAAATAATTATGCTGGAAATGTTTCTGGATGAGGTATTTGTGTGATTTATACATTTAGCTGTATTCTGATCCGTCTTAAAGCATTACAGGTCAAAGCAATCCATTGTTAGCCTACTTATTGTTTATTTATCACAATTTACAATAAGGCTCTTAAAGCACTGCTTTGATAAATGTAATGTCGTCATATTTCAAATACCTCAAGTAAAATGAAGTCATTTGTTTTATTTTTTTACTGACAGTGTACTTGTATTTTTTTACGTTTCTATTTTAGATTAAGATCAAGTGTAAAATAAAATCTACATGTGATGTACAGTTATTTAAGAAACAAATTTGCCATATTGTAAAGAAAATAGTGTAAAATATGTAAATAAAAGGCTAAATTTAAATCTTTTTACCATATACTTTAATTTAACCTTTCAAAGCTTAAAAATATATATTTTTAAAAATGGGCAAAAAGTGTCTCTATGGCCTTAAAGATTATTTGGTAGTTTTACCAGTGCTATTGAAAAAGATTAATTGTCATGAAAGGAAAAATTGACTATACTTCCTTTGTTAGTGCAAATTATACATGTAGCTTTGGGATGTAAGCAATCAAACCATTAAATCAGGTTTACACTTAAAAAAAGTGATTTCATAATGAAAATCTGATTTTTTTTTCAAAAGTAACCAACTAGTACTTTTTAAAAGAGTAATTTGTACTTTTACCTAATATTAGTATTATTTACTAAAAAAAATTTTTTATTTTAGCAGTGTAATAGTATTTTTACTTGAGTACAAAAAAGATTTCACTAGCACTTAGTGCAGGTTTATTATACTATTAATATATGATTAATAAATATTATTATTAATGGTTTTTATTTGTATCTATTCCTATGCAATGTTTTATGGGTTGCTGAGAATACATTTCAGGTCTTCAATACATAGCATGTCAGTCTTGAAAAAAAAATAAAATAGGTGCTGGTAATGATTTTCATTAGGCTGTGCCTGTATGAACCCTGTCATGTACATTTAACATTTATTTCAAGATTTGTCTTAAAGTGTATGAATATGACATATAGCCTATATTTATAGGGTCCAAGCAGCATTTCCAGCTTTTGATGAATAGGCTACTATGAATACTTTAGATTTAAGTACAGCAGTTTTCTTTTTACTTTTTAAGAACAGCGCCATTTTTTTATGAACTTTTAAAAGCACATTTTAACTAAAACTTTTTTTTTTATCTGCAAGCACAGTTAATGTTCAGACTATTTCAAATTTTTAAAGTGACTGACAATAATACATATTCTTACTAATAGGAAGTAATCTGCATCGTTTTAAAACTGTGCACACCTGTAGCTGCTTAATTAGGCTTACGACGCTATTTTTTAATACTGGTTAAAAAATAGCGTCGTAAGGTGGTACTTGGATAGACGATTTTTTTCTAAGGTGGTACTTGGTGAAAAAAGTTTGAGAACCACTGCCCTAGATCATTCTAAGACCAAAAAAAGGGCAGTTCTATAAGTTCTGTACAGAAAACCTAATGTAAAGGCTACATATGAGTGGAAAGAGAACTGAAGTTCCACTCAGGTCTATGGGACAAGTTAGGCCTGTATGTACATATAAATTAGACAGGTTAGACGTGAGCAACCTTAATAGCAATATCTTATTGCCCCTTTCATTCAAGCTCGTAAAACTGCAGGCACAGAAAACATTCCAACTGAAGAGGATATTTGGCACTGGCCTTTTCTTAAAGAGGTAAGTTTGAATATCCTCTTCTATTGGAATGTTTTCTTTGTAAATGTGTTATCTTGCTCTACATTTTAAACTTCAAGTAATTTACCTGGGGATAAGTATGTTGATGTTTCACATTGCATAATTCTAAACTCTAGGTTAGCATTCATATTTGAATATTTGTAGTGTTTTGTCACTGATAGCAAGAAAATAGCATGCGATTTACATAAGAACTAAGTATTAACCATTAACCACTGCTGGCAAGGTTTTTTTCCTTAGAATTTTTGGACAAGAAAGTTAAAACAGGTAAAATAAGTACTGGCTTCTCAATCCCACGTTCCCAGGGTGAAAAGCTGTGTTCAGTATGACAGCGAGGATACGTTTATTTCAGTGGATAACATATCAAATTTGGTTAAACTCAGGATGAGATGTCAGCATCTGAGCTTAAACCCCAGGTTGCTTTTATAAGTGGCTTTGGAGAAAAGCATCAGCTAATTGAAGAATTAGCCATTAGAAAAGTCTTCTTCACTAAAGCATGCCAACTAAGGTTATAAACAAACACAAATCACATATTATGGTGTAGAAGGGAGGATTCAAGCAGTGTTCAAGCAATATTAGCCCATTTTTTTCTAATAATAAATCAGCATATCTATACCTAGGGGACAGGACAGCTAATATGATGTGACATACCTATAAACAAACCAGGATGCATCTTTTCATGGTTCAAAGCTGAAAGCACAGAATGATAGTACAGATCACACGTGGCTTTGAAATAACAGAGAGTAGGCAGAGAACTGATGTCAGATCTATGTGATTAGTATACTGGCTACTTCACTCTCCTGTGCTAAGAAGCCTAAGTAGCATGCACTAATATCTCAACTCATTGGCTTTCCAGCTACTTTTCAGTATTAAATCCCTGCGCCAGATGTCTTGGGTGTTAATGGCAAGCAACAGATGGTTAAATAAGAAATGAACCATAACAGGTAGAAATGAATCTTAAAATGAACGAAAGCTTAAAACAAGCGCAGTGTGCAATGTTTCTTTTTATAAATTCTCAACAAAAGACTCGCTTTAAAGCAGTCAGATTCTTCAGCACGTTTATTAGTGTAGCAGATCAAACGGTATATTAGGACTATATTAGCTGCACTACTCATTAATTTAATCTTATTACAAATAAAACTTTATTTATAATGGCTTACCCTCCAGTCTCCGCTCCCGAATCAGCGCACTCATCTTCCACCGAGTTCTCCATCTGTGCTGACAGTGACAGAAACTTCACATGCCTCTCCTTTTTACTCGGCGCTTGGACGCACACGTTCGCTGTAGGGAACTAAATAAAAACGAGTCAACTTTATAAAGCTGAGATGGATGACCGAGTGCGGTGAGGGTAACGGAAACAGCTAAAAGTGACAAGTGGACACGGCAGAGTCTGTCTGATCCAGTTCAGTCGTGAAGCTTGTGCGTCACCGCCGTTCGTTGAGTGCAATATCGGTGCGTTTACCGCTCCCAGGTGGCACAACGATGTTAAAGCGAGTATTCAGGCACTTTTACACCATGAGACCGGCATTACGCGCACTCAGTCTGCGGAACGTGAACATTGAGATTGGTAAGGGGGGAAATATTTCGTTTTTCTCTTTAAGTATAGATAGACGAAAAAAGATAGGCTAACTGCCAAGAGGTTTGAATACTAAATGTGCCTTAAGTCTTTATATTTGAGTTTTTACAACTCTTTTGGTCAAAGACTTTGAAATTTTGAAATCTGAGGGTTAAAATATTTAATGAGAAAACCGCTTGTAAATTTTACCATGAAGTGCTTAGCAAAGCACCTTACTAATCGAGTTTTTTATATATATATATTTTTTTTGAGAGGGAATTCTGGTGAATGTCTTAAGAGAACATGATTTTTACTTTATATTCTAATGAACGAAAATAACTTTTAAAAATCATGATGCTACCAGTGCAACACAAGGCTGGTTTAGTGATTCTGGATCACTAATGTTTTAACCGTTTCTTTATTTTGCAAAAAACATTTTACACTATGAACATAAAGTATAGTATTAGCCTACTCATATGTGAAACAAATTTTAAAAGATTTCACGTGGAGCAGGTCGCCCCCTAATGGCCACAACATCATTCGACCAAATTCATCGAAGCTGAGACTGCATCTCAGTGATGCAAATGTCACAATAACACTCATGGAATTGGTGGTTCAATCTGCTGTGGCGACGACTGATAAACCATGGGGTAAGATGAAGGATAGTGAGTGGGACTTGTCAAACAAGTAAATCTTATGTCAAATTTCTGTTGTCTAGATTTGGTCACATCACATGAACTGACCCCTTAGTTTCCTTTGGCTGGACTGGCGCCAGGGTGATTTTCCGCTGCTCTGCGTAAGTTTACACATACTTAACTTCAGCAAAATCATCATGTTTACATGCCTAAATATTAAGCTGCTGCCATGTAATTGGTGGAATAGATTGTGTTAGAAAAGATGTACATGATTAATTTGCTGGTGAATGTGTTTTCTGATACATAAACTAGTTTCAAGCATTCAGGCTGCTCAGCATAAGTGTATTTCAGTGTATTGTGTACGTCATGCAGTTAAGCTTTGCTTAAATAAATGAAGCAGAATTAAACTTGACAAAAGATTTTATTTTACTGGAAGGCAAAACGTCTTATTAAACATTAATAAGCAGCAACTGTATATTAACATACATCAATGAAAGATTCCTAACATATGCAACACACTGTCATTCAATCAACAAAAAAGTCTTTCAAACCTATTTACACTAATGCATCAGTTTATGAAAACAGGTGAAAAAAACACTCTTACTAAAACTGAAACTTTATGAAAGCCTGAAGGTTTTGGAAGTGAATTGGGATTCAGCTTGTCAGACTTTTTCATTCATAATATTAAAAAAGTAATAAATAAGTTTCTGAAGGTTTCTCTCCAGGTCTGATTCTAGTCAATGTATCCTTCTGGTTCCAGAAGAAGATACCGCTGCAGTGACTTTGGCACAGGAAGGTTGGGAATGATTGACCAGCAGTTCTTTCCAAACTGTTTTCTCAGAGCAGACCGACACAGATGCAGCAAACTACGTGGTTTATATTCCAGTGCAAAAAGAGACTCATAAAATGGTCTGTGAAGCTAAAAAAAGAATATTAAAATGCAATAAAGTGTATGCATTAACTTGATTCAAAGTTGATTACTTTTAAGCTTAGCTTTATTTTATCACACAATTACTTATTTATTTCATCAATTGCTATTTTTGAGAAAATATGCAAAAAATTTCCGTCAAATGTTAAGAGACTCACATGGAAAGTATCCTCAGGTATGGCCTCAACCCATCTTGAGGTAACAGGAACAAGCGTGTATGAGTTAAACAGGATTTCCACTGTTTTAGGTGCCTCAGCACAGGCTGTTAGTACCTTAAGAAAAACAGCATCAAATTAATTATTTTTTGTCAACTGGTAAACTGCTAAGTAATTAGAATGGATCTAGGTGGCAGAAGTACAGTTCCGTTAATTTTCTCTGCAGGTTTTATAAACAATCAATGATAAACCTTTAAGATAAGATTTATTTTGAGCTCCAATGTTGTTATGTTTGCTTTTGTTGTATTTGTTTAATCTCCTTGCATTCATTCAGCTGTTGCAGCAAATAAGGAGAACTTTACTTTGTAGTCCTATGAATGACATAATTGATTTAGTGTCACTACACTTTCTGAATAGTACATCTGAAATATGTTTTGTCTATGAGTACAATCAACAGCTCTAATGCTTAGTTGTTGTTTTTAAATTTTTTCTACTGAGTGAAAATGAAAATTTGGTCTTGTACACTGTGTCTTTTTGTCCAATTTTCATTTAACTTAAATTTTTATCACATCATATCAAAATGTATAATGTTTTTATTATCCTTGAAGCTATAGCTGACTTGGTCTATGATGTACAGTTGAAGTCAAAATTATTAGCCCCCCTTTGAATCTTTTTTTCTTTTTTAAATATTTCCCAAATGATGTTAAACTGAGCAAGGAAATCTTCAAAGTATTTCTGATAATATTTTTTTTTCTTCTGGAGACAGCCTTATTTGTTTTATTTTGGCCAGAATAAAAGCAGAATAAAAGCAGTTTTTAATGTTTTAAACACCATTTTAAAAACAAAATTATAAGCCCCTTTATATTTTTTTATTCAATAGTCTACAGAACAAACCATGGTTATAATAATTCTGACTTCAGCTGTATAAAGCTTTTGTAAAGACCCTCTTTAAAAATCCCTTTGTAACGATTAATAGGAAAAATATTTATAGTGCGGCCAAACAATGCAGATCTAATTAAATTCTTTAGACTTCTTATGTTTATTTTTTTTCTGTTGAATGCTTATGCAATGCAATGTTTGAATGCAATCTCAACATTATTAGTGATTACCTTCAGCAGGGCTTGTGGCCAGACTTTAATAGAGCCACGATTTAACAAGGTCTGAACGAGGGTGTGTGGTTGCCACTCCTGTCGAACCACAGAGCTCTGCAGAACACTAGAGAGTGGCGAACATCCATTATAGTCAATGGCATTGATATCTGCCCCATGGTCCAACAGAAGCTCCACCAACTTGTGCTGAACACTGCGTGTCGCCTTGTGTAGAGGACTGCGGTGTTCTTTATCAGCCAAGTTAATGTTTGCTCCATAGGCCAGAAGGAGACGACACAGCTCAAGATATCGTTCGTCTTGGCTGCTGTCTTTCTTTTCAGGGGTGACTCCACAAACCACCCCTAGTGGCGTTTCACCTGAAGAGCTGCCATGGTTCACACAGGCTCCAAATCTTAGGTACAGCTGGGCATGGTGGGGCAGACCATGTCTAGCTGCCACATGCAGTGGTGTTTCATCCTCTTCCTCACTGGCAATGTTTACCTTGGCGCCATATCTCACCAAGGCTTTTGCACAACTACAATAAAAATTGTACAGCAAATGCATGACGTGAGAATGCAAACAATGCTACTTAAACTAAAATATAATGGACAGCAAATGTCATAAAAAATGACATAAAGTTACACACTGAAATATAAGTGAAAATTTCAAACTGAAAGACTAAAAAATCTATTTAAATGTGCTTTTACTTTAGTAGTTTTAGAGTTGTACTCTATCAATAAAAGTGTAGAGGTGTTTTGGCTCCTTTGCTGTTGTGTTTTAGGATTAATGTAGTTAATGCCTGCAAATGTATTACGCCATGCAGGAGCAAACTACTGGTCTGGATGCAATAAGACATTATGCACTCTCAATGTTTATCATATTGATATAAAAATACCTTAGTGATTGTGGTGTTCTGCAGAGATGTAAGGCAGTCAGTCCCTCTTCTGTCATCTGGTTAGGATTAGCTCCATGTTCCAGCAGCAGCTCTACGCATTCAGTGTTGGCATTTGCACAGGCCTCATGAAGTGCTGCTTTTCCTCCTGCGATAAGGTTAGGATGCGCTCCATTCTCCAGTAAATACTGCAGACATTCATTGAAACCTTGTGCCGCAGCAATGCACAAAGGGCTTGTCAGTTCTCTTTTATATTCCAGAGACCAAAGACCTGAAATAGGAACAATGCCAAGCCATTTTTTAACAGAATGTAAGACAAATTTTATAAGGACAAAATAAATATTTAATCCAAATCCATACTTTTATTTGGCATGGATGTATTAAACAGATCCGTGACTTTTTATGTTGTGTGCTTTTCTGAGTGAATGAATGATACGACATGTAATGGTTCAGAATCTGCTCTTTCATTATGCACTCTTAAACATAAACATTTTATATTAGCACAAAGTACCCGTTGTGAATCCACAAAAGGTTCTTTAGAGTGGAAATGTTCTTAAGGCTATTAAAAAAGCAAGCAGGCTTTGCTCGTCACCCTCTGACAGGGGGCCATTTTAATTTTGGGGGTTAAACTTTACATTGATTTACAGCACTGAAAGTCTTCATTTTGCTCCATTACATGAACTGAATCTCTGTTAACATTGACACATTTATATAATACTTTTAAAATTTACAATAAACATAATCTTGAGTTTTGACCACAGGATTATTAGTATCAGGATTTTTGTGGAGATTTGTATATGTAAAACACAAGAAAAGTGGGTAACTCTTTACTATGAGGTTCCATTAGTTAATGCTAATATACTTTCTAACATGAACAGTACATTTATTAATTTATTTATTCATCCTTGTTAGTGTTAGTTAGTGAAAGTACAGTGAGTCAGTGTTAGCTCTTTTTAAACCAGTGTATTCGCTATTTTGTTATGAAGAGAGAAAAACTAAAATAGTCTGCTGTGTTTAAAGTGTTTACTTGAAAATATTAATAAAATTTGGCCATAGTAGACATTATTTCTAAAAGTAATATGAATATGAATTATGTACAAATTGTCATTTCTTTTTAAATTATCAGTCAAAAATTTTGTTTTATGGTTAACTGGTTTATTATCATCATCCTTATTATATGAACCAAATGTCTTTTAGCTTAGCTGAACCAACTAATGTTTTCATGATACAACAACCTACAACAGCATAAAACTCTGTTGTGAATTTTGAAATTAATAACTTTGTCCTTACTTTCAGAGATAGAGAGAATTTGGAATATTCCCTATATGATATATCAGATAATAAACTAGATTTTTGGTTTAATCCATCAGCACAATACTAAAGCTGGTCAAATAATTCTGCCATACCTATATGCATATATGAAGTTTAGATTTTTCTCAAATGACTGTTTTTACCTGAGGGTCCAAATGTGGTTTCTGATTGAGTCTTCCACTCGAGTTCCTCTCGGCTCACATTGTAAAACACATCAACATCAATATAATTCCTTTTTAGTAGGGTTCGAAGGCCTCTTGTGTCTCCCTTCACTACGGCTCTATAGAGCCATAAGGAGCGTAAATGAGCTCTTTCCCAGTGATCCTGTCCTGACTCACTGCTATCATCCAGCATAGCCTGCAATCCATTCAGCTGAACGGTGGAGCAGAGGTTCTCAAAGCGCATAGTTCTTAGCATCTCCTCCTACCTTTTCAAATGGCCTACACTTTTAAGGACTGGACTTTATATAGTGCTAGTGGTGTTTTCATCCAGCTTCAAGCACTTTTTGTCTCTATTTTTAGTAAGCCATTGTTCTCCATCAGTTGCCCATAAGCTTACTGTGGCCATTTTTAGTTGTTGATGTACGAGATAGATGCGAAATCCCTTAAGCTGCAATCATCTATGTCCATTTGTTGCCTTTTGATTTATTTGAATAATTGATCTGTCTTTCTGGAACATTTATGAGATGCTCTATTGTTTAACAGATCAAATTTTATGTGCTACTTCCATGTATGCTAAGAAGGGCCTGTAGCATAGGTTACATTAGATATGTATGGCACAGTGTTTAACTGCAGTGGCATAATCTCTTGGTTGTGCAGTATGAGATCATTTATTTTGAGGGCACACTAGAAAAATCTTTACTGGAATCTGCAGAATGCGTAGTAGGACTGTTGCGTGGTGACAGACACAAACAGTGACTGGGACCAGGGCTTTCGAGTATTGATCGTGCATGACATTCATATGCACAGAAGATTACCACAATCCCTTAGAAATCCTGTGTCAACTCCACACAGATTCCTCAGGCCAGTAATGCTACATTCACCCACAGACAGAGCGAGGCACAATGCCGTGAGTTAAGAGCTTTCTAAGCGATAAAGGACTTGTAGAGCATGGCACATTTAGTCTATTTTAGAAGATGCAAGCTTTGTTTTGCTTGCATAAAAAGCTTTAAAATGTCATTGTGTCTCATGTAAGACGCCTGTCTCATCAGCAGGGAGTGCAGAGAATGTGAGGGATGTTTACTAGCAGACATGCTGTCGGTGTTCAAAGCCTGGATCATAGTGGGACTCATATACAGTATGTCAAATACATATCCAGTTGATGGCCATATTTACAGCAGGCCATTAACCAAAATAGTTATACTAACTGTATAATATATATTTTTTTTTTTTGCACATTGTGATTATGAAAAAGTGGAGTTCTTTTTTTCTTATAAAAGGTATAGTGGTATATTAGTGCTCATTTCGACATGTGATGTCAAACGGAGACTGAAAAAGTTAATAATTTTAGCAGTCTATCATATCAGTAATGTATCATTTTGGTTCAGGGTGAATTGGTGCTACTTTAACAAGACATTGCTGTTTAATTTTGTAAATCAGGAAGCAGTGTTGTTGTTGTTGATATTGTGTTACCAGAAGAACAAAACTAGCACTAGACCATCATGATGAGTTCTGCTTAAGCTATTTAAGAAACCTGTTAAGAACTCCAGCATTCCTGGATTTCTATTTGAGAGACAGTATCCAAACTTCAGCCTTTGCTGGTGTAATTTGCAACAGATACTTTTAACAGGATATTAAACAAAAAAACAAACAACTGATTTGAATGTTATATATATTATTTTGCGAAGTAAATATCCTCTCTGAAACATTTTTTAAAAATTGTGAAAACAAAAATAAAGTGGGAAAATATATTTCTGCACAACTCAAGCCAATGTACTGTAATGATGCTGAAATATACAAACAATAATGGTTTGTCTTTTTAAATATTGCTTTATTGTATACCTCTGCCCTATTCATCAATTCGGACTCACCCCGTTTCTGAGCAGTCCACAGCAATTCATCGCTCTCAAATTCTAGCACTTTGTTCAGTTGCTCTGGATCTGTGAACCCATCCTGCATGTCCCTCCAGTGGTGAGTTAAGAGGTCATTAAGAACAGGGGGACAAAGAAAGTCCATCCCTGGTTGTCTGCAGCCCTTTTCTTTCCTAACTCTCTGACCACTATCCAAGGATAACTGACTTCTCTCAGTCAAAAGCGAGGCCTTTCGACTCTCAACGCACACCCCACTACATTGGGAGAACATGGCTAATAATGACAATCCTTTCCACTTCTTACCTGTGTGTGATTTTATGGCTATTTATATTATCTCTGTTGCTCTATATATTGTATTTTTAGTCCAAATGACGTGATCAGAGCAGGGCAATTGCATGACTTGGGTGCCTTGGCCATTGTTTTCAAACAACACAACAACACAGGAATGAGTGTTTGGAGAGGTCAGTTCGATAAATATGCCAGATGCACAGCTGAGTGGAAAGCATTGCTGGTGATATCACCACTGCACAAGCCAGAAATAGAATCAGTCTCTCCATTTCAACAAATCATGAGGTGTGATGACATTGTCCTCCAATCAAAGCTGCTGGGGAATCTGATCCACACTGGTGCTTTGCATTGTGACCTTAATTCCAAAAGTGCCCTGAGCTGTCATCTGTAATTCCAGTCAGAAGTGAAAGGGCATTAATTTCTCCTTTATGCAATCTCTGTCATTATTCTGTGTTGATCACTTAAACTCAGAAGTCAAAATGACTTCTTAAATATAAGACTTTACAGATGTTGAATGTTATTAGGGAGTTCCTATCTAGTTGTGTACGTGAAAGGAATCATTAGGTGAGACCAAAATTAGCTATAACCTTGCTTATAACCACACAGGCATGCCTAATTAAAAAAAAAAGATTAAATAAAAAAAGAAAACATCTCCAGACGAGTTGAAAACATATCTATTATGTTATTATGTGCAGTTGTTCATTTGGTGTGTTCGCCCAGAGGTTTAACAGGCTTAATAGGTTCCATTCCTGGTGCAGAAAACATACCCCACTCCCTTTTCACACAATTTGCTCCTTAGGTGCTTAATGACTTTATCCTAATCAGTTCCAGTGACATGTGTTGAACCATTTGCCCAATGAGACTTATTATTCTGTTCTCATGTGCATTTATTTTTCATAGAGAACAAGTCTTTTAGAGGAACTTGAATGAATTAATGACATTTTAAAATGATGCAACATTCTAGAGAGAACAGGTTTGTAATGGCCAATATCTTTTGCTGTGGCTGAAAGGGTCTTTATCACTTTGGCCTTCAACTGGAAAACATGCTGTTGGAATGGCTGAAGACATTAAAACATTTAACCATCTTGGTGCCAGATTAATACCAATAACTGGAGGTATTTGAAAGTGTCTTCTAATTTTTTAATCTCTAATCTTCTGTGCTTCAGAATTTAGCCTATGCAACTAATTAAATATGGTTAAATGTGATTTTTTTTTTACTTTAATAGTCATTCCTTTGATAGTTTCATTACGAAAGCAGTGTTATTCAATGGCCTGATTTATTCACAGAAACACTATTTTTCAAGTTTTGTTATGAGAAAACAGATCACTGACTTGTCTAACTTTTTAAACTTGACCTTAATATCTTCTTGAGTACCATTCGACTCAAAAGCATAAAATACAATTGTTTTATCAAACCAATTATGTTTATTTACATAATAATGTAAAAGTCATAGACTTTGTTTTATTTTATATAATTTTGTTTAGTTTACAGTTCATTTAACTTTTTAGAATGTAAACATGAAACCCTTGGTTAAGTGTTTCAGAAGGTGAAAGACTGGGAAGAAAAAAACAGTGAATTGGGAATTTATATGTGTAAACAGGTTCAACAAAATAAAGAGTATTTTGAGAAAAAAAAAACACATTTTTATATGCTATGCTTGCTGATTGAGAGGAGAACATCAAAATCTGTTCAGAATACAAAAATAAGGATGCAATTCAAACTGTAGAATCTGTATTGAATCAAACTGTATTGAATCAAACATGTTCAAGCATCAGCAGAGGCCTGTCTGAGGTGTACTTACCCAACAGCACAGCTGGAGGGAGCACAACATCAGGATCTTTCATCCAGTCATCATTTGACAACTCTTTGATGATATTTGGATTTTCTTTGCTTGCTTCTGTCAAAAGGGTCTGCAGACATGTAGTGTCCCCCTCACTCTGTGCTTCTTTAAGAGCCTCAACAAATTCAGATTCAGCTGTGTATTTCAATGAAATGCCATCTGACATTGTGTCACAAGACTCTTGGGGTTTTCCCTTGTCACACTGTCTGAGACTGTAATATGTTTCATATGTTGCGCATCTGTTGTTGTTATTGGGACTAGATCTAAATATAGACAGCTCAGACTGTAAGTTGATCTCAGTCAATCTTTTATACAAGAGTATAGCAAAAAACTAACATCACATAATAAACTGAAAGTTTTACAGATACAATGCAAAAGCAAAATAACTTTGAAAATAATTTAAAACTATTTGGTGCAACTGTAAAAAGTTTTAAAAAGGTCTTGAGCAACAGCTTCTCCGTGTGTAAGCAGAGATGTCACAGCAATGATCTGGTTTAGAAGACATGTTTCTAAATACAGAGCGTTGTTATGAGAGGTGGATTATGGACAGTGAGACATGCTCTTCTAACTGGACATAAACCTGGTGATCCAGCAGTTGGCCAGTAGCATGAGGACAATCAAGTTCACCACACAGTGTTGTGCTGTTCTGAGAACAGCAATTTAATGAGCTGCTGTAGATCTTCTTTGATGAGTTCAATACTACTTTAACAAATGGGTTTCTGAAGCTGTGTGTTTTGCATACCTAATCAGACACAAAATTGCTATAAGAAATATTTTTTTTACCATATTAAGGTATATAAACAATTAGTTATTTAACTTAATCCGTATTTAAGTAGCAACAAATATTGGGACCAAACCTCTTGAAATTGTCAAACTATTGTCAGCCCTTTTTGTTGTTAATGTCAGCAATTATGAGGTACAGTATGTACTTTGACCCATCCTGTAATGCCAGTCTTCTTGCTACCTCACATCTTTTTCGGGAACTGGCATGTAACCACGTACCTTCCAAAATTAGGACTGGTTATGAATGACAATTGTACTGAAAAGAGGAAATAGACTACTGCTAATATCTGAAAACTAGACCTATTATATAAGCTACTTCTAATTAATTAATAAGAGATGTATATTTGAAACAGGGCTAACAATGGTGTCAGAATATGAGGCAGAAATATAGTAATAAACCAAGAAATAATAAGACTAAGATGACAGGACACAGTTGTTAAGCTCTCTCTCTCTCTATAGCCTATATTAAAAACAGCTTAATAAACTTTTAGAATTTTTCTAACATACCATTTTTAAATTTACTATTGTATTTTTAATGACCCGTATATTTCTTAAAAACAGTATTACATTACATTAAGGGCGTGGTGTCGTTTACTCTCCAGTACAGCAGGTGTCACTGTGTCGCCGTTGAGCCGGAGAAGCAGCTGTTTGTTTTCCTTAGCCGTTAGCATATGAAGCTCCTGTAAAAGATGCCCGTGTGTGTCATGATGGCTGAACTTGATGAAAAGCTGCTGTTGCAGTTTGAAACCCAGGAGCTGGAGGTAAATAAGACAGAGCGATTGACTTATTCGTTTATTTATTCTGTGCATGCTTGTTATTTGCTGACCAGCAACAGTATCGTGGTTGTCACATGAACAACACTATTCATGAAGCCTATTGAAACCATTAGCATGGGATTAAACAAAGATGAACTATTTAGCCTAACGTTATTTGTTCATTTGTGTTAATGTCTGTTAAGTTTTGTCTAACGTTACTCTAATATTTTCCTTGTATTCAAATGTGTCTGCTGTTATATAACTTGCTGTCTGACTGCATACATTATGTTTAACGTTATATTTCAAAATGTTTGATAAGTTACCTTCTATCTTAGGCTCCTGGTGGCATTGCAACGCCTCAAGTATATTCCCAGTTATTAGTCTTGTATCTCCTGCACAACGACATGTATGTTACATATATTTATTATTTCAATGGCTTATTTACAATTGTAGCATCATTTCATTCTGTCATAATAATTATGTGCTTTATGTAGGAATAATGCCAGATACCTTTGGAAACGGATACCCCAAGCAATCAAAACAGTGAGTTTCCCCCCTCTTAGTGTGTCTAATGTTAAGGAAAATCAATTTAGGATCTCTAATACAATTCCTAATTACAGGCAAACCCAGAGATGGCAGCTATATGGGCTGTAGGACAGCGGATCTGGCAGCGAGACTTTCCAGGCATCTACTCTGCTATTGCTGCTTACCAGTGGTCTGAAAGCATTCTCCCTGTGATGGAAGCTTTAAGAGGTACTGTCATATGGCTTAGGTTTTTATGCTATATTCTGGGTGTAATCTACAGTATAATGAAGTGGCTTATATTGCCCTTGAGGCTGATTCTTGTCACTTTAAACACATTCTTGACATTTAATGCTTCGAATACAGGATTTTTTAGATATTTTGTTTTAGAATTGTAGATTTGCAGGGTTTTTTCACAGTGCATATTTTTTGGGGTACTTTGTAGTTGCTGTTTTGTGCACACAACAGATCTGTGATGGGTTAGGCTCACACTAGAGCTGCACGATTCTGGCTAAAATGAGAATCGCGATTTTTTTTTTGCTTAAAATAAAGATCACGATTTTGTCATGATTCTGTAGATGTAAAATAAAGGTATGGTAAAAACAAGCATATGACACAACCTCGATAATAATATTATGTGTAGGTCTACTGGTTTCTATAAATAATTCTATTCTACTTAAATATAATTCTGATGTTGAATTGATATGTTTGAGATATATGCTTGAAATCTGTCATATTAGACAATTTTATTCACTGGTAAAATCAGACATTTGCCATTATCAGATTATATTTAACAATATAGGCTAGAGTACTTATACTAACATTGTAAACATTTATTTTCATGCACAACTGTGGGTTCGCTATGAAAGAAAAAACATCAAATGCTTGTCGTAATCATAACTCTAAAATGCGATACAATCATTTAAATGAAGAACTCACTTAGTTGAGTAAAGTTAGCAACAGATTCGCAGAATCGCATTTTCCGGATCAATAACTTATCTGCAAATCTGTTGCTAACTTTACTCAACTTGCACACTTTCGGTTTCATTCTGACTGCTAAGTGCTTGTTCATACTTCGCGCGCGGCTCCCAAACGATCACTCTGTGCCACAAACTGAATATTATTTACAACTGTATTACCTGTTACTCGCAACATATGCAGGTTCTGTTCACTAAAGTAGACGTGCGCGCGTCTATCATTAAGTATAGCGCGCGCACGCGCCCTCTCTGTGATAACAGCACACGGTCAGGAATTAAAAAACTAATTTTTGTCTTAATATGATGTTTTCGCGATCGGGAAATTACTCGTGACGTCAGCTCCTGACCGTGAGCTGTTATCACAGAGAGGGCGCGTGCGCGCGCTCTACTTAATGATAGACGCGCGCGCCTCTACTTTAGTGAACAGAACCTGCATATGTTGCAAGTTTTTTTTTAGGTGAATTATACCTTATAAATACAGTATGTGACTCATTCAACATCATTTGGAGTTGTCAATGCCACTGAGCAACGTGTGTGAAACAATGAAAAGACTCGTGTAGCCGCCTTTTCCTCTCTCCTGAACTTGAAAACATGATTGACAGAATCGTAGAAATGCTGGATTAAGATCGTTTAAGGGGCGTCGAATCGAGATCGCTATCTTTTAACGATTAATTGTGCAGCTCTAGCTCACACATTAAATGTTTAGTAAGAATTCATAACGTTTCTGCCAATAATGTCTCTCTGAAGTGACACAATGTAATATTCAAGGACAACAAACACTTGGCGCCCTATCATACATACGGCGCAATAAGGTGGAAGACGTTTTGATATTTTCAGACCAATGTAACCTTAATTTTACTGTTTTCTGCCACGTTGTTTCAATGGCAAATTCAGTTGCACCACTTTGTGTTTTGGTCTGGATAAGAGGTGTGTTAAGGCCAATTGTTGGCGCGTTGCAATTTTGAGGAACTAAAATAGACTGCGCAATAGACCAGCTGAAAGCAGGTCTAAAGTCCAGCACAGAGCACATTAGTTGTGTGCCTCACTTGCACATTACTTAAAACACACAGAATATACAGCAATACACAAATATGAAGAAAAGAAAAATAATTAAAGGATTGAAATGTTACAAAAATTATTACTTTCTACATAAATATAAAAACCACTGCCTCCATGCCTTTTTCATCTCTGGAGCCTTTTTTAGTTTATTCATGACACGCTGTTGTAAAATGTTAATATTATTATGAACATTATTTATAATATGCATATTTATATTTGTTTTATTAAAAACAAGCTTAAATTTGTCCACCTGTCAGGTTTTAAACACGCTTCATTATTATTGCTCATTTATTTATTAGCTGGAAATTTTAACTGATTTTAGAAATAGTTTTGAAACAGATCGCTGCACTTAACAAACAAAATGAATTATGTGGGCCAGTGGTTCTCAAACTGTGGTCCATGTACCACAAGTGGTACGCAGGCTTCCTCCTAGTGGTACGCGGAGGAGTTGCTGAATAATTCAAGTAAAAAAAAAACACTTTTAACCCACTTTAACCCACGTACGAAATCAACCATGTGATCAGGAAATTGATTTTAATAGGCTAAACTTTTTATTTTTATTTTTCTAATGTTTGTTATGTATTCTACCATTTGAGGTTTTTTCCTCCCCATACTTGTAACGGTTGTTGGGGCGTATCTCGTATTTTTATATCCCAATGTTGACAGGTGTAGTTTAATCACTTGCTTCTCTGACACACATAACCTACTGTACTTTTTTTTTTTTTTTTACTTTTTAAGAACAGTGCCATTATTAACTTTTCAAATCACATTTTAATTTAAACGTTGTCGTTTCATTTATTTTTTTCACCTGTAAGTGTGTTATTGTTCAGACTATTATGTTTAAAGTGGCTGACAATAATAAATATTCATTATAATAAGAATTAATCTGTAGTTTTGTACTAAGCTGTAGCCACTTAATTGGACCTAATATGTATTTCAATACCAGTTATTTATGGTGGTACTTGGAGAGACAATTTTTCTGAGGTGGTACTTGGTGAAAAAAGTTTGAGAACCACTGATGTAGGCTATTGGATATCTGTGCGTAAATTACGTTCCCTTATGCACGAAAGAGAGAAGTATATATATGTGTGTGTGTGTGAGTGTGTGTGTGTGTGTGTGTGTGTGTGTGTGTGTGTGTGTGTATATATATATATATATATATATATAGTGTGTGTGTGTGTGTATACACTATTAGAAAAAGTCTTATTTTTTTATTTCGGATAGAATAACTTTTATTTAATATTGTTAAATGACCTTTACCCCAGGGTAATTACTGTTAGATTTAATGTAAATATACTTTGTAGGGGGCACGTTATATACAGTTATGCGTGTTGTCTAGTCTTGTTTAGTAATGTGGTTAAAAGTATGAATATGAAATGTATCTAGATTTTTTTACCCTGGAAAGTAATCAATTTCTTGCTTTCAAATTCCACTTCAAGCAGTTCATGACTAAACTTAGCCCAGGCTTTATCTCTGCATTATCATAGGCCCAGTGTAAACCTTTCAGATGTCGACTGCCGGCAGATATAACCAAAAAGTGCAGATTACTTTATTATCCAAGTTTTTTTTTAACCATACTGTTCTTTTTGAGTTCTTAGGAGTAATCTTTGCAACATCTTCTCTGTGTTAATATCATCAGGGACCATGCTAAAACATAGCCTTCATTTGATACCCACGTGCCAGTATGCACCTGATCCTCCCAGACCAAGGATAAGTTAAAAATAACCCTTTCCATGTGTTCACGGGTTCCCTATGTACTGTTTTTTAGGACACCGACGGTTGTTTTTTTACAAACAAATTTCTCAAGACCATTTGAACAAGATATTTCTGATGATTTTATTGCATAAAACCTACCCTCTGAATACTATGATAGTAAAATATATCCATGCTTTATTTTTATGTAAGGTTTTTATCAGATATCTAGACATTCAATGTGATAAGTATTGATAAAGTACAATTTAGCATTTTCCCGCTCCAATATTCCTATCTAGAGATGTATAATACAAGCTCAAAGAGTGTTTTTAGACAAAGACAAAGTTTGTTTTCTTGACATAAAACTTGTTTGTCTTCTTGCAAATATTTCAATAAGGAAATTTTACTGGAAACACTGCACAGGAAAGGGTGAAGGTGTTATGGTATCATCATGAGGGTTTAAAAGGGTGGGGGCTTTTTTCATGTCCAAAAATGAATCTTGAAAACAAGTGGATAGGAATGTGTGCTTTGATTGGTTGGAGGAATGGTATGTCACCCTCTGGCTGAGGGTGGTATAAAGAGCAAAGGAACTCTGTTCCAGAATAGATCTGACAACTGCAGGGAATCATTTACTGCTGTGTGCAGCAGCTTGTTTTTAACCTCATTTTTCAAGGAGAACGCCACTAAAGTGATACAGCAAAAGGAGCCAGAGCAACCACCAACATGGACATTCAGCGAACTGCCTCTTTGTTGGGGACTCCTGACTCGATGGAGAGCCTTGAGAAACAGCTAAGCTGCCCAATATGTCTGGACATGTTTACCAAACCAGTGGTCATCCTGCCGTGTCAGCATAACCTGTGTCGAGGATGTGCTAGTGATCTTTATGACTCTCGAAACCCTTATCGTTTCTCTGGTGGTGTTTTTCGGTGCCCAACTTGTCGATTTGAAGTGGTTCTTGATCGCCATGGTGTGCATGGACTTCAGAGGAATCTTCTTGTTGAGAACATAATCGACATTTACAAACAGCAACAAGAGGGTGGTGGAGGAGGTGGTGGCAGCACCACTGAAAGTCCAATAAAACCCAAAAGCTCCAAAGAGCTAATGTGTCAAGAACACGAGGACGAGAAGATCAACATCTACTGCGTTACTCACCAAACTCCCACTTGTTCCATGTGTAAGGTATTTGGCCAGCATAAGGACTGTGAGGTGTCACCACTTGCTAGTGTCTATCAGGCTCAAAAGGGAGAGCTGAGCAATGCCATTGATGCTCTTGTGGCGGGGAATGGCCGCCTTCAGGCGTTGCTTAACCAGATGGAGGAGGCCTGCACAGCTGTTCAGGACAATGCTCAACGTGCCAAACAAAAGCTTGGCGAATGCTTCGATTCCCTCTATGCAGCCTTGGAGGAGCGTAAAAATGCCCTCTTAGAGCGTATTGGCAAAGAGCAAGACGAGAAGGTTGGTGCACTCAGGAGTTTGGCTAGGCGTTATGGGGACCGTCTTCAGGCAGCCACAGAGTTAACAGACATGGCAGTTCAGGCTCTGGAGCAAAGTGGTGCCGCAGAGTTCCTGCAGGCCTCCAAGAACCTGATCTCCCAGACAAAAGACGCAGCAAAGAGCTCACTTGCTGAAGAAAGGCCCGAGCCAGGCTTTGAAAGAATGGACCATTTCACTTTGGATACGGAGCAGGTGGAGACTTTGTTGTCCAAGATGGACTTTGGAGGAGAGGATGATGAGGAATTTGAAGACGCTGAAGATCAAGAAGAGGAGTAAATAAGTTGGAAGAAAAGAAGAGGTTTAGGAAGGTTTAGCAAGGTCATTGACAAATGAGAAAATAGAAGTTTTAATATTCGTATTTCACTGCTAAGCAGTGTTGTCATTTCAACATGTATAATCAAAAGAATATTTCCAAATAACTAGGTGCCATTTTTTATACTTTTTATAATTTAGTCAAAATGCTGCTGTTGTTCTTAAAAGTTATCTTCCTACTTTTGTTTCGCTCAGAAATGAGTCACTGTTGTTTATTTCTGCAGTCTGTTGTTACTAGTTCTGTATTTTCAGTTTACTCTGTTTTTTAATGTTCTTTATTGTTTGAAAATAAATAAAATTGAAAATTGAGATTTGAGTTTTTACATTTATTTATTGTTCATACGTACTGTACAAATCAACATTCACATTTAAAGATACAATGGAAGTCTTGGAGTTAATCAGAGGTAACTGTACACAAGTAAACTCTGTGCACTCTTTGCTCTCAACTGTCTTCTCTGGCTAAAGGCACATGCTATTTTTAAAAGGTAAGAGGATGAGATATGGCTCTGGGGTAGAATACCAGAAGAGGACAGATGGCCATTGCTTCCCTTACCACCACCCACCATCCAGTCTCTGCCTTGCTCAGCAGCTCTTCATTATATATACAGTTAAAGTCAGAATTATTAGCCCCCTTTGCAGAAAGTCTTATTTTTATTTTATTTATTTTTTTGACCAGAATAAAAGCAGTTTTACATTTTTAAAACACCATTTTAGGGACAAAATTATAAGCCTCTTTAAGCTATATTTATTCTCGATAGTCTACAGAACAAACCATCATTATACAATAATAACGGCTAATAATTTTGATTTAAAGATCCCTGCATAACATGCACATGTCTGCCTTTAAATTTTAAAACGGCAGTCTTGTAGCCACTTCTGACCTCTCTGGAGTTGCATTCAAGTAGCTGTAAGTAAACACTGTTGCTATGAGAGAGCTATTTATTTAGTTCAAGAGCTGAAGATGTTTGGAAGTATCTGTAAGCATTTGACTTCTGCCCATTAATAGGACAAACATCTAAATAAAGATGTTTAATTTATAACATTTTAAACAAAATATTATATATCTGAAATGTTTACTTTTGTTGTTCATGCATGCAAATAATGATTAATTTTATGTATTAGATAATTATTATAATTATGACAGAAAATGTTTTTTGTCCTATAGAAACATTAAGTGACAATCTAGTATGCATAATGACTATTCAGTAATGATTTCATTTGTTTCTCTGCTTTATGTAATTATGTGTGGGAATTATGCTATTCTTAAATCATGTTATGTCTCCTCAGTTTGAGTCATTTCATTATAAAATGGATTAAAAAATTAAAGGAAAATTTTTAAGAGATGAATGCATATGATGGTATTGAAGTAATTTTATTTTGCTCAAAATGAAAGCAAAAATTTTTCCCATAATTTTACTTTTTAGTCTCTTCAATTTGGTAAATAAATAAAATGTAATACTTCAAAGTGTATTATTGATTAAATTAATGATTAAAGTAAAAAAAAAAAAAAATACAAATATTTAATTAAATAAAAAATCTTACTGACTTCAATTCTAGATTGAACTAATAATTCTTTGGTCAGTTGTGAATAGGGCATCTTGTAACTAAAAATGTACTTTGCTTTTATTATGTTGATACTTTTCATGTGAATGGGCGCCACTATTTTTTGGTGGTATTGACAAGTGAAACAAAGTAAGTTGCCCATTCCATAAGTTTATGGCATAATTGTTCAACATATGTAAGAAATGCCATATTAGTTAGACATGTATGAACTAGGGCTGCTCAGTGTATCGTTTTAGCATTGATATCGCAATGTGATCATTCACAAAAGTCACATTACAAGTATATGCAATGATGAGTCTGGATTATAATTTATTATGTTATATTTTACAATTGATTATTCAATTACTGTATACCTGAATACAGTTCTACTGCTCAGAAAACAATAAAATGCTTTATGAATAAATATATATTTTTATTTTGTGTTTTTTTCTTTATTCAATTTATTTATGCTTGTAGATAATAATACATTCATTTCAAATAGTTATTCAACTGATCTAAGTGAAATTCTATTTTTATCACAATATATATCGCAGAATAAAAAAAGAATTGTAATGTTATATTTTTCCAATATCGTGCAGCCCTAGTATAAACGATGGCCACAGATTCCTAAAAAATAGTGTTTGAAACCAAAATGCTGAAAAAACAAAAACAAGAATAACCTTTTTAAAAATCTTTTTCTTTATTTTGTGTTTCTTGTAGAGTCAACTCGTAGGAGGGCATATGGGCTAGTGGCTCAAGCTTACACCTCTATCAGTGCAGAAGACTTTGCTGCTTTTGTGGGATACTCGGTAGAAGAGGCCGTCAAAGGTGCGTGTTTTTGAGATTTGAGTGCTCATTGCTTGGACTTTCATATGTTTATTATTATTTTTACTCCAACCATTAATTTTTAGTTCATGTCTTTCTTTATGGTCTTTTGCAAAGAAATATAATGTAATGTTTTTGTCATTTAAATGTTCTTTTGTTTTTTGCTCAAGGTGTAGTAAGTCATGGGTGGCAGGCAGATCCAAACACCAGGATGATCATGCCACAGAAACCAGGTGGGGGCGCTGTTTCACTTCTTATTACTAGCAAGAACAGATGTTATTTTTCAACTTTATGACTCATTTCTCCATAAGGTTTCATTCATTGCCCCTCCTCTGAACAGAAACTTATTCCATTGAGTTCTGCACGGTTATTTCATAACAAGCACATGAAATGGTGACTTCACCTCGATTCCACTTATGTTCTTTGTTCTCCGACTCTCAAATATGCCTTCATTTTGTAACTGACAAGAATCTCTGTAGATCCTGCTCACCTTTAGCTCATGGTTCTGAACGATGCAGCTATTTGCCTTGTTTTTGCACACAGCTTTTTATGTGTTTGCCTGGAACCACTGAGCAAACTTTTTACGAGACACATTTATTCCAAAAGAACAGGAACAAGCAGCATCTGGGTTTCTGCACGGGCCTCGTGAGACAGTGCAGATGTCTGTAATGCATTTGGGTAACTGATGATTGAGAAATGTTTCCCAGTACTGATGACCTGCAGCTTTCACTACAAGCAGCTGATGTTTATTAATTCAACATGGTTGCCATGACAATTTTCTTTTCTGGAGCTGTTGCATCTGTAGTGGACTCTCTTTCTTGCACACGTATTCATGCATTTGTTCTGCGGCACATCTTTGTTTACATTCATATGTCTGTGTGTTATACAGCAGATCATAGAGCGCTTGAAGGAATCCCCTCATCTCTCATGTTTCTCGTCTGCCTTCCCCTCTCTCCAGATCCGCCTCCGGTCTCGCTGGTTCCAAACGAACAACAGCTGGCCAGACTTACCGACTACGTGGCTTTTCTTGAGAACTGATAAGCACTCCGCCCTCTCCCATCCTCTTCCTCACCTTCTCTCAGATACTCTGTTTTTCAGAAGAAAGATTCTGGTGTCCAGGACCCTTCACGAATCCGGTCCTGTCCAGTGATGGAACTGCTGTCGCTCTCTTTCCTGTTTTGCTTCTTGAACCCGTCAGCCACAGTGATATAGGACAATTCCCAAATAGTTTTACATGTACAAATCTGCTTTGGAGTATGCTGTCAATATTGTAAATTATTATTTTTTGGCATAAATACTTCACTTTATGCACATTGTTCTGGTGGTTTCTGTTAGTTTAATTTTACGTGTCAAACAAAATCCCTCATTATGATTTGTTCATATGCCTGATGTCATTTTATAAGATTTTATACAATTAGCGGGGAATCAAGGTGGCTTGCAATACGTCGACCAAATTTTAAACCAAATGTGTGTGGGTATTTTACCTTTCTTAATCTAGAAAATAGGCCCATGCAAGTCTGCAAGTAAGTAGGTTTTTATGATTGTCCAGAAAAAAAGAAAAAACCCTTTGTCTTGAAGGTATTGTTTAGCAGTGCTAACAACCGACAGCTTATTTTGGGTGGCTCACAGTTGTATTTAAGATGTTTTCCACTGTCTGACAAGTGTTTTGTTGACAGTGCATCTCTGTCTGCTGTTCAGATGTTTTGCACCGCTTCCTTGGTTTCTCACGCAGAGTGGTTTTGAAAAAGAAGAGGAAACATACCAGCTGTTGGCTATCGTCATGTCCTTTCAGCTTAAGGATAAAAGCTCCATATGTGCTGAAACAACCGACACATATGGTACTGTGAGAAATTAACACCATTCATTTTTACTGATTGTTTGACCTTAAATGTTATCTTCACGATAAATGTCTTTAGTTTCTTGAAATGTTAATCTTGTGTCAATTTGCATCTTTGATTATATGACAGGCATAAAACATTCAGTAAACTAAGTAGTGTGTCCAAATATGGATGGCTGAGATTCAAAGTGTGCATCCGATGGACAGTTTGGCTACATTTACAAAACAGGGTTTGACTCCTAATTCCAGTTTGTTGAATATATTATGTTTTGAAAAAACTGTATACACCTTTAAAGTGACCTTTATCTGCTACCTTCTTATATGCTGTACACCGTTGCAGATGTACTGACCCTGAAACTAAAAGGTTTAAAACCATTTCTCCTGCACCACCTTTAATGTAAAGCACTGCTATCATTTGCTCAACATTTGCTTTTTCAAAACTCGTTTTCTGCTGTTGAACACAAAAGGAGATGTTTATGTGCCAATGGAGTACAAAGCCGTTGAAAAATTACGTTTACAACACATTTCAATGTTTAAAATCGGTCAACGTTATTAGTTTTATTAAATATATCACACTGCATATCTATGACCATACATTTAATACACAGTCTTATCAGTCTTCAAAGTTATGTGGAGATTGCTTTCAAAGTAACAAAAACAGAGAATAATGCTTCTGTCCATTCGGGTAAGAAATTCTGAATACACGCTTGTAATTTCCACTGAGAATATCAGAATCCACATGTGTTTTTTGCTCACATGATCATGGGTCATATCCAGTCTGAGCAACATGGGAGAAAACATTGGACACTTGTATAAAGAATTTATTTTACCGTAAGGCCATGGGAGATGATTTGAGAATGATTTTCTCAATGCACAAGTGCATTGAGTATTATAAAGACAAAATGCTGAAATACTGACAGAAACCTAATTTGTTAGCTCAGGAATTTCTTTGTGTTTCCATAGTAGTCTAAGAAATGGTACTCCTGAGAGGTAAATGTGTTGAAACAAAACACACAGACCTGCTTTTAATTATTGCTTGGTCCAGCCCAATTATCCTTTCTTTTACATTTATTTTATATTGTATAGTTTTTTGCTCTTTAAACAAGTACATAAAAACTTCAAAGGATATGTGTGGTGTTCTGAGATCATCATTGACCTTACATGACATCAAACAGTAATAAATGCAGACCAGCTGAACATCAGGAGCTGTCAGAGGTCACAGACACAGGCTTTATGGAGCAGCTGGTGCCCGCATGAAATTGCTAAGCTATTTGTTAAGCTAAAGAAAACTGAAATTTACTCTTTGAAAGATTTTTTTTACTTGACAAATGATAAATTGGTGTTGTTATGATGGTGTTTCCTTTAGTCTTTCAAATAAAACAAGCACCCCTGAGGAAGATTTACAAAAGCCAGATTTTACCTCCTCTTTGACAGATGTTTGTAAAAAGCTATTGGCCTTCCCTAATCAGTCTGCTTTTTCCAAAGGTTAAGGGTTATGTCTGTATCCCATCTTGCTAAATGCCACAGAGGTGACGTGATGTAAAGGTGAAGAGATTTCAAATCCCTCTGCTTTTAATCTCCTCTTTGAAGAGGTTTTGTTGTCATTTTTGTCCCTCAACACCAAGATAGCAGTTCGCCTGATGTTGAATCTTTTGTAAATGTGCTAAATAAGCATTTTCGACCTTTGTGTTACTTCTTAAAATGGTAATGTCTTTGTCTCCTTAAATGCAGCACTAAATACTGCACATTTCCTGCATCTGTTTAAATTTTCGATTCAACACCTTAAGTGTTGCCATCCTTCAAATCTAAACCTTACTGAAGTACTGTCTTTCTGTTTATGTACAGAGAGCGTTATGAACCATTGAGGGAGTAGGGTTATTTGTCAAAACACGAAGTAATAGATTTATTGAATTCAAATAAACAAAAATTCTGCCACATGTGCAGGGAAAATGTTTCCATGTGGGTGGATGAGTCATAGGCTTTTTTTCCAAGCTAAGAAGCATTAAAACTGAGTGTGCTTGTAGGAGACAGAGAAATAGTGTTTTATAGCTAAATATTCTGAAGTAGCTGTTTGTTCTGACTATCGTGTAAAACTATATAATTACAAAATCTTTTAGGTTTTCAAAGTTAATTGTTGCTGATGGTTCAAAAGAGGAGGGGAGGTTTGTGAGTAACCTCACCCAGTGTAAAGAGTGACTCATTTAATTTGCACCGAATTCCACAATTTTACCTGATTTTATTGTGTATTTCTCATGATGTTTGGTCAAGAAAAACTCAGGGGTAGAAAACTTTGCTTTCTCATTATGTTTCTGTATGTGAACTACATACTAGAAGCAGCCAGACCAACTTGGACACCAGTGTACCACACATGAAGGTGGTGTCCAAATACAAAACACACTACAGAGTCCCATAGACAGCATTTTCTCCTCTGTGGTGGATGAGGTTCAAAAACAATCCTTTTAAGAGAGTCAAACAAACTGCAGCTGCTTTTTGTTTGGCTCCAAGTCCTGGTGCGCTTATTTAGTTCCAGCATTTTGATCCTAGATAAAAAAGAAAAAGATTTATCTTCTTTTTGCAAATAACTGTTTTCATTGTTTTTCTTTGTGCAGGGGTTTAGTTGTCATCCAAGATTGTGTCCCATTCTTAATTTAATGACTTCTGTGTTCCACGCTCTGTTTGTTGAAGTTGCTCAGTTGTCTGGGGGATCACAGTGATTCTGTTGACCTGAATTTGTGATCATAAGTTGCCTTGACAGTGGTTTAATTATCAACTGTGCTGCATGGGCATTGGGGGCAATTTACCTAAAACCCACCCAAAAGGAGGAAACCCAAAAATTCCTGTGCAAATATTATATTAAATACTTTGAGTCAGATTTTGTGGTTAAAAGATCTTGTTTTTTAACAGCCTTTCATGTGCTTTTTTTGTGTTTTTTTATGTGGTTTAATGAATCAAGGGTGTGTGACAGCATTGGAATATTGGCAGCATAGGACACAGTCTGTGTCGTTATTGTTAGAATTGCTAATTTTTCTTGATTTGCACATTTATTCATTTGTTCAGTTTCCTTTAGCCTAGTCGCTTATTTATTAAGGGTCGCCACAGCGGAATGAACTGCCAACTATTCCAACATATGTTTCACGCAGCCCATGCCCTTCCAGCCGCAACCCATTACTGTAAACCTACATGGACACACACTCATACACTACAGCCAATTTTGCACATCTATGGACTGTGGGGGAAACCCACAGGTATTTTACTGATATCGTTTGTTTTATGTTAAGTAATGTTAATTATGTAATGTCATTGTAAAGTGTTAACACATTATTTATTGTAAGCAGAGTGCTGTGTGAGAATGAAAGAAAAACTGATAATAATGAGACATCTCATTTTTAACATTAAGCATTGCTGAGAAAGTTCTTGTTATTCCAACTTGCCATAATTCCATGACGTTTGGAGTAATTTTCCATGAACATCAAGCTTTAACATTTACAGGCCAAGCAATTACATAATGCTCCCTAGAAGCTCAAGTCTGTCAGGATATGGAAAGGCAGATGTGCTAACCACTCAGCCAAAGTTCTCAGCACAATTACTTCCAATCATTTGCTTGTTACTTTCCTTCGCAATCACTGAGATAGAGTGGGTCATTTAGTATAATCAGTAGCACAAAAGAAAATGGATATTCCAGAAAAGTCCATACTTGCAAATGCAGATGTTTGTGGAGAAGGCGTTTTGTTCTTCTTCACCCTGTCCCAGGTCATGTTGGACCAGAGAGTGTGAGCACATGGTGTCTCATTGCTGGCTGACTTGCATTTTTTTTCCAAACCCAAAATGGAGGCAGATGAGAAGTGTCAGGATGTTCTAGTCAGTGGAAAAAACCTTTCCCATTTTTCATCCGGAGAAGGGGGAGGATTGTGGGTTGAGGGCTAATCAGTGTTGTGGGGTAAAATGTCCAAAGATGAGAGTGGGATGCGATTTTGGTCATATAGAGGTGGGTGTAATGGTGCTTAATAAAAGGACACGAATAAATAAAGATAATGCGTTGATTAAATCTGGTTCAATCTACATAGTGAAGTGATTTTAGCACAATTTAATTATGGAAAGACTGTCTTTCATAATGAAAGCCAACAAGGAATCTGCTGTCATTTTTCACATTCAAACATCTGTTTACCATAATTATGATCAAAGTCTGTTTGCCCTCAAAACATTTCATCGTTGTGAGGGAGAGGAAATGAGGTAGAGCCAAAACTGGGATCATGTTTTTGCTTACTTTAAACTTTATTGTTAAACAGAATTTTGGGCAATATCATTTACACAACAAATTTTTCTACATGTAATACATAAATAGGACATTGGTGGCACAGTGGGTAGCATGATTGCCTCACAACAAGAAGGTTTGCAGGTTTGAGCCCTGGCTGGGTCAGTTGGCATTTCTGTGTGGAGTTTGCATGTTCTTCCCGTTTTGGTGTTGGTTTCCTCCGGATGCTTTGTTTTTTCCCACAGTCCTAAGATGTAGGTGAATTGAATAAACTAAATTGACCTTAGTGACAGTAGTATTTGGGACCAAGTGGCTTAAGTCGCATGGGTAAAAAATATTTTAATTAAAATACAAAATTATATATATATATTTTAAATATCATGGATGCTCCATGAATGTATTTTGTAAATTTTCAAACATTTCAAAATAAAATTTTTGCACCCTCAGATTCCAGATTTTCAAATAGTTGTCCTATCCTAAGAAACATGAACAGAAAGCTAATTTATTCAGCTTTCAAATCCTTTGTGGTTGAATTATAAGTGGTTTTGCGGACCAGGGTCTCATTTGTTGGTGCTGCATAACCAATTGCAGATGGGTCACATTACACTAAGGTGTCAGTAACCGTGGAAACACACAGTGTCATTGCCATGAAATGCTTGGCCCTTGTTATCGGACAAATGGAGATCATTTTCCTGAGTGATGCAGCTTGCAGATAAATTCATTAGACTAAGGCTGAGTCTTTTATGATTTAAAATATATAGCTGGTTTTTGTTTTTATTGCACCCGTGGCAAGCCAAAATACCACTACAATGAGTCATACAACTGAGCCTGGGATAAACAGCACAAAGTCAGAGAGCACATAGGAGCTAGAAAGTCTCATCTGAATTAAATTGAAAAGAAGCAGGAAACTTAAAAGGCACACTCTATTATTTAGACTAATATATATACCATACTGACATCTTATAATCCCAGTTTTGTTTACATTCAGAAAGCAGCCCTATCTAGTTAGAAGTGCTGTAGCTCTTTCTCCTACTTGTGCACACATAAACATTTCCTTTTTTTTTCACTCCCTTTTAGAGCTTCTTTCATGATAGTTTAAGTTAGTTAAATTGAAATATGCAGATAAAAATAAACTAATAAATAAATCCAGCATTAGAAAAGACATTTTGAAAGGTAGGCATTTGTCTCCTCATCCACCACCAGTTTGCAGCATCCACCTGGAGGATGCGATGGCAGCCATACTGTGCTAAACCGCACACCACAGCTGATTGGTGGAGAGGAGACAGAGTGATGAAGCCAATTATCATATAGGGATGGTTAGGAGGCCATGACAGACAGAGGCAGGTGGGCAAATTTGATCAAGACGCCAGGGTTAAACCGCTGCTCTTTTTTTTTTTTTTTTTTTTTTTTTTTTTAAAGATTTTAAATGACCACAGAGAGTCAGGACTTCGGTTTAATGTCCCTGTCAAAATAGTGGGGCGTTGGCACCCACACGGACCACACCCCCTGCTAGTCTCACTAACACCACTTATGGCAGCAATCTAGCTTTCCCATGTGGTCTCCCATCCAGGTACAGACTGGGTGCCGCCCTGCTTAGTTTCAGTGGACAACCAATTGAGAGTTGCAGAGAGCTAGCTGTCAGCTAAATATCACAAGTTTTGAGGTGCAATTGGCATGCTGTTTCCAGGAATGTCCACTAGAGCCATTGCACATAAATTGAACATTTTAGAGAATTTAGTACATTCAACTGGCCTCACAACTGCAGACCACATGTAACCATCAGCCCAGGACCTCCACATCTAGTATCTTTACATTCAGTATTTTCTTAGACCAGCCAATCTAACAGCAACTGCAACAATTGGTTTGAATAACTGAAGAATTTCTGCACATCTGTCAGAAACCGTAGCTTGTCCGCATGCTCGTCATCCTCACCGGGGTCTTAATTTGAGGTAGCTTCTGTATTGCTATGCAGGATATAAATAAAACTTAAACCTGGAATGACTGCAGTTATTTGTAACAGACTTGATTGAGCAAATGCTCACATTCGATTGTGTCTGGTACATAGGAGAGGAGTTTTCTTCACGGAAGAATACCCAGTTTCATTCTACATGTGGGTTGTGTGGATGAATGGTTTGCTGATGTCAGTGCTGTAAATAGACATGTGAGTGGCCCATATTTGCAGTGGGGTTATGGTAGGCTATTGGCAGGTGTATGTTATGGACAATGAAAACAGCTGCATGTTGTTGATGGCATTTTGAATGCATCCCTGAGATCCTGAGGCCCATTGTTGCGCCATTTATCCACTAACATCACGTCATGTTGCAGCATGATAATGCACAACCCCATATTTTAAAGATCTGTACAAAATTCCTAGAAGCTGAAAACATCACAGTTTTTGCGTGGCCAGCATACTCACAGCGTCACCATTGAGTATGTTTGAAAGGCTTTGTATATGACAGCATGTTCCAGTCCCTGCCAATATCCAGCAACTTTACACAGACGTTGAAGAGAAAAGGTTAAACGTTTTACAGGCCACAAGCAACAACCTGATCCAGTCTATGCAAGGGAGTGTTGCACTGTGTGAGGCAAATGGTGGTCACACCAGATACTGACTCGTTTTCTGATTTGTGTGTGTTATTAATTTTGTAAACAATAATTGAAATGATCTATAAATGGTAAAAAGAGATGGAAGGAAAAGCCTCATATTTAATAGTGCATAATTATTAAGCAGGTTTTATTTTTCAGGTAAAATAATCCAAAGATGAGATTTAACTCAAACTTAAAACACAAAAATAAACAAACATCTAAAAGCTAATTGGAGCAGCAGGATCACACAAGTAGAAAAAAAAACACATCATAGTTTCTTAATGTATAAAATTAACATTATTAAGTGCAACTGAAGCATGAGGCATTGATATGACATTTTATCACCAGGTAATCAACAGGTTAAAAAAAATAAATAAATCATCAGGAAACCATAGAGTTTATGACTGTTCTTGGTTATCATCATGGGCTACAGTGACTGCTGCAAATCCTATAAGGCCGTGTGCAGATTGTTTAGGATTAAATATGACAATGTGCATATGCTGCTTTGATGGATTTACAAACAGACTGGCACAGAAAAATGCAACACGTGTGCATAACAAATCAGAAAGCGACGCTTTGTAAAGTGTTTATATGGTGATATAAGATGTGTCGACTGATGCAGTGTAAGAATGGAAAAAACGGATAATAATTCATTCTCTGTTGTCTCAGCTGTTGGTGTAGACTATACACTTTTCCATTTAAAGCAGTTTACTTCTAACCTGTTTTTGAGGATATAAATGACTGGAACTGGTATTCAATGTTTAATAAGTAAGTGGTGCTACGAAAAGGCAGTAGTTTTTATTTTATTTATTAAAACCTTTCTGAAGTGGGTCAGAGAAAGTTCAGTGAAATGTTTCTCAAAGGTTGTTATCTTCAGCTGACTTGAACTTGATATATTAAACGTCTGTTGATGCTTTTCCTCCCCAAACAGTCTTGATTTGGCATTATTTCCAATGTGATAAAACATCGAGCTATTCATAGGAGGACATTATGAACTTGCCTCTTTTTAATATGCATTCAGTCACTTGCAAATTTGACAGGCTAAATCATTTAATCTATTTATTAAAAATCAGAACCCTGTATGTGCACACATCATGTGTACAGGTGGAATAAAAGTGACAACATTATGCAAATATGAAATATTATCTGCCAATGCAGTGTGTCCTGAATTAAACCTGCTCTTTTTCCATGCAAAGGTCACATATTTCCATTTAATTAAATCATTTCTTTTAGCAGTACTTGGAGTGAATGTTAAAAGTCATAAAAAGGATATTCTTCTCAGCATGACTCACAGCTGCATGTTAGAAGTAAAACCACTTTAAAGCTTATAATGCATTACAAAAAAAGAAAAAAGGACACATCCAAAGTTTATATAAAGACTAATTTATTTATATCTTCCCATTCCCAAGTGAAATAACAAGTTGAATCCCACCCCCACCCACAAAAATAAAGTGGACAAGTACATTCTAATTGCTTTTTTTCTTGCAACCAAAACTGTCTGTAAGGCAATTTCCCCCCCAAAAATGCATCTTTATTTAAAACAATGAAACTGTTTTTAGATGATCACTTCATAATTGTCTAACATCAACATTGCATTTGCTTGGAGTTTGTTTTAAAGTCAGTGAAGATCTCCAGCGTTATGACCAGAAAGAGCAATTAAGATTCTTCCTTCCAAGCTGTAAAAAACATAATGAGGGCACTGCAGTAATTAGGGACTAGAATTTACTAAATGTAACTAAACTGTCATGAATGTGTTTCACAAGTACAAAGATTTACTGATATGTTTTGATCAAGATATTTCCTCGAGCAAACCACATGACTAAAACAGAATAACATAAAAAGTAATTTTGCCCTGGACATCCACACTGGGTTTCAAACCCATAAAATAAAACTTTTTTTCTTCAACAAAAAGGAAAAAACAAAACACAAATGTAGCACCAGCATGAAACAAAGACACTTCTTTTTCTTGTGTGGAAAATACTACTTCAAGGTTTTCTTTGGATTAAATCCTCTGGCAAGGTCCAGTGCAGGCATCTTGGAGGTGGTGGAGCTTCTAGTTTTAGGTGCTATATCCTCTGAGTGATGTCAGCGGTTGGCTTACAGTCTCCATTAGTTCCTATGTTTTAACTGAAGCCATGATGCCTTGTTTAACAGGTGCTGTGATAGACAAACAGCATTAAAGGTATTCTCTGCCAGTCAGTCAAGCTGTTTTTACAGGTAAACTCACCTGCTTTTCCACAAGCCTTCTCACACTCGTCCTGTGTATCAAAGCGATTCTGGTTCCCTCCACAACCTCCGTACCAGAAGCGGGTGCAGTTTCCGCTAAGCGGGTCATAATGCCATTTAAGCACAAATTTTGCACATGATCCTTCTTCTTTTGGTAGTTTGCAGATATCCACAGTGACATGCAGGGAAGCTGTTAAAGAACACAGTGAGGATGAGAACAGTAATCATTTTTATTTGCAACACCTAAATCTTAGCTAAAAGTTTTCAAATTATTTCACAGTGGACTTTCAGTGTGGTTTTTTAATGGATATGTTTGTTTTAGAACATCATCCACACATTTAAAATAAAGGGTCTATATTGGCATTAACTGTTGTATTAAGAAAATAACAGCTTTTGAATCTTTTAGGTTCACAGCAGGAGAAAAACAGGTCCTAAACTGAAAAAATAATCCATTATCTTTTTCTAGAAATTTAGTTTTTTAAGAAGGAAAATGAAAGGAATAGAAAGAAAGCAAACTTCTAAATGTAGAGTATTATTCACTGTGCCAATAAGGAGGTGTTGTTTTATTGTTTTCAAAACATCTTTGCAGGACCGTGAGGCAGAATTCAATCTTCACATGGTTCGTATTTCTATCCATAACAGGATGTTTTTTCTTGTGTAAACCAATTTCCAAGCATTAGGCATAAAAACAAATAATTCAATCTGCTTTGAATTTCAAATATATTGCTTTTAGTGAGGCAACACAGTGGCGCAGTAGGTAGTGTTGTTGCCTCACAGCAAGAAGGTTGCTGGTTTGAGCCTTGGCTGGGTCAGTTGGCATTTCTGTATGGAGTTTGCATGTTCTCCCTGCGTTTGCGTGGGTTTCCTCCGGGTGCTCCGGTTTCCCCCACAGTCCAAAGACATGTGGTACAGGTGAATTGGTTGGGCTAAATTGTCTGTAGTGTATGAGTGTGAATGAGTGTGTATGGATGTTTCCCAGACATGGGTTGTGGCTGGTAGGGCATCCGCTGTGTAAAAATTATGCTGGATAAGTTGCCGGTTCATTCCCCTGTGGTGACCGTAGATTAATAAAGGGACTAAGCCAAAAAGAAAATGAATGAATGAATGTTTTTAATGAAGCACTTAAAGTCTAAAGTTGGTATAACACGCTTTAAGAGGTTTCAAATGGTTAGGGTGGACTGACCTGGTGCTGGTGCTGGCGGCAAAACAGCTTTGATATGCTCGTCAGCTGCTCTTTGCTCAGCCACTGTGGTAGAAGAACAAACAAGTGGAATTCATTTTTCAAGAATTTGAATGTCTTTCATTTGTTGCTCCTCCTATTAAAGAGGGGCAATCTCCAGGCTACTAATGCCATAGCTGTGTGCTGCAGAATTACTGAGGTAATAATACAATGACTATGCTTACATTCACTGATTGTTATTTAATTATAACATTTTTTTTTTCAATAATGCAATGAAACCTTTGCACATGTAGCAAATAATCGGAACAATACAATATTGGCTTGTAAAGAGGTTAATAAATTGCAATAAAGAGGATTTATGTGTCATGTAAACATATCTCACAATAATTAAGTCATATTTACTGACTCTAATTACTGGTGCACATTTAAACATAGTGATTAATTTACTACATCACTCTACCTAGTTTCATCATATTTCTGGATTTAAGAGATTAAGACAATATCACAAGTACTGCAACTACTGCATTTACATTGTGATTTAATTCATTCATAAAGACCCCAGACCAAGGGATCAAAGCGTGCACATACCTGTCTTCATGCAGCGTTTCAGGCAATCAGACTCAGTTTCAAACCTATTGTCATTTCCTCCACAACCTCCATACCAGAACTGTGTACAGAATCCATTCTTTCTGTCAAAGTACCACTTAGCTTGGTAATCTTTGCATGGTAGTCCAGTGTCAAAGTCAAGTGAGCATGGCTCCAAAAGAGTGTTAACTGAAACATGCAAACATACAAAAGAGGGTTTATCATGAAAGAGGACAAAGACAGTTAGTGTTTCCAGTTAAACGAACAGTCAGGAAACTATAAGTGATTATATAGCTCATTTAAAGGGGATTAGGAATTTTAAAAAAAGGGGTTAGCCAGATTAAAAGAACATACAAACCACAGTATGTGACATTTTCAATAATTTCTTCTTGCATGTTATACTTGCAGAGGCTACTAAAACACAGTGTTTCACACAAATAGAGAAGGTTGAATTCTTTAGTCATTGATTTTTGCATTGTAATAGGACTGAAGTTTCTAAGGGCATACACTTTTGTACTATTTCACCAGAAAAAAAAAAAAAAAGCAGTGACCTTGTTCACAAAGACAGTTAAACTTTATGCTTTGTTTGAAGTTCATTTGATAGCTGTGTTATACACTTGCAGTCTGCTGGTAATTAAGTATGATGTCAGACCCATGAACAGTGTCTATGCAGGGGCCACATTTCACAAATGTCTGCTTCCTAACCCCTCCTGAGTAAACATGCCTTTTGTGTGTTTTTTCCCCCTCATTCATTTTAAGTATTGCTCTTTGTTAGTGGGTTATTGCTGTAAGTAAAATGATGTGTTGGTCAACATTTTCCTTTGGTTAGTTTATTATTTGTAGATGCAGTCATGTTAAAAGTCCAACTGCATAGAAGGAAATGGGGTTCCCTGTTTCCATCTAAAAAAGATTATGACCTCATTGCTCTGCTATGAATACTAAATGCTGAATACCACATCAGAACACAATGCAGAAATCATTGTTTCCAGCACAGATTTTTCCATGTTTCTTTTAGCCTTCATTTTTATCTATCTATCTATCTATCTATCTATCTATCTATCTATCTATCTATCTATCTATCTATCTATCTATCTATCTATCTATCTATCTATCTATCTATCTATCTATCTATCTATCTATCTATCTATCCATCCATCCATCCATCCATCCATCCATCCATCCATCCATCCATCCATCCATCCATCCATCCATCCATCTATCTATCTATCCATCTAAATATACCATCTGTCAAAACGTAATAACATGAATAAAAATCAAAGAATAAAAATACAGTTGAAATCAGAATTATTAGCCCCCCATCATTTGGCAAATATTTAAAAAAGAAATAAAAAAAATCAAAGGGGGATTACTAAATATGACTTCAACTGTATAAAGTTAATACATTGCTTCCATATCATATCAGTAATATAAAAAACTGTTAAGTCAACCCATCCCTAGAGATCATACAGCTCAGACAGCTGAAAAAATGAAATTAAAATGCAAAATTTTATCAAACTCTAATTAAAGATCCCTTTTTCAAATTATGGTCATAGTGCACTGACCTGGAGCTGGAGCTGGTGCTGGCGGGAGAACAGCACTTGAACTATGCTCAGCCACTGTGGTAGTTAGAAAAGAAATAAAACATTTAAATGAGTTTTTTATTTTACTGCTTATTTTTGCTGTTTGAAAGTAGCCAAGTGGGAAACAAAGAGGATCACACATATTTTCCCATTTAAGAGTTTGATATTGCCTTTAACACTGTATGTTGAGTAATATAACAGTTCAGTTTTTTCACTATTGCATTAATACAAAACACCCTATAAAATGCAGATTTCTAAACTGCTGACAGCCTGTTGTAATTTCTCTTTTTTTAACAAATCAGTACAAAGAATACTGCACATACAGACACCTTATCATTTGATCTTGTCATCATGTTTTAACATTTATGCACAAGACTGAAACAAAAGAATGCTCTAATGACGTTTTATCTGTAAACACCCACAATGCTGCTTTCATGTAGGATTTAAACAAGATGTTCCACAAAAATTCAAATAGAAAATTTGTCTGAGAAGCGCATAAAACAAGTAAATGAAAAACATTTGTCTGTGCTGAACATGTACTGTTTGTATGTGGATCAGAAACACACAAAAAAACTTTTGCAGTCTGCTATTGTGAAACTGACTAATAATAATTTTGATGATATAGGCTGCCGAAGTAATTCTTTGCATCACTTACTTAATTCTGGTTTACTCAACGGAGCAGAGGACACAATCCCTATTACTTCACTTGGGCCGAGAACTTTTTGCTCTGCCGCTTCTGCTCGAATAGACCAGATTGAGGTTAATTCACACAGAGCTTTTTGTTTTAAACTGACATATATGCGTTCATTTAATACTTAAATTACATATATAAGATGTAAAAGTACATAACAACAATACCCAAAGAATTTTTAATATGAGCATAGGGGTTGAAAGAAAGCTGATTTCAGAGAGCTGTTAAAGTTTTTCTCAGTCGCTTTGGTGCGTTTCTCACAACACCAGTGCATTTCTGCACAACAGTAAATGCATTTCTCAAAACAATTAGTACAAACTGCAAAACCTAGATGATAACCTGCAAAAGCGCATCACATGCTCAAAATGGATAGTTCATTCCTCAAAACCAAGTATTCATGTCAATCAAAGTGTCAGTATCGTCAAAATGAAAAGTCCTGACACCATTGTTTATGAGCAAGATAGTCAAATGGCTTCGTCATGTTTTCATTATCACAGTTTACTCTGGACATTTTTTCAATGCAAAAAAGTCAGATGTTGGTGAAAATTCCTGAAAATGCTCAAGACAGCACTATATACTATTTGCACAGCCATTTGAAAACTACAGTAAAGTGAGACATCACTGCATTGAGTGAGTTATCTGAGTACAAGACACTGAATATGTATGTTTCACATTTTTACTGCATTTGCTTGTTGCAGTTCTAATTTATTCACAGCATTGTGCAAAAATAAACACACCCTTATTTACAACAAACATAAACTCCCTTTGGGTTGAACTGTGCACAACTGTAAACAATATTGCAGTACATATTGGATCTGAACCTACAACATACACAGGTCAGTAAATCATTCATCAAATTGTTCAACTTTAAAGACATTTTCAGAAAAATAAAGATTTAATTTTTTTTATAAAGTTTGCTTTAACGATTTTGACATCAAGTTCAACATTTTTGTATGTAATGACTCAAGTAATGAAATGAGGACTGTTAGTTTTCTATGGAATGACTATTCAGCATTTACAAGTTTAGTTCATTTTGACTGACATGACATAAGCTGATGATAATGTTATAAATAGCAGAGAGTTGTATGAAAGCAATTAATGCATGTCCGAAAGCATTTGCAATTTGTGGAAAGGAATGAGAAACTGCTACTAGGATGTGCACAAATGACTAACTGTTTTGAGAAATGCATGACCTGTTGTGCAAATGTAAATAGTGTTGTGAGAAATGCACTAAAGCGACTGAGAAAAACTGTAATATAAATCTTTTGTTTTATATTAATTTGTATTTCCATAACAAAAGTTTCTGCAAATTTTAATGATATGAAAATAATCTGCATCACTTACTTATTTCTGGTCTACTTAAGGGTGCAGAGGGCACAATCACTTCACTTGGAGCAAGAACGGTCTTATCTTCTGATTCTGTTTAAAAGAAATCTGAGGTCAGCTAGATGCCACATAGATCTTGGCAGTGTCTTTACAAATTCATACACACCACTATTTAGTAGAAAAGTATGCAATTTGAATATCTGCATTACATTATGTCATATATAAACTTTCATGTTACATGTACAACAAACTCTCTGTCACTTACTTGTTTCTGGATTACTCAAGGGTACAGTGGGCATCATCCCCACTTTATCGCTGGCATTAAGAGTTTTCTGTTCTGTTGATTCTGTTCAAAAGGTCAAACGTAAGTTTCTATATTAAGCAGCAGTACCGGCAACACAAATACACAACGCTCCTATTTGCTCGGAAGTCATACAAAATTAACTGTGCAAAAATTAAAATTAAAATCCATTGTCACTTACTTGCTTCTGATTTACTCAAGGGTGCAGTGGGCACAACCCCCATCACATCATTTAGAGTAAGGGGCTTCATATGTGCTGATTCTGTTCAAAATAGGAATATGAAGTTAGCATCATTCTGCAGGCCAAGTTGTGAAGAACTTTTCAAAATAAATTCCCATCAAAAGACAGCCACTGATCTATATATCGATCTGGAAAATGCACCAAAATATAGTCCATGAGAATTTCTGCAGTAAATTTGAGCAAAAGATGGCATAAGTTGTTGATCACCTAAAAGATTTCTTTCACAAACCAAATAATGTTTAAGCACAGTTTCTTCTCTGTTTGTGGCGATAAGTACATCCACTGTGTTATGCGCTTGGAGCAGAATATTTTCAAAAGGATTTAAATTAATCCCCCATCTTGTACAATGTATAGACAAAGAACAACTTGGAGTTTTGATTACACTTCAGTTCGTTTGTCCCCTTTAGACAAACTATTGACAAGAATTAACTTTACGACTACATTTCATCTAGCAGTCTTTGGAGTATGACTAGAGTGTATGCTTTAATATCTGCTATCACTTTATTTTGGTGGTCCCTCAACAGACATTATACCGTCTCTTGTGATAATAATCTGACATCTAGCTGTAAAGTTACTTAAAAAAATAACTTGAAATTCTGCCAAACTACTGTATTTGTGTGCTAGGGATTTAGTTAAAAAACATTCTGTTTGTGGAGTGTGCATATCTTTTATTAATATTGTCATATTTTATTTTTTCTTTCTTTTTTGTTACGTGGATTCTTCCTTTAATGCAAGTTGCCTCATTTAGTTATTATTTCTTCATTCTTATAATATCAGCACAGCTTTTTACAACTCATGTACACACACAGAATGATGAGCTTACTTGTGGGAACTATGCCTTTGTAGGTGCTGGCAACATGACCATTGACATTGTGTGTGTTGACCACAACATGATAGGTTTGGGCTGCCTCCAGCTCACTGATGGAGAGATGACTGCCAGTCACATTTTTCCTGAGTACCAGGCTATGGTCCTTCAGACGAGTTACAGTAACCTCATGAGTGGCCTTTGAATCGCCACTCAACCACTGTAGGGAGAATCCGCTGGAGGTGACATTAACCAGATGCAGTTCCTCCATACTGTTTTCTGGACATAAGAACGTAAACACAATGTTTTATGACTTCAGACCTTAACAAAATGCTGCGAACAAATACACACAGCATGCAACGCATACCTTTATGTTGTCTGTCATGAACCTCCTGCTGTCCATAGTGCTTCTGTTGTTTCCTGGAAATACATAACAAAGCAATACATATGCACACAATTGACTGACAAAACCATTATTAATATGAATTAGCATCTAGACTGTCTATCTTGTCAATTCTCTTCAGTCTAAAATAGTTCTCATGTTTGGCAGCAATAAGTTAATTAAAGCAACCATGCAAGCATAAATAGAAAAGTCAAGCATCTTTCCTTTTTAATTATTTGTATCTTTATGTCATTACATTTCAATACAAATGTTTGAAACATCTCTTTGCATTGTTTTGGATATTTTGTAGGTTTTGTAATAAAATATACAGTATGTCATGCATTTTTTTCCCTTGAAAATTAAGGCTCAGTCTTAAATGTACGCAAATCCACTTTGATCAAATGTGAACACATTCTAAGCAGAGTTTTCAGATTGCTCATAAACATACTCACTCCTCTACTTGAGGTAAACTGAATGGTGCTTTGTGTGGCTGGTCACTCTGATACCATTGGCATTTCTTAGAGACTTCAGGTGACAAATAGAAAGCATTTTCAACTGTACAGAAAGAACACAGAAACTGTCAGTAACAATACCATGAAAGAACAACGTACAGATAAAAAACGACAGGACTACATATCACTGGAATAATAAGCAGCTTTCTTAAACATTAAAAAACTTTTTCTAACTTACGGCCAAGGTACTTGGGCAACAGTCTGGCGAAGGTCTGAATGTGATCATCATAAAAGCCAGAAGGTCTATCCACCCTCTTAAAGAACACATCTGAAGGCTCGCTTGCAACCTGTGCCAGGACTCGGACATCACCTGTACTGAACAGCTTTCCAACCGCCATCACCACTATGAAGTAGCCTTTGCATTTAACTTCAGTGGCAGCCCTTACTATCCTGTCTTCATACAATTCAACTGGTCCAGTCACTAACAGAACTAAAACCTTCAAGTGGCGAGGATGTGGTGCCTTCTCAAACACATGTTCAACAGTGCCCTCAAGTGCAGATGCAAGTGCCCGTCCTCCTTCCAGCTGGTGCACCTTATCCTCTAAGAAGCTGCGGACACTGTGAGGTGACTTGTGATCCGTCAAACCAAAGGCCACGCTGATGGGAATGCCACTGCTGTTGTGCAAGTATTCATAAGGTGCATGCTGAACAAGCGCCACTCGAGCATGGTGGCTAGTGCTGGTTGGCTCAGGGGACATAACTAGCTGTTCTGTCATCAGAGCCACATATTGCTTGATCTCTGTGAAGACTGAGGGCCAGGTGCTCTCCGAACTATCAAGTATGAAAGCCATGTCGATGTCTAAGTCAGTGGTGGGATCTCTTCGGTCTCGGACTCCACGAGGAGGAATATAATCACAGATCTGATCAGGGGCACAGAAGTCTGAAAAAAGAAATAAATGACCAAAGAAATGTTACATTCTGTTTTGCTGTTTTCAAAAGTTTGAGTCATAGTTTTAGACAAATAAGTTTGATGGCTTTTCATTTTGTGTTTTACCCAAGCAGATATGGCAGGTCATGATCTTCTTGATGACATTGTTGTATTCAGCACTGCCAGGTGAGGGCAGGACAATAATCTGGGCTAATGCAGTGTTGTTAAGCTGAAACAGAGTAAATGTAATATACTTAGTGTATGCTTTCTTTTACACTTAAATCAGAACAATGTGCCAAATGTTTTACTTAATTTACCTCACTAAACAATAATTAAACCTGTCAGGTAGAGTTTGTGTAGAGTTCATTACAGTTTACCTTTCCAGGTGGATGACATTTTCAAACAAGTTCAAACACTTTAAATTTGTTTGGTAGTACAAAAGTTCTGCATAATACAGTGGGACAATGAAATAACCATTGTTAAAATGCTCCAGCCTAGGAAGCTGGAGCATTTTCCTGTTGACAGGAATGAACAGTGGTTGGATGTGTCAAAACAAAGAGCATTCAGCATTCTGGATGCATAAAAACCTTTACCAATGCTAACGAAAACATCTCATCATACTCTAATAGACAGCATTACAAAATTTGCTCATCTACTGTCCCTACCTGCAAGGCTCTTGTAAGTTGGCGATCTTCCCGATTAAGAAGGAATACAGAGGAAATTCCAGCATCGTAAAGGCGCAGAGCAGCAGCACTAAATTCTTGTGTAACACTAGCAGGTCCGTTGACAAAGAAAACAGCTACCTTGCGCACAAGAAATCCACTCCGAACTCTCTTGAAAGTGTTCTGTGCAACAAAGTTCATTGCTGTCTCCAAGCTGCGCTGCTTACGGGTTTGCAAAGCCTGAAGCCCTTGAACTCGCTCAACAAGTGCTCGCTTCTTCTGGGTATCTGCAAAGCGGATCTCGGTAGTCACTTCATTGTTGTAGAGTGCGAGAGCAACACGGGCACCTCGGGGACAGTTGCTCTCAGCAATTGTAATATCACTGAGCAGGCGCAGAACAGTGTCTCGCATGTTGTTGAAAGCACCACGCGAAACACCATCTGATGCATCCAGGGCAAAGGCCATCTCAGTGGGGTATAAAGGACATTCCTGAGCACCTGTGGAATTAAAAACTCAAAAGATGAAGTGGAAGTACAGTATTGCAATGAGTGTTTAAAAACTAAGCTAAAAGATTGACTTACCATAGCAGCAGGCTAAAACAAAGAGAGAAAGATTTATAAACCAAAATGTATTACAATATAACTAAAACTATTAAAAAGACATGATAATTAGATCTATCCAAGACAATATACTTACGACAGTTATCCCTAATTTTCTTGACCAGATCGCATTGCTACAAGGACCAAAAATGTTTCAGCGTTAGTGTTACAAACATGTATGTAGGACTAAAACATTAGGGAGGAGGTCCACTTTCATGCACATTAACCAAACACTCCAAACTCTGATAGAATTCTTTAGACAGCATAAATGTACCCTTTGGTGTATATAACTTCCTACAGTCAATTCTGTGCTAGATTAAAAATAAATATAGTGTAGAATAAAGATGGCTGTGCCCACTTAAGAAAAACAAAAAATATGCGAGCCCTATATTGACACTGAAAAGAAGAAATTGTTGAAAAAATAAATTATTTTAGTTTTAAATGAGAGTACAAACGTTTTATCGAAGCTTGATAATATTCTGATTGTATCCAGAAGGCATGGTCTGTTTTGAATATGAAATTTGTTTTTTTTAAGGCTTTGATCAAGGCAGAAACCCAGCTGTATTTGAAGAAAAAGGGAGTTTTCAGATTCACCTAAAATATCTTTATTTGTCTTCAGAAGATGAATAAAGGTCTCAGGGGATTAGTGAGTAATTAATAACACCATTTTTTATTTTTAAGTGAACTAACTAACACTTTAACTGTTTAACTTGTTGTAGATCATTTGATTTTGCTGCCTCAAAAGTCTGCCTAACATCAGTTTGTGAAGTGCCAGTAAACTCAATGTCTGGTGTGGAATGTGGAAACAGCTTACAAATGGGTGAGTTTGAACAAGATTGAAACCAAACTCTGCAGAAAAGTGGACCTGAAGCGCTTTAATTTATCCTGTAAAACTTAGATACTTATACAGTGACAGAAATTACATACCACAGCACCAAGTCCTCGAGGTCCTTTTAGGCCCTGTTTTTGACAACAGAAAAAAAAACATCTCAAAAGCTGAACACAGCTGGGTAGAGAAATCTGGATCTATTTCATTGAGCATTTTTGTGTGCTAACTAATGTCTGTCAAAAAAATCAACAGCTTGAGTAAATCAAAAACAATCCTTTGCAAAGAAAAGTATAGACTCTGTAAAAGAGAACAGAATCGTGCATAGTCACCTTCTAAATTCAAAGTCAACATTTCTTTCTTTCTTTCTTTCTTTCTTTTTTTGTAGCTAGATTTATAAGTCATAAAAATGTATCGGGTCAAAACAGGGTGCTTACATATGGTCCCGGGTATCCGATATCTCCCTTTTGTCCAGGACCACCACGTACTCCAGAGGTGCCCTGCAGACATATTATCAGAGATTTATGGTGGTGTGGACTAAATTATATTAACAGATTGTTTAATCAAGATTTCTTACCCTCTGGCCATTGTTTCCTCTAGGACCAGGGCCTCCATTTGTACCAGGGTCACCTGCTTCACCCTTTTAATCAATTCAGATTTAACAGTTACTTTTATTGTTTTGGACAGTAGAGCTTTGTGAGCACATTCAAATTTACTTTAGATTATTAGCATTACATTTTACTTAAGGCTGCAAACAACATTAGTAACCTCACCTTTGGACCAGGAAAACCAGGAAAACCTTCATCACCCTACAATAAAAGTAAAAATAATTTAGAGTAAAATACAATTTGAGAAAGACATACTAACTACATACTTGAAATACATATATATGCTCACCTTTCTTCCCTTGGGACCAGGAAAACCAAACCCATCCCTTCCATCTTCACCCTGTATACACAAAGCTCTTTGTTTTCATTTGCATTCTGTTTTAACTATTCGTCTAGACTAATTCTCTGATAAATATAGCACATAGTCTGATAAGTGAAGAATATGCTGCATGTTTTAATCCTGAAATTGTTCATAATTGTTTTGTTTATGATTGTTTATAATCTATTCATCAATGCCTCACATAATAATGATGAAAGTTGTTTGCATTACTGTTACAATGTGCACATGTATCAAAGATATTTGGTTTTGAGTGGTGCAGACTGTGACTCCTCACTTACAGGCTCCCCACGGGGTCCGAAGGGTCCAGTAACACCTTTAGGTCCTGGCTCGCCTGGTTCACCCTTGACAGTGTGTAAATAAGTGAATATAATTTTATAAATAATAACATATATAAGGTGCAATCAATAGTGATATACATAGAGGTTTAGAGTGGTTGAAATTTAACAGCTGAAACTGAACACACTACTTCTCAATCTAATGGAATGAAAAAAAAAAATTTGAGTTAATTTCCTGTGGCCAGATTTTAAATCCTCAGAACATTTGCTCCAGACTGACACTGAGATGTTTAAAAAAAACACTTAAGCTGCCAATGATAACTGGAGTATGGCAAAGGAATTGGTAAACTTTGCTTAAGATGACCAGTACCTTACGACCAACAGCTCCCCTTCTGCCCTTTTCTCCAGCAGGTCCTGGCTGTCCTCCTGGCCCCTTAATATATGTAAAATAGAATAAATGATTTGCCAATTTTTGAAAATATTAATTTGATTTGCCTTTTTCTCTTACCCTTGGACCAGGGTTTCCATCTTCTCCTCTAACACCAGGTGCTCCGATAGGTCCAGCAGGACCCTAAAACAAGTACACATCCAGATTATTTATGCAATATAGAAATTTTCTTTTTAAATACAGGTTGTGGCAAATTGACAATCTGATTAAATATAGTACATAAATATTATAAATGCATAGATTAATCAGAACCATGACAGAACAAGACTTGTTTATGAATAAGCTGTCATGGGACTAGACTTTTGATTTGCACAGTAAAATTATTTACCCGAGATCCTCCAATTCCTGGTTCTCCTGCTAAACCATCACTTCCAGGTCTTCCAGCAGCACCCTAAGGATGCAACAGGGCCATCAACAAAGTCAACAAAATCAAAAATTAATTTTCAATAATAGCATGAGCTAAAGAGCGTGAGCTAATGTGTTTTATGTACTCACAGCTTGACCAGGAGGCCCTCGTCTACCATCAGAGCCCTTTTTAAATGAATAAAAAGAAATGTAAATCAAAATATCACGGATCCGAAAAAGACCATTTCATATTAAGTACTGACATAGATATATTTTTTAACAATTGAGGCAACAAGTACTGATCTGGGACGTGTTTCTCAAACAATGAAGTAACTTGCGGCTGTACTAAAGTACAATGTATCCTTTGGGAAATGAACAATATAGTGACGAGTGTTTCACAAAACCGTATTCGCTTTGTCACAGATCCATCATTTGAACCACATTAGTTTTAATGTAAAACGTCCGTAATAATACTCTAAACAACTTCTTTAGAGATAATCCACATTAAATGATATTTTTTCAATTAGTTTTGGTAAAGACATAGGTTTCCATATTAATGTAAACGGCACAAATAGGGCTATACTTCTTTTACAAACATTATGGAGAATATGTCATATTCTATTCTAAATCACAAAAACACAAATAACTAACACATCTAATATAGCGCTTATAAATGAGATATACAATCAAATAATGTAAAAACTACTTTTATTTGTTTGTTGTCATGATTACATTTAGATTCAGAAATTACTATAACAATAATAATAATATTTATTATTATTAAGTAGGCTATTTTTTATTATTATTTATTTGAAAAGTCTAGATTTACAATATTTTTTTGTTTTCACAAGCTTTGGAGATTTCTGCTTGTAAATCAAAGGTCATCAACAGTTTTTGGTATGAGCCACAGCTGCTTTCAAAATGGCATAAATAAATTCGCAGTGCACTATAAAGAGAGCACAATAGTCAATCTGAAATCTGATAAAACTGAACTATAAAAATAAATATTTTTATTACTCTCAAATTACACATGAGAGTGATGACTTCATGTTTTTTTTTATTATTATTACTAATATAAAGTGGATGTTGGAAAGTTCAAAAAGAATGGCATAGGGGAATAACGGAATAGAACACAACCAGATACTATGCTTCTAATTACAGCTCTATAAGAATAGTTGCATCCGCAGACGTTTGACAGTTTGCCAATGTTCATTATAATGACAGATTCTGGAAACACCAAATTGCTGAACTACAACTATAATGATTAAACTTGCAACCTTAGTTGGTTAATGCTAGTTTTGCAAATGCACCCCTAAATGGTATCATATGTCAACTTTGTACTGTTATGAAATAAACATTTTTAGGTTAATTAAACATTTAGAAATAAACATTTAAGGATTTCTTTAGGTTCAAAGATTATATTAAGCTTGATTAAGATATAAAAATATTAAATAATCAGTCTTTTTACTATTGATTAGTAATTTTCAAAAGTCAAAAAGCATACCCGTCTGCCTGGTTCACCAGGACCTCCCTTATTTCCATCCACCCCTGGCTCTCCCTAAGGAAAACACTTTAATGAACTTCAAAAATCACAGTACAGTTGTGCATTTTATTCAGAAAGATGCAAACATACCCAATAAAATCTTGGTCAGAAAGTAATAGGCCCATAACATTTAATAGAAAATAAATAAATTATATGATAACAAACAAGACTTTTTAATGAAATCATTACGCAGCATAATGACATCCATCCATCAATTCATTCATACATTCATTCATTCATTCATTCATTCATTCATTCATTCATTCATTCATTCATTCATTCATTCATTCATTCATTCATTCATTCATTCATTCATTCATTCTCCTTCCACTTAGTCCCTTTATTCATCAGCACAATAACAAATTAAGATAAAGTGAGAGGTGAAGAGAGATAAAGCACTTTTAAATTTAAGTTTTAATGCATGAACAACTGCTGTGATTATAAGCACACAAAATCAAATTAAAATTAAAAAATCTGGTCAAAAATAAAAGCAAAATAAAATAAGTTAAAATAATGGACCATACCGCTGGGCCAGCATCGCCTGGGTCACCTTTCGGTCCTCTCTGAGTGTTGTCTCTGCCTGGGGTCCCCTATAAAATTTCAATCTTACTTACTGAATGTCAACACCAATATCAGCCTTACTGAACGAAGACTCATTCTAAATGAAGACAAATCTATTGATTAAGGACAGACATCAAGAAAAATCAGGCTATGAATATGTTATACATACTGGATCACCACGGATTCCAATCTGACCAGCATCTCCTGCCTGGCCTTTGGCCCCTTTAGGCCCCTAGAAACACAAAATAAGATCAGATAAACACATATTTGTTTGTTTTAAATAGGTTCTACATGACCACATTCAACATTACCCACCCTTTGGCCGGGGTTTCCTCTGTCTCCTGGAGGACCAGCAATGCCACTTGTTCCCTGAAACATTTAAGTTGCAGGCATACACAGGCAGCCTTAATTTAAACCACTGTACAATTGAACACTGATAACAGTTGGCAAGGGGGGAAAAAAATCATGAAACATTTAGTCAGAAAGCAGCTGACCTCCTCTCCGTTGATTCCATCTAAACCAATCTCTCCAATTTCTCCCTAAAAAAGCAAACAAATACTTTTAATATGTTAAAATGTAAATGTTAGTGTTATTATAGTAACTTACTCTCATACAATTATTTACAATTAAATAATAATAGTTTCAGGTGTATATTAAAAGAGAGCTTACCTTTTCACCATTGTATCCTCGAGATCCCTGAATCAAAGACAAGCAAAATATTGGATCAGTCACACAATATGGTTTAACCATAATGTGTATTTTAACATGTGAAATATAATAAAATTAACATACTTTAACACCTCTTTGACCTGGGCATCCTTGGAACCCTTGAGTTCCATTTACACCAGGGGGGCCTCTCTCTCCCTGTAAAAAGATATATTATTAAAATCTTGAGAAATAACATCCCATACACACACACACACACACACAGACACACACACACGCACATACAATATATATACAATCTACTCATTAGTGTGTGCTAGAAAATAGGTTTAACTGTATGTTTTGTTGAAAAACTCTGCAATTACAAACTAGTGAAAAGCTAGGTGTTTAGTTAACGACAAACGAATGAGGAAATTATGATTTTGAAAACTATTGCATATTTAGAGTAAATGATTACTACACACTTACAGGACCACCTTCATCACCAGGATGTCCGCTGGAGCCCTGACCACCAGATTGACCCTATAGATAATCAAATATCAACATAAGTAAACACCAATCATGTTTTTTTTTTTTTAAACTGTATTGGACCCTAAATATGCTGTTTATTAAAGTAAGAATGAATTTTACCTTTTGTCCAGGGACACCAACGGCTCCTCTGTCCCCTCTCGGGCCATTACACTTGCATGGAACAGAACAGCATTCCCGTTCTGCAATGTTATCCTAAAAAAAAAAAAAATAAAACTTTAAAAGTAACACTTTGATTTACAATGTCACTGTTAAAAAGCTAAAGTTTTTACGACTGCATGATGGCACGCAACTAAACCTAACCCTTATCCTTACCATAAAGTAAGTACATGGAGTTAATTATTATTTATCAGTACTTAAATGTATAGTTTCAATAAGAACAATAAAATTATGGCTAACCTATTTTAACACCCTTTTTCTTCAGTGGATTGAGTCATTAGTTATTTTGCCTATTTGACTGAGCATTCTTATTTGACAGGACCATTCTTACCAGTTCTTCCAGAAGCTCATAATCCAAATCCATGACATTGACACGCAGTGGTCGTGTATACCTGAATCCACGGCCATATTCCAAGAGAACTGCATCCTCAAATCGTGGCACTCTCTCAAGACCAACAAGAATGAAACTGCTGACACCTTAAAAAAAGATTAAAATGCGTGTGGTAACATACACTGTATTGTGAGATGTCAAAATCAATTACAAACATTATGTATAGGTGAGCAGAGAAATACTGAACATAAACAGATACCATGACGAAATAGTGAAATTAGTCAAATGTTTACTTTTAATATTTGTAATTACTCTTACCAGCAGAACGCATCAGTTCAGTTCGCTCTTTCAGAATGTTGTACTGGGCATCTAATCCATCAGTTAGGTGGATTACAACCTTTATGAGTGCAAAAACAATTTTTTTAAGTACAGATAATTATTACTATGTATAGAGAGATAATTCCTACAATGTTATGGTTAGAAAAGTGCATGAACAAGTGTTCTGAATTAAAAGGATATACCTTGATTGTATCTGAAGGCCGACTCTTGAATCTATCAGCATAAGCCTTAATTGTTGCACCATTTAGAACAAAAGGTCCACGGTTTCGAAGAGCCTTAAAGGGCTCAAGAAGGTCTGTGTATTTGTTTGTGAAATCCAACTGAACAGGCTCTGAGGCGGAGTCCATTGCTAGCATCCCCACTTGTATTGATGGAGCTTGACCAGAGTTGCAACTGATAGACTGCATCTGGATAATCCGTTGGAGAATAGCAGCCACTTTTGTCTCTAATGACCTCTGAGCAGCAAAGATGTTCTGGGAAGACACATCGAACCCCACGAGAACATCCAATTTGCATTCTGCCAGGGTGTGAAAACAAATAAAGATTAATGACAATCTTGAATAATCCATTGCTCAGAACGCTTAACTGTAGAAAATAATAATAATAATGATAATTATATAAACAAACCTCTGGTAGCTTCCTTTACTCCAGTGCAAAGATTTATTCCTTTCACATCTTGATCAAGTGTATCCAAAATCTGCTCATTAAGTTCAGAGAGCTCTTGGAAGGTGCTGGCTCGAGCCACAGTAGTAGCCTCACTCCCCAAATTATTGAGCTCATCCTCAATGTCACCCACCCCAACAGCATAGACACGAACACCAGAGGCTTTGAGACCTAATGCTGCTGATTTACTGTCATCCCTTGACCGTCCACCAGTGACTACCATCAGGATCTGTGGAATTCCCTCATCCTTCCGACTTCCTTTTTCTTTTACAAAGTGGGTTTTCTGAACATGGCGAATGGCACTACCTGTTCTAATTTCCCGACCTCCCTTGTACTCTGCTCGAGTTATGGCATTGATAATGTCATCTTTATTGTTGTAGGTATTGAGGTAGAATACATCAGTCACATCTGTAGCATAATGTGCTAAACCAATTTGAAGTCTGTCTCTTTCAGTGTAAAACAGGTCAATTAAATTAAGAATAAATTCCATGACCTCTTTGAAATTGTTTCTGCCAAGATTTATTGAGCCATCAACCAAAAAAACAATGTCAGCAGCCTTGGCCTGTGGGAGTCCAGGAGCTAGAAAAAAAACAGAAAGAAAAGGAAGAGAGGGTGAGAATGAGAGAGAACTTTTAGAGCATATTATCATAGATAGCTCATCTAATATATTAACATACATATGTAAGCTCCACTTACTTGTTTCATCAATCTCAATGGGAGGTTCCACTACAATTGATCCACTGAGTCTGGCAATAAACTTGTTCTGTATGTTTGGAAGATTTGGAAAAGAAGGAACTTGCAGCACATCATCAGAACTGGTAGCAATCTGTATCAGCTGTCTTGAGTCTGCATTTTCAGCGCCAATTCCTATACAATTGACCCGAGAACCTTTGAGAATTGAGCCGTAGGTAGATACATCAGAGGTTGACCTTCCACCAGTGAGCACAACCAAATGCTGCGATGCTTGTGCAAGACGCACCCCAGCAGAAGCCTGGAGCTCATTTCGAATCACATACTTTATAGCCTCAGCAAGGTCAGCACCACGTCCACCCATGTGACGCAGTCTCTTGATGGCAGAAATGACAGACTGCTTGTTGTCATGGGAGTTCAAAGAGAATTCAGTTTTAGGTCTTTCGCCATACTGTACTAAAGCAACACGAACTTGGTCAGGTCTTACATCAAGCTGATCAACCACTTTCAAAATAAAATCACGAATGTGAGCAACACCACTTTGTCCAACACTGTCAGAGCCATCAATGAGGAAGATGATGTCTTTTCTTCCCAGATTGAGAGGGTCTAATAAGAAAGAAAATTGACATTAACTAATAAATTCACTGCATATTTATTTAGATTATGTTCTTTGATAAAAAATAAACATGAATATAAATAGCAAACATGCAAAACTGAGGATCAATTTTTATGCTAATGCTAAACAACCTGACATCACTTTTTAATAAAAGGAAAAAAAAGTGTTGTACCTCTAGGCACGGCGGGGGTTGAAATTTCATCCCTGGTCATAGTACTGACTTTGGTTAAAAGTTGTTGCTCCACGCCAGGAAGTTGCTGGAAGTCTCTGATGGTGTATGCTAGTTCTGGACTAAATGAAATTAATCTTAGCTCCTCTGCATCAGCATCCCTAGCTCCAACTGCTAAGGGAGCAACCCGGCTTAACTTCAGTTGGTTAGCAGGGCCAGATACATCATCATTTGACTTTCCTCCAGTTACCAGGATGAGAAACTGTGGCACACCCTCCTCTACACGGCTTCCAGCTGATCGTTGATAGATAGTCTTTGATACATACTCCAGAGCTTTGCCAGTGTTCAATTCATTGCCACCTTTGTTCCTCAGTCTTCTTATTGCTTGGCGAACTTCCTCCTTCGTAGAGTGCTCATTAAGGAGAAATTCCAATTTTGGGTCATCACTGTACTGCACAACTGAGACCCTCACATTGTCAAGCCCTACATCTAACTTCTCTACCACTCGCTGAACCATGTCTCTAATGGCGGGGAACTCATTGCGTATCTTTGATGTGCCATCAATAAGGAAAACAACATCCCTCTTATCTCCACGAGGAACTGGAACTACAGTTTCTATATTGAAAAAGGAATAAAATGTAAACATAACAATAAACAAAAAATCTTAAATAGACCTTAATACAAAGCTGGCAGTCAGAGCAAACAAAGATTCACAAACAGGTAAACACTGTATTAAACTGAGTAGATCTGAATTCTCAGCTTATAGAATGTCAATTAAATTTGACTAGTTTATGAATGGACTCTTATTTAATTTTTTTTTTTTTTTTGAGAATTGTTTACACCATTTGGAATCAAGTATCCATCATTGGTCTATCCTCTTATGTAATGTTATGTAATCATGTTTTTAAGACACAGTGTTAAGAACCTTAATTGCTTGTGCCTTGTTGACTGATGGAAGTCTTTGACCATTATGGCATCTGACTTTTAGTATTTCTAAGGTTGTGTATTTTAAGGTGCTGTGGCAATTTTCTAAAAAACAATAAAATTGAGGGAGAAGCTGACAACACTTAGTTTAATATTAGCTGTGGCCCATTGCATTTTGTTAGTAAATATTAATCTATCTGGCGGGTTTTACACAATTGTCTTTTTCTTATACAAAAAGTAATAGCTAATTAAAACAGTAATTTAAGTGGAAATGTTGTATTGACATGTTCACAAAACAAAAAGGAAGGGAAATTATCATTTATAACAAAAAAAAAAAGTTTTTTTGGTTCAAAGAAACCGACCCTTATATAAAATTAAGAAATATAACTTTATGCATTTCATGACCAGTGCAATCTATCTGAATCAACAAAGACATGGATATTTGGGAAGACATGTTTCAGCTTACATTTTTGTGAAACCACAAAAAACTTAATTAACGTTTGGCTGCAGTTTCTGCGTAAAATAAACATTATGTGGCAGTATGATGCTGACAGTTTTTTCCACTTATGGTGATATTTACAGGGACATATTTATGATAATTATGATCAAAGCATTATATTCCTGCAGTTCTTTGCACAGCACCAAATAAATACTACAACTTAACAGTGTCTTCGATTTGTAATTAAATGTAGTCACTTTGCTTGGTAGCTCATTTTATATAATTTGTACTTGTTATACAGAGTCGTATGAAGCACAGTTCACAAGAGGTTAAAGCTATATAAAATTAAGGTAAAACTACATGATCACCGTACACCTATGTTTGCCTAAAATTTGTGCTGGTCTTTTAAACAGTGTTACAGTATCAGCCATCCATCCACCTACCCATAAAACAACAACAATTACATACAAACATAAAACAAACTAACATTTACCATTACCTGTAGGGTATACAGGGCGCAGTTGAGCTAACTCCTCACTAGATAGCTCTGTCAGGGTGTTGATAAGTGTTTCCTGAATTGTATAAAGTCCAGGCAAGTCATCAACTAAGTAAGCAAATCTGGGGACATAGGATGTCACTTGCAATTCCTGAGTGCCCACATCTCTTGTTCCTATGCTAAGGGGGAAAATTCCTGATTGTTTCAGTGCTGTTGCAGATTGTCTTATATTGTCTGTTGCTTTTCCTCCTGAAACCACAACAACAAATTGTGGAACTCCTTCTTCTTTTCTTCCACCACGACCAGAAGCCAGAACTTCACGTCTTACAAAGTCAATGGCCTGACCAAGGTTCCTCTTTGTCCCCCTAAGTTGTCTGAGTTCCTTGATGCCATTTAAAACACCTTCTTTTGTCCTATGTGAGTTGAGGTATATATCTGCATTTGGAATATCTCCATACTGGACCACACCTATTCGGATCTTGTTCTCACCAACGTTGAGATTGCTCACTACTCTGCGCACAAATTCCTGGATTATTGGAAATTCTCTGCCAACATCTTCAGAGCCATCAATTAGAAAGATGATGTCCTTTTTGGGTCCTTCAGATTCCACTAAAAAAGATAAAAAGACCTCATTTCATATAAAATGTTTCTGACAGAGTAAGGGCCTGCATTTAAATATGCACACAGACAGGAAAAACTAAGAGATGAATATTGTTACACAAAAAAGGTTGCTATTGATTGTTGACTTTGAAAACTGAACTCATAGATCTAAGGATGGTATTTACAGTGAATATATTATGTGTATTGCTAAATGTTTATTAAAAAACTTTTTACTGTGCTATATACCACCAATAAAAAGGTTGTTGACCAAAGTTCTGTACAATCTAACAAATGTCAACAAACAGTAATATCATAAGCAGCATAAATGACCCCACAGTAGAAAATCGAACATAATTTATTGCATGTAAAAAAACAGAGAAAGAAAAATGTTATGATTTTGGCTGTAAGAGTTGTAGGGGTAGTCCTAATAGAAATGAGAAGGCTGTTCCAGAGATTTGGAATAGCACATAATGGGATAAAGGTACCAAACCTATATATAATGTATTGTATATGACTATAACTACCAATTTTTTTTCAATGCAATTCTAAAAAACATTTCCAAACCACTCTAATGGTTTTTAGCTTTTTCCTCCAGGTGCTCCAGTTTCCCCCACAGTCCAAAGACATACACAATAGGCAAATTGGTTAAACAACTTTGGGCATAGTGTGTGAACGAGTGAATGTAAGGGTGTTTCCAAGTACTGGGTTGCAGCTGGAAGGGCATCCGTTCCGTAAAACAAATGCCAGAATAGCTGGTGTTTCATTCCACTGTGGCAACCCCTGATACATGAGGGACTGAGCTGAATGAATGAATGAATCATTAAATGAATGAATGAATGAATGAATGAATGAATGAATGAATGAATGAATGAATGAAAATAAAATGCATCAGGTACAGGATGAGGATAATTTTACTTATCCTTATTGAAGTTTGACTTAGATATGTAAAACTAGCTAAACAACATCATGATATAGCAAAGGATTTTTGAAGGAAACCAGGCTTACTTAGTTATTCATGTTACTAAGATGTGGTAGGTGGTGGTATGATGAAACTTATTGAAAACCAATAAAAAATATGTTGGACCAATATAGAATTATGGTTCAAAGTTGTTAACAAATCTTTGAAAAATACTTTTTTGAATTGATAAATCATATTTCTTCAGAACAAGCTAAAACCTTAAGGAACATTAATGGTTTTGGCAAAAAAGTAAAATATACAGCAATATATGCATATATGCAACTCAAGCATAATAATAAAATGGAAAGTAAATACTAAAATCATGGAAGCATTGCTTCTTACCTGTTACTGTTGTAGTTAATGATGTAACCTCTACAAGTGCTGTGTTAATGTTTGATAAAAGCTTCTGTTGGACGTTGGAAAGATCACTAAATTCTCTCACTGACAGTGCATAACTAGGCTCATTGGAGACTCTCTGGAGTTCCTGGCTGTCTGAGCTCCTTGACCCTATCGCAAAGATAAGCACTCCCAGCTCCTTTAGGGATGAGGCTGGCGTGTCAACATTATCAAATGACCTTGTGCCACTCAGCAGAATCAGCAACTGAGGAACACCTTCTACACGTCTACTTCCAGAGGAGGCAGTGAAGACATTGTCTCTCAAGTACTGCAGAGCTGCCCCCGTGTTGAGGGGTCTCCCTCCTTTGTGCCTCAGACCCCTGATCGTGTCAAGAGCGTCCTCTTTTCTTGAGTATGTGTTCAGATAGAAATGAGCCTCTGGATCTCTGCTGTACTGGACCACAGAGACACGGTCTCTGTTCTCAGACACGTTCAGTCTTTCCACCATCCTTTCAACAAAGTCTCGCATTGCAGAGAAAGAGCTCCTCGTGCCATCTGAACCATCCAGCAGAAACACTACATCCCTCCTAGCCATCCTGGGCTCAGCTATGGGTAATGAAATGGAACACAAAGTCATGTGAGCACTGGTCATCCCTTACTGGGTGTACAGCAGGCGTTTGTGCCCTCTAGTCTGCAGCTACAACAGAGGTAACAACTCCCACATTCTTTCAGCTATTTTGCGGCCAGTCTGATGATCAAATGTTATTACCGTCTTCTAAAGTAAACTCACATTTTGGTCAGGGTAAACCTGCCTTGATGCACTGAAGCCGCCATGACCAAAAAAGACCTACACTGGAAGGAGATTTTCAGCAGAAGCTATGCCTAAAGTAAACAACCTAGTATACAAACACTTTTAACACAGGCAAACGCTGCTAGGAGTTTCAACCCACGGCTTGCTTGGCTAATTTTCCATGCCTGATGTGCTAACATAAACCGTGTGCAAATTCTGTCTTACCTGCCACAGTAGGTGTCATCGGCTTAACTTGAACAAGCACATTGTTTAGGGAGCTGTAAAACTGCTGCTGGACACCGGGAAGGTCAGAGAAATCATTGAGCGATTGTGCATAGGCAGGGTCATTGGTAATTCTCTGGACCTCTCTGCTTGAATTTCTAGTGCCGATGCCCAAGATCAAGACCCCGCTCTCTTTCAGGGCAGAGGCAGGTGTATCTACGTTGTCGTTTGAGCGTCCTCCACTGAGAAGGATAAGAACCTGAGGGATACCCTCTTGCTTTCTACTCCCGGCAGAGGCAGTGAAGACACTGTCCCGCACGTACTGGAGAGCTGCCCCCGTGTTGAGGGGTCTCCCTCCTCTATGCCTCAGACCTCTGACCGTGTTCAAGACGTCTGCTTTTGCTGTGTAGGTATTCAGGTAGAAATTGACCTCAGCATCTCTACTGTACTGCACCACAGAAATGCGATCTCTGTTTGCCTCTACGTTTAATTGCTCAACTAATCTCTGCACAAATGCACGCATGGCTGGGAAAGTATTCCTAGTGCCATCAGAGCCGTCCAGCAGAAACACTACATCCTTTCTGGGAATGGTGTCATCAGCTAGGAAAAGAGGACAGCGTCATTAACAGTAAGACATTTTAAAACATCTTTAGAATGTCACATCACCACCTCATTGACAATGTAAGTTGTGAGTAATGGTCCCGCTGCACACAATTAATTATTGCGATGAGTAACGAGGCACGGGCGTTGAGCCAGCTCTCGTGAAGTTCTATCATGCACATACCAGTGAGAGTTGGGGAAGTTGGAGTGCCGGACATTGCAACCGTCTGGACAGAGGCCAACAGCTGCTCTTGGACATTTGGAAGCTCACTGAAGTCGGCCACGGACAGAGCATAATTGGCTTCGTATGATATTCTCTGCAGTTCTCTGCTATCAGAGCCCCTCGATCCTATTCCCAAGGTCAAGACACCGAGCTCTTTCAGAGAGGATGCTGCTGCATCAACGCTGTCAAATGACCTTCCCCCGCTAAGGAGGATCAGAATCTGTGGCACACCCTCCAGCCGTCTGCTGCCAGAAGAAGCAGTAAAGACATTGTCTCTGACGTACTGGAGAGCTGCCCCTGTGTAGAGGGGACGGCCTCCTTTGTGTCTCAGACCTGTGACGCGGTCAAGAATGTCTTCCTTTTTCGTGTAGCTATTCAGATAGAAATGGACCTCAGCGTCTCTACTGTACTGCACAACAGAAACGCGGTCTCTGTTTGCCTCAATGTTGAATTTCTCCACTACTCTTTGCACAAAGTCCCGCATAGCTGGGAAAGAACTCCTAGTGCCATCTGAACCGTCCAGCAGAAACACTACATCTTTTCTGGGTGTGCTGTATTCAGCTGAGAGGGAGGGAAAAACAACATCATTAACAAAAAAGTTATGACAATAAGTGATCTAAACCTTACGAATGCCAAATCAGTTCATCGCCACATTAACTGTCTAAGCTGTGGGAAATGGACCCACTGCTCTCTCTCTTTCTCTCTCTCTCTTTCTCGCTCTCTATGTTTCTTTTGAATAAATAAAGTAGGAACATCAAGAAGAAAGGCAAGACAGGGCCTATTTTAAAGTTCTGCTTTGCACATACCGGTAACAGTCGGTGAAGTTGGGGTGACGGGAATTGAAGTAACCTGTACAGAGGCAAGCAGCTGCTCTTGGACATTTGGTAGCTCACTGAAATCAGACACGGACAGAGCATAACTGGGTTCATATGATATTCTCTGCAGTTCTCTGCTATCAGAGCCTCTCGATCCTATTCCAAAAGTCAAGACGCCAAGCTCTTTCAGAGAGGAGGCTGCTGCATTGACACTGTCAAATGACCTGCCCCCGCTAAGCAAAACCAGTATCTGCGGCACACCCTCCAGCCGCCTGCTGCCAGAAGAAGCAGTGAAGACATTGTCTCTGACGTACTGGAGAGCTTCCCCCGTGTAAAGGGGTCTGCCTCCCTTGTGCCTCAGACCCCTGACAGCATCAACAATTTCTTCCTTTGTCGTGTATGTGTTTAGATAGAAATTGGCCCCTGGTTCTCTGCTGTATTGGACAACAGAAATGCGATCTCTGTTCTCGGCAACATCCAATTTCTCCACCATTCTTTGCACAAAGTCTTTCATTGCTGGGAATCCATTCCTAGTTCCATCCGATCCATCCAGAAGGAACACAACATCTCTTCTCTGTCTACGGCCCTCAGCTTAGAAACAAAGATTCATGAGTCAGATGGGAACTATTTTAAGGAGATGCAATATCAATAAATAAGAACAATAATCATATTAATATAATAATAAGTTGCAGTCTTGGTGCTTTGTCACTGATCATGCTTTTTTTTCTTCTTCTTCTTTTGCCTATCACATCACCTCTCATTGCGTTTTAGGGGTCACAAAATTTTGACCTGTTCAACAACTCATTAGCGATACGGGAACAGCAAAGCACATGTCGTTGCGACTAATAAAAAGTGATTGGAAACTACTGGAAGCCACTTTGGCTTTTTCTTACCTATGGTTGTGGAAGTGGTAGGTACGCCCGCTACAAAGACCTTGTTAATGTTGGTAAAAAGCTGCTGTTGGACACTGGGAAGGTCAGTGAAGTCACTCACTGAGAGTGCATAGCTAGGCTCTTGGGAGATTCTCTGGAGTTCCTGGCTGTCTGAGCTCCTTGACCCAATCGCAAAGATAAGCACTCCCAGCTCCTTTAGGGATGAGGCTGGCGTGTCAACATTATCAAATGACCTTGCGCCACTCAGCAGAATCAGCAACTGAGGAACACCTTCTACACGTCTACTTCCAGAGGAGGCAGTGAAGACATTGTCTCTCAAGTACTGCAGAGCTGCCCCCGTGTTGAGGGGTCTCCCTCCTTTGTGCCTCAGACCCCTGATCGTGTCAAGAGCGTCCTCTTTTCTTGAGTATGTGTTCAGATAGAAATGAGCCTCTGGATCTCTGCTGTACTGGACCACAGAGACACGGTCTCTGTTCTCAGACACGTTCAGTCTTTCCACCATCCTTTCAACAAAGTCTCGCATTGCAGAGAAAGAGCTCCTCGTGCCATCTGAACCATCCAGCAGAAACACTACATCCCTCCTAGCCATCCTGGGCTCAGCTATGGGTAATGAAATGGAACACAAAGTCATGTGAGCACTGGTCATCCCTTACTGGGTGTACAGCAGGCGTTTGTGCCCTCTAGTCTGCAGGTACAACAGAGGTAACAACTCCCCCATTCTTTCAGCTATTTTGCGGCCAGTCTGATGGTCAAATGTTATTACCGTCTTCCAAAGTAAACTCACATTTTGGTCAGGGTAAACCTGCCTTGATGCACTGAAGCCGCCATGACCAAAAAAGACCTACACTGGAAGGAGATTTTCAGCAGAAGCTATGCCTAAAGTAAACAACCTAGTATACAAACACTTTTAACACAGGCAAACGCTGCTAGGAGTTTCAACCCACGGCTTGCTTGGCTAATTTTAACATAAACCGTGTGCAAATTCTGTCTTACCTGCCACAGTAGGTGTCATCGGCTTAACTTGAACAAGCACATTGTTTAGGGAGCTGTAAAACTGCTGCTGGACACCGGGAAGGTCAGAGAAATCATTGAGCGATTGTGCATAGGCAGGGTCATTGGTAATTCTCTGGACCTCTCTGCTTGAATTTCTAGTGCCGATGCCCAAGATCAAGACCCCGCTCTCTTTCAGGGCAGAGGCAGGTGTATCTACGTTGTCGTTTGAGCGTCCTCCACTGAGGAGGATAAGAACCTGAGGGACACCCTCTTGCTTTCTACTCCCGGCAGAGGCAGTGAAGACACTGTCCCGCACGTACTGGAGAGCTGCCCCCGTGTTGAGGGGTCTCCCTCCTCTATGCCTCAGACCTCTGACCGTGTTCAAGACGTCTGCTTTTGCTGTGTAGGTATTCAGGTAGAAATTGACCTCAGCATCTCTACTGTACTGCACCACAGAAATGCGATCTCTGTTTGCCTCTACGTTGAATTGCTCAACTAATCTCTGCACAAATGCACGCATGGCTGGGAAAGTATTCCTAGTGCCATCAGAGCCGTCCAGCAGAAACACTACATCCTTTCTGGGAATGGTGTCATCAGCTAGGAAAAGAGGACAGCGTCATTAACAGTAAGAAATTTTAAAACATCTTTAGAATGTCACATCACCACCTCATTGACAATGTAAGTTGTGAGTAATGGTCCCGCTGCACACAATTAATTATTGCGATGAGTAACGAGGCACGGGCGTTGAGCCAGCTCTCGTGAAGTTCTATCATGCACATACCAGTGAGAGTTGGGGAAGTTGGAGTGCCGGACATTGCAACCGTCTGGACAGAGGCCAACAGCTGCTCTTGGACATTTGGAAGCTCACTGAAGTCGGCCACGGACAGAGCATAATTGGCTTCGTATGATATTCTCTGCAGTTCTCTGCTATCAGAGCCCCTCGATCCTATTCCCAAGGTCAAGACACCGAGCTCTTTCAGAGAGGATGCTGCTGCATCAACGCTGTCAAATGACCTTCCCCCGCTAAGCAGGATCAGAATCTGTGGCACACCCTCCAGCCGTCTGCTGCCAGAAGAAGCAGTAAAGACATTGTCTCTGACGTACTGGAGAGCTGCCCCTGTGTAGAGGGGACGGCCTCCTTTGTGTCTCAGACCTTTGACGCGGTCAAGAATGTCTTCCTTTTTCGTGTAGCTATTCAGATAGAAATGGACCTCAGCGTCTCTACTGTACTGCACAACAGAAACGCGGTCTCTGTTTGCCTCAATGTTGAATTTCTCCACTACTCTTTGCACAAAGTCCCGCATAGCTGGGAAAGAACTCCTAGTGCCATCTGAACCGTCCAGCAGAAACACTACATCTTTTCTGGGTGTGCTGTATTCAGCTGAGAGGGAGGGAAAAACAACATCATTAACAAAAAAGTTATGACAATAAGTGATCTAAACCTTACGAATGCCAAATCAGTTCATCGCCACATTAACTGTCTAAGCTGTGGGAAATGGACCTACTGCTCTCTCTCTCTCTCTCTCTCTCTCTCTCTCTCTCTCTCTCTCTTTCTCGCTCTCTATGTTTCTTTTGAATAAATAAAGTAGGAACATCAAGAAGAAAGGCAAGACAGGGCCTATTTTAAAGTTCTGCTTTGCACATACCGGTAACAGTCGGTGAAGTTGGGGTGACGGGAATTGAAGTAACCTGTACAGAGGCAAGCAGCTGCTCTTGGACATTTGGTAGCTCACTGAAATCAGACACGGACAGAGCATAACTGGGTTCATATGATATTCTCTGCAGTTCTCTGCTATCAGAGCCTCTCGATCCTATTCCAAAAGTCAAGACGCCAAGCTCTTTCAGAGAGGAGGCTGCTGCATCGACACTGTCAAATGACCTGCCCCCGCTAAGCAAAACCAGTATCTGCGGCACACCCTCCAGCCGCCTGCTGCCAGAAGAAGCAGTGAAGACATTGTCTCTGACGTACTGGAGAGCTTCCCCCGTGTAAAGGGGTCTGCCTCCCTTGTGCCTCAGACCCCTGACAGCATCAACAATTTCTTCCTTTGTCGTGTATGTGTTTAGATAGAAATTGGCCTCTGGTTCTCTGCTGTATTGGACAACAGAAATGCGATCTCTGTTCTCGGCAACATCCAATTTCTCCACCATTCTTTGCACAAAGTCTTTCATTGCTGGGAATCCATTCCTAGTTCCATCCGATCCATCCAGAAGGAACACAACATCTCTTCTCTGTCTACGGCCCTCAGCTTAGAAACAAAGATTAATGAGTCAGATGGGAACTATTTTAAGGAGATGCAATATCAATAAATAAGAACAATAATCATATTAATATAATAATAAGTTGCAGTCTTGGTGCTTTGTCACTGATCATGCTTTTTTTTCTTCTTCTTCTTTTGCCTATCACATCACCTCTCATTGCGTTTTAGGGGTCACAAAATTTTGACCTGTTCAACAACTCATTAGCGATACGGGAACAGCAAAGCACATGTCGTTGCGACTAATAAAAAGTGATTGGAAACTACTGGAAGCCACTTTGGCTTTTTCTTACCTATGGTTGTGGAAGTGGTAGGTACGCCCGCTACAAAGACCTTGTTAATGTTGGTAAAAAGCTGCTGTTGGACACTGGGAAGGTCAGTGAAGTCACTCACTGAGAGTGCATAGCTAGGCTCTTGGGAGATTCTCTGGAGTTCCTGGCTGTCTGAGCTCCTTGACCCAATCGCAAAGATAAGCACTCCCAGCTCCTTTAGGGATGAGGCTGGCGTGTCAACATTATCAAATGACCTTGCGCCACTCAGCAGAATCAGCAACTGAGGAACACCTTCTACACGTCTACTTCCAGAGGAGGCAGTGAAGACATTGTCTCTCAAGTACTGCAGAGCTGCCCCCGTGTTGAGGGGTCTCCCTCCTTTGTGCCTCAGACCCCTGATCGTGTCAAGAGCGTCCTCTTTTCTTGAGTATGTGTTCAGATAGAAATGAGCCTCTGGATCTCTGCTGTACTGGACCACAGAGACACGGTCTCTGTTCTCAGACACGTTCAGTCTTTCCACCATCCTTTCAACAAAGTCTCGCATTGCAGAGAAAGAGCTCCTCGTGCCATCTGAACCATCCAGCAGAAACACTACATCCCTCCTAGCCATCCTGGGCTCAGCTATGGGTAATGAAATGGAACACAAAGTCATGTGAGCACTGGTCATCCCTTACTGGGTGTACAGCAGGCGTTTGTGCCCTCTAGTCTGCAGCTACAACAGAGGTAACAACTCCCCCATTCTTTCGGCTATTTTGCGGCCAGTCTGATGGTCAAATGTTATTACCGTCTTCCAAAGTAAACTCACATTTTGGTCAGGGTAAACCTGCCTTGATGCACTGAAGCCGCCATGACCAAAAAAGACCTACACTGGAAGGAGATTTTCAGCAGAAGCTATGCCTAAAGTAAACAACCTAGTATACAAACACTTTTAACACAGGCAAACGCCGCTAGGAGTTTTAACCCACGGCTTGCTTGGCTAATTTTAACATAAACCGTGTGCAAATTCTGTCTTACCTGCCACAGTAGGTGTCATCGGCTTAACTTGAACAAGCACATTGTTTAGGGAGCTGTAAAACTGCTGCTGGACACCGGGAAGGTCAGAGAAATCATTGAGCGATTGTGCATAGGCAGGGTCATTGGTAATTCTCTGGACCTCTCTGCTTGAATTTCTAGTGCCGATGCCCAAGATCAAGACCCCGCTCTCTTTCAGGGCAGAGGCAGGTGTATCTACGTTGTCGTTTGAGCGTCCTCCACTGAGGAGGATAAGAACCTGAGGGACACCCTCTTGCTTTCTACTCCCGGCAGAGGCAGTGAAGACACTGTCCCGCACGTACTGGAGAGCTGCCCCCGTGTTGAGGGGTCTCCCTCCTCTATGCCTCAGACCTCTGACCGTGTTCAAGACGTCTGCTTTTGCTGTGTAGGTATTCAGGTAGAAATTGACCTCAGCATCTCTACTGTACTGCACCACAGAAATGCGATCTCTGTTTGCCTCTATGTTGAATTGCTCAACTAATCTCTGCACAAATGCACGCATGGCTGGGAAAGTATTCCTAGTGCCATCAGAGCCGTCCAGCAGAAACACTACATCCTTTCTGGGAATGGTGTCATCAGCTAGGAAAAGAGGACAGCGTCATTAACAGTAAGAAATTTTAAAACATCTTTAGAATGTCACATCACCACCTCATTGACAATGTAAGTTGTGAGTAATGGTCCCGCTGCACACAATTAATTATTGCGATGAGTAACGAGGCACGGGCGTTGAGCCAGCTCTCGTGAAGTTCTATCATGCACATACCAGTGAGAGTTGGGGAAGTTGGAGTGCCGGACATTGCAACCGTCTGGACAGAGGCCAACAGCTGCTCTTGGACATTTGGAAGCTCACTGAAGTCGGCCACGGACAGAGCATAATTGGCTTCGTATGATATTCTCTGCAGTTCTCTGCTATCAGAGCCCCTCGATCCTATTCCCAAGGTCAAGACACCGAGCTCTTTCAGAGAGGATGCTGCTGCATCAACGCTGTCAAATGACCTTCCCCCGCTAAGCAGGATCAGAATCTGTGGCACACCCTCCAGCCGTCTGCTGCCAGAAGAAGCAGTAAAGACATTGTCTCTGACGTACTGGAGAGCTGCCCCTGTGTAGAGGGGACGGCCTCCTTTGTGTCTCAGACCTGTGACGCGGTCAAGAATGTCTTCCTTTTTCGTGTAGCTATTCAGATAGAAATGGACCTCAGCGTCTCTACTGTACTGCACAACAGAAACGCGGTCTCTGTTTGCCTCAATGTTGAATTTCTCCACTACTCTTTGCACAAAGTCCCGCATAGCTGGGAAAGAACTCCTAGTGCCATCTGAACCGTCCAGCAGAAACACTACATCTTTTCTGGGTGTGCTGTATTCAGCTGAGAGGGAGGGAAAAACAACATCATTAACAAAAAAGTTATGACAATAAGTGATCTAAACCTTACGAATGCCAAATCAGTTCATCGCCACATTAACTGTCTAAGCTGTGGGAAATGGACCCACTGCTCTCTCTCTCTCTCTCTCTCTCTCTCTCTCTCTCTCTCTTTCTCGCTCTCTATGTTTCTTTTGAATAAATAAAGTAGGAACATCAAGAAGAAAGGCAAGACAGGGCCTATTTTAAAGTTCTGCTTTGCACATACCGGTAACAGTCGATGAAGTTGGGGTGACGGGAATTGAAGTAACCTGTACAGAGGCAAGCAGCTGCTCTTGGACATTTGGTAGCTCACTGAAATCAGACACGGACAGAGCATAACTGGGTTCATATGATATTCTCTGCAGTTCTCTGCTATCAGAGCCTCTCGATCCTATTCCAAAAGTCAAGACGCCAAGCTCTTTCAGAGAGGAGGCTGCTGCATCGACACTGTCAAATGACCTGCCCCCGCTAAGCAAAACCAGTATCTGCGGCACACCCTCCAGCCGCCTGCTGCCAGAAGAAGCAGTGAAGACATTGTCTCTGACAAACTGGAGAGCTTCCCCCGTGTAAAGGGGTCTGCCTCCCTTGTGCCTCAGACCCCTGACAGCATCAACAATTTCTTCCTTTGTCGTGTATGTGTTTAGATAGAAATTGGCCTCTGGTTCTCTGCTGTATTGGACAACAGAAATGCGATCTCTGTTCTCGGCAACATCCAATTTCTCCACCATTCTTTGCACAAAGTCTTTCATTGCTGGGAATCCATTCCGAGTTCCATCCGATCCATCCAGAAGGAACACAACATCTCTTCTCTGTCTACGGCCCTCAGCTTAGAAACAAAGATTCATGAGTCAGATGGGAACTATTTTAAGGAGATGCAATATCAATAAATAAGAACAATAATCATATTAATATAATAATAAGTTGCAGTCTTGGTGCTTTGTCACTGATCATGCTTTTTTTTCTTCTTCTTCTTTTCCCTATCACATCACCTCTCATTGCGTTTTAAGGGTCACAAAATTTTGACCTGTTCAACAACTCATTAGCGATACGGGAACAGCAAAGCACATGTCGTTGCGACTAATAAAAAGTGATTGGAAACTACTGGAAGCCACTTTGGCTTTTTCTTACCTATGGTTGTGGAAGTGGTAGGTACGCCCGCTACAAAGACCTTGTTAATGTTGATAAAAAGCTGCTGTTGGACACTGGGAAGGTCAGTGAAGTCACTCACTGAGAGTGCATAGCTAGGCTCTTGGGAGATTCTCTGGAGTTCCTGGCTGTCTGAGCTCCTTGACCCAATCACAAAGATAAGCACTCCCAGCTCCTTTAGGGATGAGGCTGGCGTGTCAACATTATCAAATGACCTTGCGCCACTCAGCAGAATCAGCAACTGAGGAACACCTTCTACACGTCTACTTCCAGAGGAGGCAGTGAAGACATTGTCTCTCAAGTACTGCAGAGCTGCCCCCGTGTTGAGGGGTCTCCCTCCTTTGTGCCTCAGACCCCTGATCGTGTCAAGAGCGTCCTCTTTTCTTGAGTATGTGTTCAGATAGAAATGAGCCTCTGGATCTCTGCTGTACTGGACCACAGAGACACGGTCTCTGTTCTCAGACACGTTCAGTCTTTCCACCATCCTTTCAACAAAGTCTCGCATTGCAGAGAAAGAGCTCCTCGTGCCATCTGAACCATCCAGCAGAAACACTACATCCCTCCTAGCCATCCTGGGCTCAGCTATGGGTAATGAAATGGAACACAAAGTCATGTGAGCACTGGTCATCCCTTACTGGGTGTACAGCAGGCGTTTGTGCCCTCTAGTCTGCAGGTACAACAGAGGTAACAACTCCCCCATTCTTTCAGCTATTTTGCGGCCAGTCTGATGGTCAAATGTTATTACCGTCTTCCAAAGTAAACTCACATTTTGGTCAGGGTAAACCTGCCTTGATGCACTGAAGCCGCCATGACCAAAAAAGACCTACACTGGAAGGAGATTTTCAGCAGAAGCTATGCCTAAAGTAAACAACCTAGTATACAAACACTTTTAACACAGGCAAACGCCGCTAGGAGTTTCAACCCACGGCTTGCTTGGCTAATTTTAACATAAACCGTGTGCAAATTCTGTCTTACCTGCCACAGTAGGTGTCATCGGCTTAACTTGAACAAGCACATTGTTTAGGGAGCTGTAAAACTGCTGCTGGACACCGGGAAGGTCAGAGAAATCATTGAGCGATTGTGCATAGGCAGGGTCATTGGTAATTCTCTGGACCTCTCTGCTTGAATTTCTAGTGCCGATGCCCAAGATCAAGACCCCGCTCTCTTTCAGGGCAGAGGCAGGTGTATCTACGTTGTCGTTTGAGCGTCCTCCACTGAGGAGGATAAGAACCTGAGGGACACCCTCTTGCTTTCTACTCCCGGCAGAGGCAGTGAAGACACTGTCCCGCACGTACTGGAGAGCTGCCCCCGTGTTGAGGGGTCTCCCTCCTCTATGCCTCAGACCTCTGACCGTGTTCAAGACGTCTGCTTTTGCTGTGTAGGTATTCAGGTAGAAATTGACCTCAGCATCTCTACTGTACTGCACCACAGAAATGCGATCTCTGTTTGCCTCTACGTTGAATTGCTCAACTAATCTCTGCACAAATGCACGCATGGCTGGGAAAGTATTCCTAGTGCCATCAGAGCCGTCCAGCAGAAACACTACATCCTTTCTGGGAATGGTGTCATCAGCTAGGAAAAGAGGACAGCGTCATTAACAGTAAGAAATTTTAAAACATCTTTAGAATGTCACATCACCACCTCATTGACAATGTAAGTTGTGAGTAATGGTCCCGCTGCACACAATTAATTATTGCGATGAGTAACGAGGCACGGGCGTTGAGCCAGCTCTCGTGAAGTTCTATCATGCACATACCAGTGAGAGTTGGGGAAGTTGGAGTGCCGGACATTGCAACCGTCTGGACAGAGGCCAACAGCTGCTCTTGGACATTTGGAAGCTCACTGAAGTCGGCCACGGACAGAGCATAATTGGCTTCGTATGATATTCTCTGCAGGTCTCTGCTATCAGAGCCCCTCGATCCTATTCCCAAGGTCAAGACACCAAGCTCTTTCAGAGAGGATGCTGCTGCATCAACGCTGTCAAATGACCTTCCCCCGCTAAGCAGGATCAGAATCTGTGGCACACCCTCCAGCCGTCTGCTGCCAGAAGAAGCAGTAAAGACATTGTCTCTGACGTACTGGAGAGCTGCCCCTGTGTAGAGGGGACGGCCTCCTTTGTGTCTCAGACCTGTGACGCGGTCAAGAATGTCTTCCTTTTTCGTGTAGCTATTCAGATAGAAATGGACCTCAGCGTCTCTACTGTACTGCACAACAGAAACGCGGTCTCTGTTTGCCTCAATGTTGAATTTCTCCACTACTCTTTGCACAAAGTCCCGCATAGCTGGGAAAGAACTCCTAGTGCCATCTGAACCGTCCAGCAGAAACACTACATCTTTTCTGGGTGTGCTGTATTCAGCTGAGAGGGAGGGAAAAACAACATCATTAACAAAAAAGTTATGACAATAAGTGATCTAAACCTTACGAATGCCAAATCAGTTCATCGCCACATTAACTGTCTAAGCTGTGGGAAATGGACCCACTGCTCTCTCTCTCTCTCTCTCTCTCTCTCTCTCTCTCTCTCTCTCTTTCTCGCTCTCTATGTTTCTTTTGAATAAATAAAGTAGGAACATCAAGAAGAAAGGCAAGACAGGGCCTATTTTAAAGTTCTGCTTTGCACATACCGGTAACAGTCGGTGAAGTTGGGGTGACGGGAATTGAAGTAACCTGTACAGAGGCAAGCAGCTGCTCTTGGACATTTGGTAGCTCACTGAAATCAGACACGGACAGAGCATAACTGGGTTCATATGATATTCTCTGCAGTTCTCTGCTATCAGAGCCTCTCGATCCTATTCCAAAAGTCAAGACGCCAAGCTCTTTCAGAGAGGAGGCTGCTGCATCGACACTGTCAAATGACCTGCCCCCGCTAAGCAAAACCAGTATCTGCGGCACACCCTCCAGCCGCCTGCTGCCAGAAGAAGCAGTGAAGACATTGTCTCTGACGTACTGGAGAGCTTCCCCCGTGTAAAGGGGTCTGCCTCCCTTGTGCCTCAGACCCCTGACAGCATCAACAATTTCTTCCTTTGTCGTGTATGTGTTTAGATAGAAATTGGCCTCTGGTTCTCTGCTGTATTGGACAACAGAAATGCGATCTCTGTTCTCGGCAACATCCAATTTCTCCACCATTCTTTGCACAAAGTCTTTCATTGCTGGGAATCCATTCCTAGTTCCATCCGATCCATCCAGAAGGAACACAACATCTCTTCTCTGTCTACGGCCCTCAGCTTAGAAACAAAGATTAATGAGTCAGATGGGAACTATTTTAAGGAGATGCAATATCAATAAATAAGAACAATAATCATATTAATATAATAATAAGTTGCAGTCTTGGTGCTTTGTCACTGATCATGCTTTTTTTTCTTCTTCTTCTTTTGCCTATCACATCACCTCTCATTGCGTTTCAGGGGTCACAAAATTTTGACCTGTTCAACAACTCATTAGCGATACGGGAACAGCAAAGCACATGTCGTTGCGACTAATAAAAAGTGATTGGAAACTACTGGAAGCCACTTTGGCTTTTTCTTACCTATGGTTGTGGAAGTGGTAGGTACGCCCGCTACAAAGACCTTGTTAATGTTGGTAAAAAGCTGCTGTTGGACACTGGGAAGGTCAGTGAAGTCACTCACTGAGAGTGCATAGCTAGGCTCTTGGGAGATTCTCTGGAGTTCCTGGCTGTCTGAGCTCCTTGACCCAATCGCAAAGATAAGCACTCCCAGCTCCTTTAGGGATGAGGCTGGCGTGTCAACATTATCAAATGACCTTGCGCCACTCAGCAGAATCAGCAACTGAGGAACACCTTCTACACGTCTACTTCCAGAGGAGGCAGTGAAGACATTGTCTCTCAAGTACTGCAGAGCTGCCCCCGTGTTGAGGGGTCTCCCTCCTTTGTGCCTCAGACCCCTGATCGTGTCAAGAGCGTCCTCTTTTCTTGAGTATGTGTTCAGATAGAAATGAGCCTCTGGATCTCTGCTGTACTGGACCACAGAGACACGGTCTCTGTTCTCAGACACGTTCAGTCTTTCCACCATCCTTTCAACAAAGTCTCGCATTGCAGAGAAAGAGCTCCTCGTGCCATCTGAACCATCCAGCAGAAACACTACATCCCTCCTAGCCATCCTGGGCTCAGCTATGGGTAATGAAATGGAACACAAAGTCATGTGAGCACTGGTCATCCCTTACTGGGTGTACAGCAGGCGTTTGTGCCCTCTAGTCTGCAGGTACAACAGAGGTAACAACTCCCCCATTCTTTCAGCTATTTTGCGGCCAGTCTGATGGTCAAATGTTATTACCGTCTTCCAAAGTAAACTCACATTTTGGTCAGGGTAAACCTGCCTTGATGCACTGAAGCCGCCATGACCAAAAAAGACCTACACTGGAAGGAGATTTTCAGCAGAAGCTATGCCTAAAGTAAACAACCTAGTATACAAACACTTTTAACACAGGCAAACGCCGCTAGGAGTTTCAACCCACGGCTTGCTTGGCTAATTTTAACATAAACCGTGTGCAAATTCTGTCTTACCTGCCACAGTAGGTGTCATCGGCTTAACTTGAACAAGCACATTGTTTAGGGAGCTGTAAAACTGCTGCTGGACACCGGGAAGGTCAGAGAAATCATTGAGCGATTGTGCATAGGCAGGGTCATTGGTAATTCTCTGGACCTCTCTGCTTGAATTTCTAGTGCCGATGCCCAAGATCAAGACCCCGCTCTCTTTCAGGGCAGAGGCAGGTGTATCTACGTTGTCGTTTGAGCGTCCTCCACTGAGGAGGATAAGAACCTGAGGGACACCCTCTTGCTTTCTACTCCCGGCAGAGGCAGTGAAGACACTGTCCCGCACGTACTGGAGAGCTGCCCCCGTGTTGAGGGGTCTCCCTCCTCTATGCCTCAGACCTCTGACCGTGTTCAAGACGTCTGCTTTTGCTGTGTAGGTATTCAGGTAGAAATTGACCTCAGCATCTCTACTGTACTGCACCACAGAAATGCGATCTCTGTTTGCCTCTACGTTGAATTGCTCAACTAATCTCTGCACAAATGCACGCATGGCTGGGAAAGTATTCCTAGTGCCATCAGAGCCGTCCAGCAGAAACACTACATCCTTTCTGGGAATGGTGTCATCAGCTAGGAAAAGAGGACAGCGTCATTAACAGTAAGAAATTTTAAAACATCTTTAGAATGTCACATCACCACCTCATTGACAATGTAAGTTGTGAGTAATGGTCCCGCTGCACACAATTAATTATTGCGATGAGTAACGAGGCACGGGCGTTGAGCCAGCTCTCGTGAAGTTCTATCATGCACATACCAGTGAGAGTTGGGGAAGTTGGAGTGCCGGACATTGCAACCGTCTGGACAGAGGCCAACAGCTGCTCTTGGACATTTGGAAGCTCACTGAAGTCGGCCACGGACAGAGCATAATTGGCTTCGTATGATATTCTCTGCAGTTCTCTGCTATCAGAGCCCCTCGATCCTATTCCCAAGGTCAAGACACCGAGCTCTTTCAGAGAGGATGCTGCTGCATCAACGCTGTCAAATGACCTTCCCCCGCTAAGCAGGATCAGAATCTGTGGCACACCCTCCAGCCGTCTGCTGCCAGAAGAAGCAGTAAAGACATTGTCTCTGACGTACTGGAGAGCTGCCCCTGTGTAGAGGGGACGGCCTCCTTTGTGTCTCAGACCTGTGACGCGGTCAAGAATGTCTTCCTTTTTCGTGTAGCTATTCAGATAGAAATGGACCTCAGCGTCTCTACTGTACTGCACAACAGAAACGCGGTCTCTGTTTGCCTCAATGTTGAATTTCTCCACTACTCTTTGCACAAAGTCCCGCATAGCTGGGAAAGAACTCCTAGTGCCATCTGAACCGTCCAGCAGAAACACTACATCTTTTCTGGGTGTGCTGTATTCAGCTGAGAGGGAGGGAAAAACAACATCATTAACAAAAAAGTTATGACAATAAGTGATCTAAACCTTACGAATGCCAAATCAGTTCATCGCCACATTAACTGTCTAAGCTGTGGGAAATGGACCTACTGCTCTCTCTCTCTCTCTCTCTCTCTCTCTCTCTTTCTCGCTCTCTATGTTTCTTTTGAATAAATAAAGTAGGAACATCAAGAAGAAAGGCAAGACAGGGCCTATTTTAAAGTTCTGCTTTGCACATACCGGTAACAGTCGGTGAAGTTGGGGTGACGGGAATTGAAGTAACCTGTACAGAGGCAAGCAGCTGCTCTTGGACATTTGGTAGCTCACTGAAATCAGACACGGACAGAGCATAACTGGGTTCATATGATATTCTCTGCAGTTCTCTGCTATCAGAGCCTCTCGATCCTATTCCAAAAGTCAAGACGCCAAGCTCTTTCAGAGAGGAGGCTGCTGCATCGACACTGTCAAATGACCTGCCCCCGCTAAGCAAAACCAGTATCTGCGGCACACCCTCCAGCCGCCTGCTGCCAGAAGAAGCAGTGAAGACATTGTCTCTGACGTACTGGAGAGCTTCCCCCGTGTAAAGGGGTCTGCCTCCCTTGTGCCTCAGACCCCTGACAGCATCAACAATTTCTTCCTTTGTCGTGTATGTGTTTAGATAGAAATTGGCCTCTGGTTCTCTGCTGTATTGGACAACAGAAATGCGATCTCTGTTCTCGGCAACATCCAATTTCTCCACCATTCTTTGCACAAAGTCTTTCATTGCTGGGAATCCATTCCTAGTTCCATCCGATCCATCCAGAAGGAACACAACATCTCTTCTCTGTCTACGGCCCTCAGCTTAGAAACAAAGATTCATGAGTCAGATGGGAACTATTTTAAGGAGATGCAATATCAATAAATAAGAACAATAATCATATTAATATAATAATAAGTTGCAGTCTTGGTGCTTTGTCACTGATCATGCTTTTTTTTCTTCTTCTTCTTTTCCCTATCACATCACCTCTCATTGCGTTTTAAGGGTCACAAAATTTTGACCTGTTCAACAACTCATTAGCGATACGGGAACAGCAAAGCACATGTTGTTGCGACTAATAAAAAGTGATTGGAAACTACTGGAAGCCACTTTGGCTTTTTCTTACCTATGGTTGTGGAAGTGGTAGGTACGCCCGCTACAAAGACCTTGTTAATGTTGGTAAAAAGCTGCTGTTGGACACTGGGAAGGTCAGTGAAGTCACTCACTGAGAGTGCATAGCTAGGCTCTTGGGAGATTCTCTGGAGTTCCTGGCTGTCTGAGCTCCTTGACCCAATCGCAAAGATAAGCACTCCCAGCTCCTTTAGGGATGAGGCTGGCGTGTCAACATTATCAAATGACCTTGCGCCACTCAGCAGAATCAGCAACTGAGGAACACCTTCTACACGTCTACTTCCAGAGGAGGCAGTGAAGACATTGTCTCTCAAGTACTGCAGAGCTGCCCCCGTGTTGAGGGGTCTCCCTCCTTTGTGCCTCAGACCCCTGATCGTGTCAAGAGCGTCCTCTTTTCTTGAGTATGTGTTCAGATAGAAATGAGCCTCTGGATCTCTGCTGTACTGGACCACAGAGACACGGTCTCTGTTCTCAGACACGTTCAGTCTTTCCACCATCCTTTCAACAAAGTCTCGCATTGCAGAGAAAGAGCTCCTCGTGCCATCTGAACCATCCAGCAGAAACACTACATCCCTCCTAGCCATCCTGGGCTCAGCTATGGGTAATGAAATGGAACACAAAGTCATGTGAGCACTGGTCATCCCTTACTGGGTGTACAGCAGGCGTTTGTGCCCTCTAGTCTGCAGCTACAACAGAGGTAACAACTCCCCCATTCTTTCAGCTATTTTGCGGCCAGTCTGATGGTCAAATGTTATTACCGTCTTCCAAAGTAAACTCACATTTTGGTCAGGGTAAACCTGCCTTGATGCACTGAAGCCGCCATGACCAAAAAAGACCTACACTGGAAGGAGATTTTCAGCAGAAGCTATGCCTAAAGTAAACAACCTAGTATACAAACACTTTTAACACAGGCAAACGCCGCTAGGAGTTTTAACTCACGGCTTGCTTGGCTAATTTTAACATAAACCGTGTGCAAATTCTGTCTTACCTGCCACAGTAGGTATCATCGGCTTAACTTGAACAAGCACATTGTTTAGGGAGCTGTAAAACTGCTGCTGGACACCGGGAAGGTCAGAGAAATCATTGAGCGATTGTGCATAGGCAGGGTCATTGGTAATTCTCTGGACCTCTCTGCTTGAATTTCTAGTGCCGATGCCCAAGATCAAGACCCCGCTCTCTTTCAGGGCAGAGGCAGGTGTATCTACGTTGTCGTTTGAGCGTCCTCCACTGAGGAGGATAAGAACCTGAGGGACACCCTCTTGCTTTCTACTCCCGGCAGAGGCAGTGAAGACACTGTCCCGCACGTACTGGAGAGCTGCCCCCGTGTTGAGGGGTCTCCCTCCTCTATGCCTCAGACCTCTGACCGTGTTCAAGACGTCTGCTTTTGCTGTGTAGGTATTCAGGTAGAAATTGACCTCAGCATCTCTACTGTACTGCACCACAGAAATGCGATCTCTGTTTGCCTCTACGTTGAATTGCTCAACTAATCTCTGCACAAATGCACGCATGGCTGGGAAAGTATTCCTAGTGCCATCAGAGCCGTCCAGCAGAAACACTACATCCTTTCTGGGAATGGTGTCATCAGCTAGGAAAAGAGGACAGCGTCATTAACAGTAAGAAATTTTAAAACATCTTTAGAATGTCACATCACCACCTCATTGACAATGTAAGTTGTGAGTAATGGTCCCGCTGCACACAATTAATTATTGCGATGAGTAACGAGGCATGGGCGTTGAGCCAGCTCTCGTGAAGTTCTATCATGCACATACCAGTGAGAGTTGGGGAAGTTGGAGTGCCGGACATTGCAACCGTCTGGACAGAGGCCAACAGCTGCTCTTGGACATTTGGAAGCTCACTGAAGTCGGCCACGGACAGAGCATAATTGGCTTCGTATGATATTCTCTGCAGTTCTCTGCTATCAGAGCCCCTCGATCCTATTCCCAAGGTCAAGACACCGAGCTCTTTCAGAGAGGATGCTGCTGCATCAACGCTGTCAAATGACCTTCCCCCGCTAAGCAGGATCAGAATCTGTGGCACACCCTCCAGCCGTCTGCTGCCAGAAGAAGCAGTAAAGACATTGTCTCTGACGTACTGGAGAGCTGCCCCTGTGTAGAGGGGACGGCCTCCTTTGTGTCTCAGACCTGTGACGCGGTCAAGAATGTCTTCCTTTTTCGTGTAGCTATTCAGATAGAAATGGACCTCAGCGTCTCTACTGTACTGCACAACAGAAACGCGGTCTCTGTTTGCCTCAATGTTGAATTTCTCCACTACTCTTTGCACAAAGTCCCGCATAGCTGGGAAAGAACTCCTAGTGCCATCTGAACCGTCCAGCAGAAACACTACATCTTTTCTGGGTGTGCTGTATTCAGCTGAGAGGGAGGGAAAAACAACATCATTAACAAAAAAGTTATGACAATAAGTGATCTAAACCTTACGAATGCCAAATCAGTTCATCGCCACATGAACTGTCTAAGCTGTGGGAAATGGACTTACTGCTCTCTCTCTCTCTCTCTCTCTCTCTCTCTCTCTCTCTCTCTTTCTCGCTCTCTATGTTTCTTTTGAATAAATAAAGTAGGAACATCAAGAAGAAAGGCAAGACAGGGCCTATTTTAAAGTTCTGCTTTGCACATACCGGTAACAGTCGGTGAAGTTGGGGTGACGGGAATTGAAGTAACCTGTACAGAGGCAAGCAGCTGCTCTTGGACATTTGGTAGCTCACTGAAATCAGACACGGACAGAGCATAACTGGGTTCATATGATATTCTCTGCAGTTCTCTGCTATCAGAGCCTCTCGATCCTATTCCAAAAGTCAAGACGCCAAGCTCTTTCAGAGAGGAGGCTGCTGCATCGACACTGTCAAATGACCTGCCCCCGCTAAGCAAAACCAGTATCTGCGGCACACCCTCCAGCCGCCTGCTGCCAGAAGAAGCAGTGAAGACATTGTCTCTGACGTACTGGAGAGCTTCCCCCGTGTAAAGGGGTCTGCCTCCCTTGTGCCTCAGACCCCTGACAGCATCAACAATTTCTTCCTTTGTCGTGTATGTGTTTAGATAGAAATTGGCCTCTGGTTCTCTGCTGTATTGGACAACAGAAATGCGATCTCTGTTCTCGGCAACATCCAATTTCTCCACCATTCTTTGCACAAAGTCTTTCATTGCTGGGAATCCATTCCTAGTTCCATCCGATCCATCCAGAAGGAACACAACATCTCTTCTCTGTCTACGGCCCTCAGCTTAGAAACAAAGATTCATGAGTCAGATGGGAACTATTTTAAGGAGATGCAATATCAATAAATAAGAACAATAATCATATTAATATAATAATAAGTTGCAGTCTTGGTGCTTTGTCACTGATCATGCTTTTTTTTCTTCTTCTTTTCCCTATCACATCACCTCTCATTGCGTTTTAAGGGTCACAAAATTTTGACCTGTTCAACAACTCATTAGCGATACGGGAACAGCAAAGCACATGTCGTTGCGACTAATAAAAAGTGATTGGAAACTACTGGAAGCCACTTTGGCTTTTTCTTACCTATGGTTGTGGAAGTGGTAGGTACGCCCGCTACAAAGACCTTGTTAATGTTGGTAAAAAGCTGCTGTTGGACACTGGGAAGGTCAGTGAAGTCACTCACTGAGAGTGCATAGCTAGGCTCTTGGGAGATTCTCTGGAGTTCCTGGCTGTCTGAGCTCCTTGACCCAATCGCAAAGATAAGCACTCCCAGCTCCTTTAGGGATGAGGCTGGCGTGTCAACATTATCAAATGACCTTGCGCCACTCAGCAGAATCAGCAACTGAGGAACACCTTCTACACGTCTACTTCCAGAGGAGGCAGTGAAGACATTGTCTCTCAAGTACTGCAGAGCTGCCCCCGTGTTGAGGGGTCTCCCTCCTTTGTGCCTCAGACCCCTGATCGTGTCAAGAGCGTCCTCTTTTCTTGAGTATGTGTTCAGATAGAAATGAGCCTCTGGATCTCTGCTGTACTGGACCACAGAGACACGGTCTCTGTTCTCAGACACGTTCAGTCTTTCCACCATCCTTTCAACAAAGTCTCGCATTGCAGAGAAAGAGCTCCTCGTGCCATCTGAACCATCCAGCAGAAACACTACATCCCTCCTAGCCATCCTGGGCTCAGCTATGGGTAATGAAATGGAACACAAAGTCATGTGAGCACTGGTCATCCCTTACTGGGTGTACAGCAGGCGTTTGTGCCCTCTAGTCTGCAGCTACAACAGAGGTAACAACTCCCCCATTCTTTCAGCTATTTTGCGGCCAGTCTGATGGTCAAATGTTATTACCGTCTTCCAAAGTAAACTCACATTTTGGTCAGGGTAAACCTGCCTTGATGCACTGAAGCCGCCATGACCAAAAAAGACCTACACTGGAAGGAGATTTTCAGCAGAAGCTATGCCTAAAGTAAACAACCTAGTATACAAACACTTTTAACACAGGCAAACGCCGCTAGGAGTTTCAACCCACGGCTTGCTTGGCTAATTTTAACATAAACCGTGTGCAAATTCTGTCTTACCTGCCACAGTAGGTGTCATCGGCTTAACTTGAACAAGCACATTGTTTAGGGAGCTGTAAAACTGCTGCTGGACACCGGGAAGGTCAGAGAAATCATTGAGCGATTGTGCATAGGCAGGGTCATTGGTAATTCTCTGGACCTCTCTGCTTGAATTTCTAGTGCCGATGCCCAAGATCAAGACCCCGCTCTCTTTCAGGGCAGAGGCAGGTGTATCTACGTTGTCGTTTGAGCGTCCTCCACTGAGGAGGATAAGAACCTGAGGGACACCCTCTTGCTTTCTACTCCCGGCAGAGGCAGTGAAGACACTGTCCCGCACGTACTGGAGAGCTGCCCCCGTGTTGAGGGGTCTCCCTCCTCTATGCCTCAGACCTCTGACCGTGTTCAAGACGTCTGCTTTTGCTGTGTAGGTATTCAGGTAGAAATTGACCTCAGCATCTCTACTGTACTGCACCACAGAAATGCGATCTCTGTTTGCCTCTACGCTGAATTGCTCAACTAATCTCTGCACAAATGCACGCATGGCTGGGAAAGTATTCCTAGTGCCATCAGAGCCGTCCAGCAGAAACACTACATCCTTTCTGGGAATGGTGTCATCAGCTAGGAAAAGAGGACAGCGTCATTGAAAGTAAGAAATTTTAAAACATCTTTAGAATGTCACATCACCACCTCATTGACAATGTAAGTTGTGAGTAATGGTCCCGCTGCACACAATTAATTATTGCGATGAGTAACGAGGCACGGGCGTTGAGCCAGCTCTCGTGAAGTTCTATCATGCACATACCAGTGAGAGTTGGGGAAGTTGGAGTGCCGGACATTGCAACCGTCTGGACAGAGGCCAACAGCTGCTCTTGGACATTTGGAAGCTCACTGAAGTCGGCCACGGACAGAGCATAATTGGCTTCGTATGATATTCTCTGCAGTTCTCTGCTATCAGAGCCCCTCGATCCTATTCCCAAGGTCAAGACACCGAGCTCTTTCAGAGAGGATGCTGCTGCATCAACGCTGTCAAATGACCTTCCCCCGCTAAGCAGGATCAGAATCTGTGGCACACCCTCCAGCCGTCTGCTGCCAGAAGAAGCAGTAAAGACATTGTCTCTGACGTACTGGAGAGCTGCCCCTGTGTAGAGGGGACGGCCTCCTTTGTGTCTCAGACCTGTGACGCGGTCAAGAATGTCTTCCTTTTTCGTGTAGCTATTCAGATAGAAATGGACCTCAGCGTCTCTACTGTACTGCACAACAGAAACGCGGTCTCTGTTTGCCTCAATGTTGAATTTCTCCACTACTCTTTGCACAAAGTCCCGCATAGCTGGGAAAGAACTCCTAGTGCCATCTGAACCGTCCAGCAGAAACACTACATCTTTTCTGGGTGTGCTGTATTCAGCTGAGAGGGAGGGAAAAACAACATCATTAACAAAAAAGTTATGACAATAAGTGATCTAAACCTTACGAATGCCAAATCAGTTCATCGCCACATTAACTGTCTAAGCTGTGGGAAATGGACCTACTGCTCTCTCTCTCTCTCTCTCTCTCTCTCTCTCTTTCTCGCTCTCTATGTTTCTTTTGAATAAATAAAGTAGGAACATCAAGAAGAAAGGCAAGACAGGGCCTATTTTAAAGTTCTGCTTTGCACATACCGGTAACAGTCGGTGAAGTTGGGGTGACGGGAATTGAAGTAACCTGTACAGAGGCAAGCAGCTGCTCTTGGACATTTGGTAGCTCACTGAAATCAGACACGGACAGAGCATAACTGGGTTCATATGATATTCTCTGCAGTTCTCTGCTATCAGAGCCTCTCGATCCTATTCCAAAAGTCAAGACGCCAAGCTCTTTCAGAGAGGAGGCTGCTGCATCGACACTGTCAAATGACCTGCCCCCGCTAAGCAAAACCAGTATCTGCGGCACACCCTCCAGCCGCCTGCTGCCAGAAGAAGCAGTGAAGACATTGTCTCTGACGTACTGGAGAGCTTCCCCCGTGTAAAGGGGTCTGCCTCCCTTGTGCCTCAGACCCCTGACAGCATCAACAATTTCTTCCTTTGTCGTGTATGTGTTTAGATAGAAATTGGCCTCTGGTTCTCTGCTGTATTGGACAACAGAAATGCGATCTCTGTTCTCGGCAACATCCAATTTCTCCACCATTCTTTGCACAAAGTCTTTCATTGCTGGGAATCCATTCCTAGTTCCATCCGATCCATCCAGAAGGAACACAACATCTCTTCTCTGTCTACGGCCCTCAGCTTAGAAACAAAGATTCATGAGTCAGATGGGAACTATTTTAAGGAGATGCAATATCAATAAATAAGAACAATAATCATATTAATATAATAATAAGTTGCAGTCTTGGTGCTTTGTCACTGATCATGCTTTTTTTTCTGCTTCTTCTTTTGCCTATCACATCACCTCTCATTGCGTTTTAGGGGTCACAAAATTTTGACCTGTTCAACAACTCATTAGCGATACGGGAACAGCAAAGCACATGTCGTTGCGACTAATAAAAAGTGATTGGAAACTACTGGAAGCCACTTTGGCTTTTTCTTACCTATGGTTGTGGAAGTGGTAGGTACGCCCGCTACAAAGACCTTGTTAATGTTGGTAAAAAGCTGCTGTTGGACACTGGGAAGGTCAGTGAAGTCACTCACTGAGAGTGCATAGCTAGGCTCTTGGGAGATTCTCTGGAGTTCCTGGCTGTCTGAGCTCCTTGACCCAATCGCAAAGATAAGCACTCCCAGCTCCTTTAGGGATGAGGCTGGCGTGTCAACATTATCAAATGACCTTGCGCCACTCAGCAGAATCAGCAACTGAGGAACACCTTCTACACGTCTACTTCCAGAGGAGGCAGTGAAGACATTGTCTCTCAAGTACTGCAGAGCTGCCCCCGTGTTGAGGGGTCTCCCTCCTTTGTGCCTCAGACCCCTGATCGTGTCAAGAGCGTCCTCTTTTCTTGAGTATGTGTTCAGATAGAAATGAGCCTCTGGATCTCTGCTGTACTGGACCACAGAGACACGGTCTCTGTTCTCAGACACGTTCAGTCTTTCCACCATCCTTTCAACAAAGTCTCGCATTGCAGAGAAAGAGCTCCTCGTGCCATCTGAACCATCCAGCAGAAACACTACATCCCTCCTAGCCATCCTGGGCTCAGCTATGGGTAATGAAATGGAACACAAAGTCATGTGAGCACTGGTCATCCCTTACTGGGTGTACAGCAGGCGTTTGTGCCCTCTAGTCTGCAGCTACAACAGAGGTAACAACTCCCCCATTCTTTCAGCTATTTTGCGGCCAGTCTGATGGTCAAATGTTATTACCGTCTTCCAAAGTAAACTCACATTTTGGTCAGGGTAAACCTGCCTTGATGCACTGAAGCCGCCATGACCAAAAAAGACCTACACTGGAAGGAGATTTTCAGCAGAAGCTATGCCTAAAGTAAACAACCTAGTATACAAACACTTTTAACACAGGCAAACGCTGCTAGGAGTTTCAACCCACGGCTTGCTTGGCTAATTTTAACATAAACCGTGTGCAAATTCTGTCTTACCTGCCACAGTAGGTGTCATCGGCTTAACTTGAACAAGCACATTGTTTAGGGAGCTGTAAAACTGCTGCTGGACACCGGGAAGGTCAGAGAAATCATTGAGCGATTGTGCATAGGCAGGGTCATTGGTAATTCTCTGGACCTCTCTGCTTGAATTTCTAGTGCCGATGCCCAAGATCAAGACCCCGCTCTCTTTCAGGGCAGAGGCAGGTGTATCTACGTTGTCGTTTGAGCGTCCTCCACTGAGGAGGATAAGAACCTGAGGGACACCCTCTTGCTTTCTACTCCCGGCAGAGGCAGTGAAGACACTGTCCCGCACGTACTGGAGAGCTGCCCCCGTGTTGAGGGGTCTCCCTCCTCTATGCCTCAGACCTCTGACCGTGTTCAAGACGTCTGCTTTTGCTGTGTAGGTATTCAGGTAGAAATTGACCTCAGCATCTCTACTGTACTGCACCACAGAAATGCGATCTCTGTTTGCCTCTACGTTGAATTGCTCAACTAATCTCTGCACAAATGCACGCATGGCTGGGAAAGTATTCCTAGTGCCATCAGAGCCGTCCAGCAGAAACACTACATCCTTTCTGGGAATGGTGTCATCAGCTAGGAAAAGAGGACAGCGTCATTAACAGTAAGAAATTTTAAAACATCTTTAGAATGTCACATCACCACCTCATTGACAATGTAAGTTGTGAGTAATGGTCCCGCTGCACACAATTAATTATTGCGATGAGTAACGAGGCACGGGCGTTGAGCCAGCTCTCGTGAAGTTCTATCATGCACATACCAGTGAGAGTTGGGGAAGTTGGAGTGCCGGACATTGCAACCGTCTGGACAGAGGCCAACAGCTGCTCTTGGACATTTGGAAGCTCACTGAAGTCGGCCACGGACAGAGCATAATTGGCTTCGTATGATATTCTCTGCAGTTCTCTGCTATCAGAGCCCCTCGATCCTATTCCCAAGGTCAAGACACCGAGCTCTTTCAGAGAGGATGCTGCTGCATCAACGCTGTCAAATGACCTTCCCCCGCTAAGCAGGATCAGAATCTGTGGCACACCCTCCAGCCGTCTGCTGCCAGAAGAAGCAGTAAAGATATTGTCTCTGACGTACTGGAGAGCTGCCCCTGTGTAGAGGGGACGGCCTCCTTTGTGTCTCAGACCTGTGACGCGGTCAAGAATGTCTTCCTTTTTCGTGTAGCTATTCAGATAGAAATGGACCTCAGCGTCTCTACTGTACTGCACAACAGAAACGCGGTCTCTGTTTGCCTCAATGTTGAATTTCTCCACTACTCTTTGCACAAAGTCCCGCATAGCTAGGAAAGAACTCCTAGTGCCATCTGAACCGTCCAGCAGAAACACTACATCTTTTCTGGGTGTGCTGTATTCAGCTGAGAGGGAGGGAAAAACAACATCATTAACAAAAAAGTTATGACAATAAGTGATCTAAACCTTACGAATGCCAAATCAGTTCATCGCCACATTAACTGTCTAAGCTGTGGGAAATGGACCCACTGCTCTCTCTCTTTCTCTCTCTCTCTTTCTCGCTCTCTATGTTTCTTTTGAATAAATAAAGTAGGAACATCAAGAAGAAAGGCAAGACAGGGCCTATTTTAAAGTTCTGCTTTGCACATACCGGTAACAGTCGGTGAAGTTGGGGTGACGGGAATTGAAGTAACCTGTACAGAGGCAAGCAGCTGCTCTTGGACATTTGGTAGCTCACTGAAATCAGACACGGACAGAGCATAACTGGGTTCATATGATATTCTCTGCAGTTCTCTGCTATCAGAGCCTCTCGATCCTATTCCAAAAGTCAAGACGCCAAGCTCTTTCAGAGAGGAGGCTGCTGCATTGACACTGTCAAATGACCTGCCCCCGCTAAGCAAAACCAGTATCTGCGGCACACCCTCCAGCCGCCTGCTGCCAGAAGAAGCAGTGAAGACATTGTCTCTGACGTACTGGAGAGCTTCCCCCGTGTAAAGGGGTCTGCCTCCCTTGTGCCTCAGACCCCTGACAGCATCAACAATTTCTTCCTTTGTCGTGTATGTGTTTAGATAGAAATTGGCCCCTGGTTCTCTGCTGTATTGGACAACAGAAATGCGATCTCTGTTCTCGGCAACATCCAATTTCTCCACCATTCTTTGCACAAAGTCTTTCATTGCTGGGAATCCATTCCTAGTTCCATCCGATCCATCCAGAAGGAACACAACATCTCTTCTCTGTCTACGGCCCTCAGCTTAGAAACAAAGATTAATGAGTCAGATGGGAACTATTTTAAGGAGATGCAATATCAATAAATAAGAACAATAATCATATTAATATAATAATAAGTTGCAGTCTTGGTGCTTTGTCACTGATCATGCTTTTTTTTCTTCTTCTTCTTTTGCCTATCACATCACCTCTCATTGCGTTTCAGGGGTCACAAAATTTTGACCTGTTCAACAACTCATTAGCGATACGGGAACAGCAAAGCACATGTCGTTGCGACTAATAAAAAGTGATTGGAAACTACTGGAAGCCACTTTGGCTTTTTCTTACCTATGGTTGTGGAAGTGGTAGGTACGCCCGCTACAAAGACCTTGTTAATGTTGGTAAAAAGCTGCTGTTGGACACTGGGAAGGTCAGTGAAGTCACTCACTGAGAGTGCATAGCTAGGCTCTTGGGAGATTCTCTGGAGTTCCTGGCTGTCTGAGCTCCTTGACCCAATCGCAAAGATAAGCACTCCCAGCTCCTTTAGGGATGAGGCTGGCGTGTCAACATTATCAAATGACCTTGCGCCACTCAGCAGAATCAGCAACTGAGGAACACCTTCTACACGTCTACTTCCAGAGGAGGCAGTGAAGACATTGTCTCTCAAGTACTGCAGAGCTGCCCCCGTGTTGAGGGGTCTCCCTCCTTTGTGCCTCAGACCCCTGATCGTGTCAAGAGCGTCCTCTTTTCTTGAGTATGTGTTCAGATAGAAATGAGCCTCTGGATCTCTGCTGTACTGGACCACAGAGACACGGTCTCTGTTCTCAGACACGTTCAGTCTTTCCACCATCCTTTCAACAAAGTCTCGCATTGCAGAGAAAGAGCTCCTCGTGCCATCTGAACCATCCAGCAGAAACACTACATCCCTCCTAGCCATCCTGGGCTCAGCTATGGGTAATGAAATGGAACACAAAGTCATGTGAGCACTGGTCATCCCTTACTGGGTGTACAGCAGGCGTTTGTGCCCTCTAGTCTGCAGCTACAACAGAGGTAACAACTCCCCCATTCTTTCAGCTATTTTGCGGCCAGTCTGATGGTCAAATGTTATTACCGTCTTCCAAAGTAAACTCACATTTTGGTCAGGGTAAACCTGCCTTGATGCACTGAAGCCGCCATGACCAAAAAAGACCTACACTGGAAGGAGATTTTCAGCAGAAGCTATGCCTAAAGTAAACAACCTAGTATACAAACACTTTTAACACAGGCAAACGCTGCTAGGAGTTTCAACCCACGGCTTGCTTGGCTAATTTTAACATAAACCGTGTGCAAATTCTGTCTTACCTGCCACAGTAGGTGTCATCGGCTTAACTTGAACAAGCACATTGTTTAGGGAGCTGTAAAACTGCTGCTGGACACCGGGAAGGTCAGAGAAATCATTGAGCGATTGTGCATAGGCAGGGTCATTGGTAATTCTCTGGACCTCTCTGCTTGAATTTCTAGTGCCGATGCCCAAGATCAAGACCCCGCTCTCTTTCAGGGCAGAGGCAGGTGTATCTACGTTGTCGTTTGAGCGTCCTCCACTGAGGAGGATAAGAACCTGAGGGACACCCTCTTGCTTTCTACTCCCGGCAGAGGCAGTGAAGACACTGTCCCGCACGTACTGGAGAGCTGCCCCCGTGTTGAGGGGTCTCCCTCCTCTATGCCTCAGACCTCTGACCGTGTTCAAGACGTCTGCTTTTGCTGTGTAGGTATTCAGGTAGAAATTGACCTCAGCATCTCTACTGTACTGCACCACAGAAATGCGATCTCTGTTTGCCTCTACGTTGAATTGCTCAACTAATCTCTGCACAAATGCACGCATGGCTGGGAAAGTATTCCTAGTGCCATCAGAGCCGTCCAGCAGAAACACTACATCCTTTCTGGGAATGGTGTCATCAGCTAGGAAAAGAGGACAGCGTCATTAACAGTAAGAAATTTTAAAACATCTTTAGAATGTCACATCACCACCTCATTGACAATGTAAGTTGTGAGTAATGGTCCCGCTGCACACAATTAATTATTGCGATGAGTAACGAGGCACGGGCGTTGAGCCAGCTCTCGTGAAGTTCTATCATGCACATACCAGTGAGAGTTGGGGAAGTTGGAGTGCCGGACATTGCAACCGTCTGGACAGAGGCCAACAGCTGCTCTTGGACATTTGGAAGCTCACTGAAGTCGGCCACGGACAGAGCATAATTGGCTTCGTATGATATTCTCTGCAGTTCTCTGCTATCAGAGCCCCTCGATCCTATTCCCAAGGTCAAGACACCGAGCTCTTTCAGAGAGGATGCTGCTGCATCAACGCTGTCAAATGACCTTCCCCCGCTAAGCAGGATCAGAATCTGTGGCACACCCTCCAGCCGTCTGCTGCCAGAAGAAGCAGTAAAGACATTGTCTCTGACGTACTGGAGAGCTGCCCCTGTGTAGAGGGGACGGCCTCCTTTGTGTCTCAGACCTGTGACGCGGTCAAGAATGTCTTCCTTTTTCGTGTAGCTATTCAGATAGAAATGGACCTCAGCGTCTCTACTGTACTGCACAACAGAAACGCGGTCTCTGTTTGCCTCAATGTTGAATTTCTCCACTACTCTTTGCACAAAGTCCCGCATAGCTGGGAAAGAACTCCTAGTGCCATCTGAACCGTCCAGCAGAAACACTACATCTTTTCTGGGTGTGCTGTATTCAGCTGAGAGGGAGGGAAAAACAACATCATTAACAAAAAATTTATGACAATAAGTGATCTAAACCTTACGAATGCCAAATCAGTTCATCGCCACATTAACTGTCTAAGCTGTGGGAAATGGACCCACTGCTCTCTCTCTCTCTCTCTCTCTCTCTCTCTCTTTCTCGCTCTCTATGTTTTTTTTGAATAAATAAAGTAGGAACATCAAGAAGAAAGGCAAGACAGGGCCTATTTTAAAGTTCTGCTTTGCACATACCGGTAACAGTCGGTGAAGTTGGGGTGACGGGAATTGAAGTAACCTGTACAGAGGCAAGCAGCTGCTCTTGGACATTTGGTAGCTCACTGAAATCAGACACGGACAGAGCATAACTGGGTTCATATGATATTCTCTGCAGTTCTCTGCTATCAGAGCCTCTCGATCCTATTCCAAAAGTCAAGACGCCAAGCTCTTTCAGAGAGGAGGCTGCTGCATCGACACTGTCAAATGACCTGCCCCCGCTAAGCAAAACCAGTATCTGCGGCACACCCTCCAGCCGCCTGCTGCCAGAAGAAGCAGTGAAGACATTGTCTCTGACGTACTGGAGAGCTTCCCCCGTGTAAAGGGGTCTGCCTCCCTTGTGCCTCAGACCCCTGACAGCATCAACAATTTCTTCGTTTGTCGTGTATGTGTTTAGATAGAAATTGGCCTCTGGTTCTCTGCTGTATTGGACAACAGAAATGCGATCTCTGTTCTCGGCAACATCCAATTTCTCCACCATTCTTTGCACAAAGTCTTTCATTGCTGGGAATCCATTCCTAGTTCCATCCGATCCATCCAGAAGGAACACAACATCTCTTCTCTGTCTACGGCCCTCAGCTTAGAAACAAAGATTCATGAGTCAGATGGGAACTATTTTAAGGAGATGCAATATCAATAAATAAGAACAATAATCATATTAATATAATAATAAGTTGCAGTCTTGGTGCTTTGTCACTGATCATGCTTTTTTTTCTTCTTCTTTTCCCTATCACATCACCTCTCATTGCGTTTTAAGGGTCACAAAATTTTGACCTGTTCAACAACTCATTAGCGATACGGGAACAGCAAAGCACATGTCGTTGCGACTAATAAAAAGTGATTGGAAACTACTGGAAGCCACTTTGGCTTTTTCTTACCTATGGTTGTGGAAGTGGTAGGTACGCCCGCTACAAAGACCTTGTTAATGTTGGTAAAAAGCTGCTGTTGGACACTGGGAAGGTCAGTGAAGTCACTCACTGAGAGTGCATAGCTAGGCTCTTGGGAGATTCTCTGGAGTTCCTGGCTGTCTGAGCTCCTTGACCCAATCACAAAGATAAGCACTCCCAGCTCCTTTAGGGATGAGGCTGGCGTGTCAACATTATCAAATGACCTTGCGCCACTCAGCAGAATCAGCAACTGAGGAACACCTTCTACACGTCTACTTCCAGAGGAGGCAGTGAAGACATTGTCTCTCAAGTACTGCAGAGCTGCCCCCGTGTTGAGGGGTCTCCCTCCTTTGTGCCTCAGACCCCTGATCGTGTCAAGAGCGTCCTCTTTTCTTGAGTATGTGTTCAGATAGAAATGAGCCTCTGGATCTCTGCTGTACTGGACCACAGAGACACGGTCTCTGTTCTCAGACACGTTCAGTCTTTCCACCATCCTTTCAACAAAGTCTCGCATTGCAGAGAAAGAGCTCCTCGTGCCATCTGAACCATCCAGCAGAAACACTACATCCCTCCTAGCCATCCTGGGCTCAGCTATGGGTAATGAAATGGAACACAAAGTCATGTGAGCACTGGTCATCCCTTACTGGGTGTACAGCAGGCGTTTGTGCCCTCTAGTCTGCAGGTACAACAGAGGTAACAACTCCCCCATTCTTTCAGCTATTTTGCGGCCAGTCTGATGGTCAAATGTTATTACCGTCTTCCAAAGTAAACTCACATTTTGGTCAGGGTAAACCTGCCTTGATGCACTGAAGCCGCCATGACCAAAAAAGACCTACACTGGAAGGAGATTTTCAGCAGAAGCTATGCCTAAAGTAAACAACCTAGTATACAAACACTTTTAACACAGGCAAACGCTGCTAGGAGTTTCAACCCATGGCTTGCTTGGCTAATTTTAACATAAACCGTGTGCAAATTCTGTCTTACCTGCCACAGTAGGTGTCATCGGCTTAACTTGAACAAGCACATTGTTTAGGGAGCTGTAAAACTGCTGCTGGACACCGGGAAGGTCAGAGAAATCATTGAGCGATTGTGCATAGGCAGGGTCATTGGTAATTCTCTGGACCTCTCTGCTTGAATTTCTAGTGCCGATGCCCAAGATCAAGACCCCGCTCTCTTTCAGGGCAGAGGCAGGTGTATCTACGTTGTCGTTTGAGCGTCCTCCACTGAGGAGGATAAGAACCTGAGGGACACCCTCTTGCTTTCTACTCCCGGCAGAGGCAGTGAAGACACTGTCCCGCACGTACTGGAGAGCTGCCCCCGTGTTGAGGGGTCTCCCTCCTCTATGCCTCAGACCTCTGACCGTGTTCAAGACGTCTGCTTTTGCTGTGTAGGTATTCAGGTAGAAATTGACCTCAGCATCTCTACTGTACTGCACCACAGAAATGCGATCTCTGTTTGCCTCTACGTTGAATTGCTCAACTAATCTCTGCACAAATGCACGCATGGCTGGGAAAGTATTCCTAGTGCCATCAGAGCCGTCCAGCAGAAACACTACATCCTTTCTGGGAATGGTGTCATCAGCTAGGAAAAGAGGACAGCGTCATTAACAGTAAGAAATTTTAAAACATCTTTAGAATGTCACATCACCACCTCATTGACAATGTAAGTTGTGAGTAATGGTCCCGCTGCACACAATTAATTATTGCGATGAGTAACGAGGCACGGGCGTTGAGCCAGCTCTCGTGAAGTTCTATCATGCACATACCAGTGAGAGTTGGGGAAGTTGGAGTGCCGGACATTGCAACCGTCTGGACAGAGGCCAACAGCTGCTCTTGGACATTTGGAAGCTCACTGAAGTCGGCCACGGACAGAGCATAATTGGCTTCGTATGATATTCTCTGCAGTTCTCTGCTATCAGAGCCCCTCGATCCTATTCCCAAGGTCAAGACACCGAGCTCTTTCAGAGAGGATGCTGCTGCATCAACGCTGTCAAATGACCTTCCCCCGCTAAGGAGGATCAGAATCTGTGGCACACCCTCCAGCCGTCTGCTGCCAGAAGAAGCAGTAAAGACATTGTCTCTGACGTACTGGAGAGCTGCCCCTGTGTAGAGGGGACGGCCTCCTTTGTGTCTCAGACCTGTGACGCGGTCAAGAATGTCTTCCTTTTTCGTGTAGCTATTCAGATAGAAATGAACCTCAGCGTCTCTACTGTACTGCACAACAGAAACGCGGTCTCTGTTTGCCTCAATGTTGAATTTCTCCACTACTCTTTGCACAAAGTCCCGCATAGCTGGGAAAGAACTCCTAGTGCCATCTGAACCGTCCAGCAGAAACACTACATCTTTTCTGGGTGTGCTGTATTCAGCTGAGAGGGAGGGAAAAACAACATCATTAACAAAAAAGTTATGACAATAAGTGATCTAAACCTTACGAATGCCAAATCAGTTCATCGCCACATTAACTGTCTAAGCTGTGGGAAATGGACCCACTGCTCTCTCTCTCTCTCTCTCTCTCTCTCTTTCTCGCTCTCTATGTTTCTTTTGAATAAATAAAGTAGGAACATCAAGAAGAAAGGCAAGACAGGGCCTATTTTAAAGTTCTGCTTTGCACATACCGGTAACAGTCGGTGAAGTTGGGGTGACGGGAATTGAAGTAACCTGTACAGAGGCAAGCAGCTGCTCTTGGACATTTGGTAGCTCACTGAAATCAGACACGGACAGAGCATAACTGGGTTCATATGATATTCTCTGCAGTTCTCTGCTATCAGAGCCTCTCGATCCTATTCCAAAAGTCAAGACGCCAAGCTCTTTCAGAGAGGAGGCTGCTGCATCGACACTGTCAAATGACCTGCCCCCGCTAAGCAAAACCAGTATCTGCGGCACACCCTCCAGCCGCCTGCTGCCAGAAGAAGCAGTGAAGACATTGTCTCTGACAAACTGGAGAGCTTCCCCCGTGTAAAGGGGTCTGCCTCCCTTGTGCCTCAGACCCCTGACAGCATCAACAATTTCTTCCTTTGTCGTGTATGTGTTTAGATAGAAATTGGCCTCTGGTTCTCTGCTGTATTGGACAACAGAAATGCGATCTCTGTTCTCGGCAACATCCAATTTCTCCACCATTCTTTGCACAAAGTCTTTCATTGCTGGGAATCCATTCCTAGTTCCATCCGATCCATCCAGAAGGAACACAACATCTCTTCTCTGTCTACGGCCCTCAGCTTAGAAACAAAGATTCATGAGTCAGATGGGAACTATTTTAAGGAGATGCAATATCAATAAATAAGAACAATAATCATATTAATATAATAATAAGTTGCAGTCTTGGTGCTTTGTCACTGATCATGCTTTTTTTTCTTCTTCTTCTTTTCCCTATCACATCACCTCTCATTGCGTTTTAAGGGTCACAAAATTTTGACCTGTTCAACAACTCATTAGCGATACGGGAACAGCAAAGCACATGTCGTTGCGACTAATAAAAAGTGATTGGAAACTACTGGAAGCCACTTTGGCTTTTTCTTACCTATGGTTGTGGAAGTGGTAGGTACGCCCGCTACAAAGACCTTGTTAATGTTGGTAAAAAGCTGCTGTTGGACACTGGGAAGGTCAGTGAAGTCACTCACTGAGAGTGCATAGCTAGGCTCTTGGGAGATTCTCTGGAGTTCCTGGCTGTCTGAGCTCCTTGACCCAATCACAAAGATAAGCACTCCCAGCTCCTTTAGGGATGAGGCTGGCGTGTCAACATTATCAAATGACCTTGCGCCACTCAGCAGAATCAGCAACTGAGGAACACCTTCTACACGTCTACTTCCAGAGGAGGCAGTGAAGACATTGTCTCTCAAGTACTGCAGAGCTGCCCCCGTGTTGAGGGGTCTCCCTCCTTTGTGCCTCAGACCCCTGATCGTGTCAAGAGCGTCCTCTTTTCTTGAGTATGTGTTCAGATAGAAATGAGCCTCTGGATCTCTGCTGTACTGGACCACAGAGACACGGTCTCTGTTCTCAGACACGTTCAGTCTTTCCACCATCCTTTCAACAAAGTCTCGCATTGCAGAGAAAGAGCTCCTCGTGCCATCTGAACCATCCAGCAGAAACACTACATCCCTCCTAGCCATCCTGGGCTCAGCTATGGGTAATGAAATGGAACACAAAGTCATGTGAGCACTGGTCATCCCTTACTGGGTGTACAGCAGGCGTTTGTGCCCTCTAGTCTGCAGGTACAACAGAGGTAACAACTCCCCCATTCTTTCAGCTATTTTGCGGCCAGTCTGATGGTCAAATGTTATTACCGTCTTCCAAAGTAAACTCACATTTTGGTCAGGGTAAACCTGCCTTGATGCACTGAAGCCGCCATGACCAAAAAAGACCTACACTGGAAGGAGATTTTCAGCAGAAGCTATGCCTAAAGTAAACAACCTAGTATACAAACACTTTTAACACAGGCAAACGCTGCTAGGAGTTTCAACCCACGGCTTGCTTGGCTAATTTTAACATAAAGCGTGTGCAAATTCTGTCTTACCTGCCACAGTAGGTGTCATCGGCTTAACTTGAACAAGCACATTGTTTAGGGAGCTGTAAAACTGCTGCTGGACACCGGGAAGGTCAGAGAAATCATTGAGCGATTGTGCATAGGCAGGGTCATTGGTAATTCTCTGGACCTCTCTGCTTGAATTTCTAGTGCCGATGCCCAAGATCAAGACCCCGCTCTCTTTCAGGGCAGAGGCAGGTGTATCTACGTTGTCGTTTGAGCGTCCTCCACTGAGGAGGATAAGAACCTGAGGGACACCCTCTTGCTTTCTACTCCCGGCAGAGGCAGTGAAGACACTGTCCCGCACGTACTGGAGAGCTGCCCCCGTGTTGAGGGGTCTCCCTCCTCTATGCCTCAGACCTCTGACCGTGTTCAAGACGTCTGCTTTTGCTGTGTAGGTATTCAGGTAGAAATTGACCTCAGCATCTCTACTGTACTGCACCACAGAAATGCGATCTCTGTTTGCCTCTACGTTGAATTGCTCAACTAATCTCTGCACAAATGCACGCATGGCTGGGAAAGTATTCCTAGTGCCATCAGAGCCGTCCAGCAGAAACACTACATCCTTTCTGGGAATGGTGTCATCAGCTAGGAAAAGAGGACAGCGTCATTAACAGTAAGAAATTTTAAAACATCTTTAGAATGTCACATCACCACCTCATTGACAATGTAAGTTGTGAGTAATGGTCCCGCTGCACACAATTAATTATTGCGATGAGTAACGAGGCACGGGCGTTGAGCCAGCTCTCGTGAAGTTCTATCATGCACATACCAGTGAGAGTTGGGGAAGTTGGAGTGCCGGACATTGCAACCGTCTGGACAGAGGCCAACAGCTGCTCTTGGACATTTGGAAGCTCACTGAAGTCGGCCACGGACAGAGCATAATTGGCTTCGTATGATATTCTCTGCAGTTCTCTGCTATCAGAGCCCCTCGATCCTATTCCCAAGGTCAAGACACCGAGCTCTTTCAGAGAGGATGCTGCTGCATCAACGCTGTCAAATGACCTTCCCCCGCTAAGCAGGATCAGAATCTGTGGCACACCCTCCAGCCGTCTGCTGCCAGAAGAAGCAGTAAAGACATTGTCTCTGACGTACTGGAGAGCTGCCCCTGTGTAGAGGGGACGGCCTCCTTTGTGTCTCAGACCTGTGACGCGGTCAAGAATGTCTTCCTTTTTCGTGTAGCTATTCAGATAGAAATGGACCTCAGCGTCTCTACTGTACTGCACAACAGAAACGCGGTCTCTGTTTGCCTCAATGTTGAATTTCTCCACTACTCTTTGCACAAAGTCCCGCATAGCTGGGAAAGAACTCCTAGTGCCATCTGAACCGTCCAGCAGAAACACTACATCTTTTCTGGGTGTGCTGTATTCAGCTGAGAGGGAGGGAAAAACAACATCATTAACAAAAAAGTTATGACAATAAGTGATCTAAACCTTACGAATGCCAAATCAGTTCATCGCCACATTAACTGTCTAAGCTGTGGGAAATGGACCCACTGCTCTCTTTCTCTTTTCCACTCTCTATCTTTCTTTTGAATAAATAAAGTAGGAACATCAAGAAGAAAGGCAAGACAGGGCCTATTTTAAAGTTCTGTTTGGCACATACCGGTAACAGTCGTTGAAGTTGGGGTGACGGGAATTGAAGTAACCTGTACAGAGGCAAGCAGCTGCTCTTGGACATTTGGTAGCTCACTGAAATCAGACACGGACAGAGCATAACTGGGTTCATATGATATTCTCTGCAGTTCTCTGCTATCAGAGCCTCTCGATCCTATTCCAAAAGTCAAGACGCCAAGCTCTTTCAGAGAGGAGGCTGCTGCATCGACACTGTCAAATGACTTGCCCCCGCTAAGCAAAACCAGTATCTGCGGCACACCCTCCAGCCGCCTGCTGCCAGAAGAAGCAGTGAAGACATTGTCTTTGACGTACTGGAGAGCTGCCCCTGTGTAAAGGGGTCTGCCTCCTTTGTGCCTCAGACCCCTGACAGCATCAAGAATTTCTTCCTTTGTCGTGTATGTGTTTAGATAGAAATTGGCCTCTGGTTCTCTGCTGTATTGGACAACAGAAATGCGATCTCTGTTCTCTGCAGCAGCCAATTTCTCCACCATTTTTTGCACAAAGTCTTTCATTGCTGGGAATCCATTTCTAGTTCCATCCGATCCATCCAGAAGGAACACAACATCTCTTCTAAGTCCATCTACTTCAGCTAGGAATCACATTTTGAGAAGTGAAATTGTCAAAAACAATACATTATTTTCCACAGTCTTGACATGAAAAATGCAATAAAAGTTTTGCATTGGATGATTATTATTTTTATTTACAAGTTTACATTGTCTAGTTTCCTAATTGTTAGTTCATTGAAATCAGATGTCATTTTTTAACTGATTATATGAAATAAAATTTTAACTTAAAAATTTAGCAATAATTCTTTTCAAATAAAAATGTCTCCTTAATTGTAATGCAAAAGTTGTACTACACTTACCAATTTGTTTTTTGTTGTAATTTAAATTGTATTTGAATGCTTCAAGTAGCTCTGCTTGGATTTTTGGTAATTCACTGAAATCATTCAATGAGAGCACATTGTTTTCTGAAGATATTTTATGTAACTCATTAGAGTCTGAGTACTGTCCTCCAATTCCATATATTAATATACCATTTTGTTTAAGAGCAAAGGCTGCTTCAGAGATGTTGTCCCTCGATTTTCCACCAGTAAGCAGAATTAATATTTGAGGGATACCTTCTTTTTGCCTGCTTCCCGAGGCACTTATGAAAATATTTTCTTTTACATATCGAAGTGCAGATCCGGTGTTTAAGGGTCTTCCACCTTTATGGCTAAGCACTTTTACTGCATTTAATACATCTTCTTTTCTTAAGAATGAATTTAAATAAAAATTTGTGACAGCAACATTACTATATTGAATTAATGCAATTCTATCTTTATCAATTCCCACATTAAGATTTGAAATAAAATTGTAGAGAAATTCACGTATTTCTGGAAATCCTCTTCTTATACTGTCTGAGCCATCCACAAGAAAAGCAATATCCCTTTTAAATCCTGTGCCTGTGCCATCAACTTGGGATTCTCCTTTATTTCTTATTCCTGTTAGCTTTGCCAAGAGGATTTGACGGACATTTCCTAAGTCATGAAAATCAGAAACAGCCAAGGCATAATCTGTCTGAGTAGAAATGGCTTCCATTTCAATTTGATCTTCCAGCCTTGACCCGATGGCAAAAATTGTAACTCCCATACTCTTTAGTTCATTAGCTGGACCAAAAGGAGTGTCTTGTGATCTGCCACCAGCCACAAGTACAAGATTTTGACTTACACTGCCTATTTTCTGACTTACAACTCTAGGGGTAAAAATCTTATCTTTAACAAATTGTAGTGCCTGACCAATGTATTGTGGTCGTCCCCCTTTTGGTTTGAGGTTGCGTATAGCATTTGCCACCTCAAAAGTTGATGAGTGTGTACTAAGGTTAAAGCTTGTTGCCGCAGTATCACTAAACTGCACAACAGCAATTTGATCTTTTTCTTGGCCAACATCAAATGTCTCTACCAAACTGGCCACAAATTCTCGTATAGCTGTGAATCTATCACTAGCATCATCAGATCCATCAATAAGAAATACAATATTTCTTTTTACATCCAGAACTTGGCCTAAAATAAATAAAAGTGAGAATGTTTAAACAACATTTCTAAAGAAGCCAACATGTTCAGGATACATGAGTTCAGGAAACATCAGTTAATAAAGTTCTTACCCTCAGGAGTTGGATATGTCTCAGGAATTTCATCACCACTTAAAACAGAGACAACTCTTTGGGCAATGCTGTTGATGGAGTTGAAGTCAGGAACAGAAAAGGCATAGGCTGGTGTTACAGACATTGTCTGTAGCTCAAGTGTATCAGCATTTCTTGTGCCAATTGTAAAGACTTTTATGTTGTTTTCTCTTAAATCCTGTGAAATTACTCTGACATCATCTGCAGATCTGCCACCACTAAATAAATACAGAATTTGGGGTACACCCTGATGGCGTCTGCTTCCAGAGGAAGGAGTAAATATGCTTTCTTTAATGAACAGCATGGCAGCTCCAGTGTTTAGTGGCCTTCCACTTTTGTGCCTCAAAGAGCGTATAGAATTTAGTACCTCCTTTTTGGTTGAATATGAGCTGAGATAAAAATTTGCTGTGGGATCTCGACTGTATTGTACAACTGCCACCCTATCGAGATCTTCCTCCACATTTAGACTCTCAACAACCATCTGAATAAAACGGCGAATTGCCTCAAAACCAATTTTCGAATCATCAGAACCATCAATAAGAAATGCCACATCCCTTTTGACAGATTCTGCAATGAGGAAATCAGAGGAAAATACTTGCCATTATGGAAGACTTTAAAACACATTCTACATTTTTAGATAATGTGTTTTGGCAAAACTAATCATGTTGGAAAGTACAATGCCCTTCATTATGCTATACTTCTATGTGCTATAATTTGCATGACACATCTAGTATTGGCTGGTGTACACACATACAATAAAAAATGAAAGAATTGTACCTTACCAGAAACCTGAGTAATCGCTGTTGGTAGGTGTTGGTAAGAAACTTCTTTTACCAATGCTAAAATATTCTCCTGAAGATCAAGAATGTTTCCAAAGTCAGAGATGAAAAAGTAGTTTTGTTGATGAGACAATGCTTGTAACTCAAGTGTATCAGCATTTGTAGTACCAATACTTAAAGTAATGACACCGATGTCTTTCAAAGCTTTGACTGGACCACGTATGTCATCATTAGACCTTCCAGAACTCAGCACAATCAGAATCTGTGGCACACCCTCCAAATGTCTACTCCCTGCAGCTGCAGTAAACAAGTTGTCCTTAATGTACTGTAATGCTGCCCCGGTGTGACGCAGCCTTCCTCCTTTATGGATTAGACGTTTCACATGACTTATAACATCATCTAATGTTGAATGTGCATTTAATTGAAAATCAAAAGCTGTGTCATCACTGTACTGGACCACTGAAATGCGATCTTTATTTGGTGCCACATTCAGTTTCTCAACCAGAGCCTGAACAAACTTTTTCACTACTGAGAATCTTTCCTTTGTGTCATCAGAGGCATCAATTAAAAAAACAACATCTCTCTTTCCAGCATCTGTTGCAGATATTTATAGAGAGAGATGTATATGTAGTTATGTAACTAACCCATAACACCTTTAAATCAGTCATATGCAAAAGTAAATAGATAAACAATCATCATAATCATAATGTTAATAACACTCCTTACCTGTTGTAGATGATGGAAGCCTTCTGGGTTGACGGGGAACTCTTTTTACATATGATAAAAGATTCTGCTCAATAGTTTGAAGGGCATCAAATTGAGGAACAATAAGGGTATGAGCAGGAGTATATGAGATTTCCTGGAGCTGAATGACATCTGCATTTTGGTTGCCAATGCTAAATGGTACAATTTGGTCCCGTTTCAAAGCTGCAGCTGGAGTTCTAACATCATCCTGAGACCTTCCACCAGTCACAAGCACAACAATCTGAGGAACCCCTTCCAGGAGTCTGCTCCCAGAAGGGGCCACGAATAGGTTGTTTTTTGCATATTCAAGGGCTCTTCCTGTGTTGAGGAGATTTCCTCCCAGGTGCTGCAGACTCTCAACTGAATTGAGAACTTTTTGTTTTGTGGCATGTGTGTTCAGGTAAAAATGGACCTGTGGCTCTCTGCTGTATTGGACTACAGACACTCTATCTCTGTTTGGCCCAATATTAAGTTTGTCCACCACTCTTTGAACAAAATGACACATTTGTTTAAATGCTTCCCTGGTGTCATCAGAACCATCCAGGATAAAGACAATGTCTCTTTGAGATGCATCCAATTCAACTAGGGTGAAAATTAAATGGCTTTATTAAAATGACATCCCCAGCAAGCTACATATTGTATACCACATGTAACGTGGTAAATAGTAAATAGTAGTAAATACTTTTCAATAGTATTTACTATGGATGGGACGGTTCATAAATATATATTAAAAAACAATTTGTTTTCTGTTGTCATGGTTCAGTAAGCATGTGTATTGTTTAGTTCGCATCTTTTTTGTTTTGTTTTAGTATCTGACTTGAATTTGTGATCCTATTGTATGGATACCTGGTGACTGCAGTGCTCTCTCTCTCTCTCTCTCTCTCTCTCTCTCTCTCTCTCTCTCTCTCTCTCTCTCTATCTTTCTCTCTTTCTCTCTCTCTCTGCTCCTCTTCCTTAATGTTGGTTTATACTTCTTTGTTAGGTGATCAGCATGACTCTCGGCGCATGCAACGCGTGTAGCTGTGCATTCATACTTCTGCACACTTTTTATGTTGCTCTGCAATAACACTTCCGAAATGCTAGCTGGCACTAGGGGTTTATGTTCCTGTGTGTCGAGTTTCTTCGCTGGTGTTATGTATTTCTAAAAACTTTTTTTAATGAACAAGTGCCTCAAACTCCCTCATTGTGAGGCAGGAACCAGCAGAGTTGCAACAACTTTAATCATAATGTAAACACAAAACAAAATTTTTCATCTAGAGCTCCTTCACGGGACTCGACACTTGTAAACAGTCACTCCAATGGACTTGTGCGGTTCTTGGTCCCGCCCACACTCATCAGCGCTACCAAGCTGACCAATCAAAAAGCTTGGGTTATGCATCATTGCAATGTGTAGTTACGTTTTTTAAAGGTGCGTGTCAGCGACGCCTACAGCCACAGCGAGGACTATGCGTCCACGCGTAGGCTGCGCCGTAGCATACGTGTTCGCTTGACGCAGAAGTATAAATCAGCCTTTAGCCACTCACTCAGCACAGATGCATTGCAGACACCTGAAGCAGTTTGTTGATGTGTTACTATTGTTAAAAACTCAATACTAGCATTTGTGCTAATCTATCTCTCATCTCACAAGTGCTTTTATTTAACATGTTCTTTCACTTCAACATATATGTGAAATACATTTAACATAATGCCCACATACCGCATACAAGTCTAAAGTGAAACCACACATTATTGAACTTGAAAAAAATGACAGCAGCCAAAATTAACATGCTATCATTACCAAGAATCAATAACAAAATACTTGTACCGCTATAAACATTCCTGGAGAGCGCCAAATACATACCAGGAGGTACAATTTGTGTAGTTTCTGTTTACATGAACCTACAAGAGGCTGCTGTGTACACTTTTTGAGATCTCAAATCTCTCTGTACATGGTGAGCTAACTGGGTAAACTGGTAACAGTGGGAAAGCCATCCATATGGAGGTAAGTGGTCAGCTGGTAAGCATGAAAAGGAACAGCGTCATACCACCCCATAGTGTTTGTTTTAAGGACGAAATGCAGCCATACACACTTCAGACTACATAATTTGCAATCTCCAGTAATGTATATAGGTTTTCATGAGCTTATGTAGATTTTTTTCAAATACTGTACATACCGTAGGATATAAGGCTATGCATTTTATGCTGATGCATGGTATTTCTAAATGATATATAAGTGTTGCAATAGGGGATGTCTTTTACCGATTTATTTTGAAAACTGTGACCACAGAACTTTGATATCATATTGAACCTAAAGTTTTCTGAACCGTCCCACCTTTGTTATAAAAAATTTAAATTAAAATCTTAACAATGAATGTAGACATATTTACAACCCATAATCCACTAAATATGTTGCAATGTGTGTGTATTGTATTTTTTAAAATATATATGTTTGAAACATCTTATATTCATTATGAGAGTGTCTGGTTAATTATTAGTGTAATTAACCAGGTAGGAAAGAAATAGGAAAGAACAAGGATGAAATGCCAACAATGATTGAAAAATCATTGGCTCAGACATGAGCTTAAACTGAAAGAAATCTCCACAGGTAGTGAAAATCTTCCATGGTTAAAATAACCAATGGAACAACAAATTTCAGTGATTGATAAAAGCAAAAGATAAATAGTGAATGTTTAGGTGCAAAGACCATTAATTGCCATTCTTTAACTGAGATGTTAAAAAGGTTGAATCAATCAATAAATGGCCACATTGTTAAAACAGGCAGTTAAGTGAAAGAAAGAGATTTTGTTGAAGTTTAATTCCAAACAATTGAATGCCTAAAGTCAAAAGAAAAAGCTTGGATTTTAAGAAAATGCCATGTGTGGTTATTCTTACCAATAATAGTTGGGGGTTCTATCCCCATTTTGGATTTGATAAAGGAGAGGATGTCAGGCTGAATATGTAAAAGTTCACCAGAGACTGGAAGATTAAAAATGAATCTAGGTGAAAATGCTATGGTCTGGAGTTCTGACTCTAAAGCATTCTTTATTCCAATGGCAATGGACAACACGCCAAAATTTTTGAGATCTTCAGCAGGATCTGCCACTTGATCAATGGACCGTCCACCAGTCATAACAATCAACACCTGAGGGACTCCTAGATGATGTCTACTTCCAGAAGCAGTAGTAAAAACATGGTCCCTGACATACTGTAGAGCTGCCCCAGTGTTTATGTTTCTTCCACCTTTTGCTGTAAGGCCATTAATGGCATAAAGTACAGCTTTCTTACTATTGTAAGTGTTAAGTAGGAAGTGAATCAAAGGGTCTTCACTGTACTGTACTACAGCAACTCGAACAATGTCCTGGTCAATGTCAAGATCCAAAACCATTCTCCGAATAAACTCACGAATGGTAAGAAGCGTATTTCGTGAATCATCTGAGCCATCAAGGAGAAAAACTATATCCCGTTTGTTAATTCCTGTATAAAGCAAGTGGCCAAGAAAAGAAAAATAAAGGATATTGGAATATATTTGACTCATTCAATGTATAAATTGAATTGTAAAAGAATTGACAGAACATCAACTGTTTCAATATGAAAGAAAATCGAGGAACATCAGTAACATCGACCCCTCAAAACAATTTTGTGGGTCAGGAGGTGAACAGCATTGAATAAGAAAATGCTCTTCCAAATGAAAATAGTTCAAAATAGTCCAGTGAAATGAACATCTTTGTGTGCAAAAGATGCCAACTAAAGACATGGAAGCCATGCAAAAACACTGAAGAAGAAAGAAAAAAAAATCGTCATTTGAGCCAACATCATCCTATAATTAGCAGTTTCTATGACAGATTTAATGCAAATTTAAAATAGGTAATTCAGCAGGCACTCATATCCATATTAACAATTTTTAAAAGGACCTAAAATTGAACAAAAAAATGAGTTATCATTTGCCTAAAGTGTATGGTCTTACTGTCTGAATTCGGAACTTCCATTTTATTAATTTATCCAGATCTTTTGTGGGTATGCTTTATGGTTGAATTTATTTCTGGTTCTACAAAAAAAGTTTGACAAATCAATTAATATTATATTTAATTTGAGACTGGAATGATACAGTATTCAGCTCATTTAAAACTGCATTTTCCACCCTAATGCTGACTTTCACAATTCTAAGATGTGTAAGAATAATGTAAGGTCGTATTATTTCATAACTACTGTAGATGGTCTGCTGCTCAACAATATTAGCAATTGAAGAAATTCTTGAAGTATCTACCAGATGAAGAATTAAAATCCTGCTGCCTCACAAACTGGAGGGCTGCAACAGTGCTAGTTATGTGTTCACATTTGTGTTACATGACTTTTATGACATTTAGAACCTTGTTGAGTAAGTTCTGAGATAAACCTCATCCACTGAATTGTCACTGTACTGAACCACATATTTCTGTATTTAATCTCCTCAACCTTAATTTTCTCAACAACTTTTTGAAAAAAAAATCACACTGTATTAAATGCACTTTTAGTAGAAATGGATCCATCCAAAAGGAACACAATATCTTTTGTTACTTCTTCGGCATCAGCAAAAACCGTGCACCAGCAGTAAGAGAAACCGTATTCAGAAATAAAGAAGAGCATAGCATGAAGAAGACCACAGCAAAATAAAAAGCACAAGTTTTCTTACCTCTCTCTAGAAATTTCGTCAGGTCTTGTTCTTGAAAGTTCACATAGTTCTTGAGCTTTTCCTGGACAGTGTTGAGCTGGCTGAATTCCTTTACATTGAAAGCAAATGATGGATTGTGAGAGATGGCCTCAATCTCTTTGGGATCTGCATTTTTTACTCCAACACCAAAAGGTACAACTCCCTCAGTCTTCAGGGCAACCGCAGGCTCTCTGACACTATCTCTTGATCTTCCAGCAGTTAGAACGATCAAAAATTGGGGAACATTTTGTGCAGCTCGACTGCCACGTGCTGTTGACAAGACTGTGTTTTTCATGAAAGTCAATGCAGCACCAGTATTCAGACCTCTGCCACCTGCCAGAGTGAGCCCATTTACAGCTCTCAGCACCTCATCTTTGGTTTGGTAAGTGTCGAGGAAGAAGTTAGGGCTTGGTCTATCACTATGCTGGACAACAGACACTCTTACTTTATTAATTCCTATGTCAAGAGGCTCAATCACTCTGGAAATGAAGTCACGAATGTAGGGAAAGTCACCTCTGACATCATCAGAGCCATCTATCAAGAATGCAACATCCCTTTCTCCATGGGAGGGGCCAGGCGTTGGAGCTCCTGTAAAAAATCAAAATCAAAAATTTTAATGAAAAATAGTCTATTGAATACAATTTGTTGTTGTTTTTGCCACATTCAGCTTTCATGAAATTATATAGGAAACTATAAGCAACTTATAGTATTATAGTATTATATTATATATTTATAATCAGTATAATATTATGATTTATAATTTAACTGATAATGATCAGTTTATCATTTGGGGTGACCACTGTTAGGTAAAAAAAAAAAAAAAAAAAAAAAAAAAGATTTTATAGGCTGCTGATATTTCATAATAATCCCCACATTAAAAAGTACATTGATAGACTAATTATAAGGGTGAGGGGATAATTTTGTTCTTTTAAAAATAATAATTATGATTTTGAATGCAGTTATGGAAATGTGTTTCATAAGAAGGTGCTTCAGCTCACCTTCAATTGTATCAGTCTCCCCAACAACAGTGATGAGTGGTGTCATAATTTTTTCAACAACACTTGACAAGTCAGCAAAATTTCTTCTGTAATATGCCAAATCTTCAACAAAAGCAGCAGTTTTCAGAAAAGTCAAATCCACCTGGCCAGCTCCAACAGCGAATGTCAAAACACCTTCTAAAGCCAGTCGGTCTGCAATCCTTTTAGCATCATCTTGAGATGGGCCTCCTGTTATTAGCACCAGTACCTGCTGGACTCCTTGTCTCCTACGAGACCCAGATGAGGTTTGGAAGTGGTTATCTAGAGCATATTTCAGGGCTGCACCAGTGTTAAGTGCACGTCCTCCCATCAAACTGAGCTGTGCAATGGCAGAAAGCACGTTCTGTTTGGTGTTGTGAGAATTCAAATAAAACTCTGTGCGCTGCCCCTCAGCAAACTGCATTAGTCCAATGCGCACTCTATCAGGTCGAACATCTAGCTTGTTGACCACACCGTTGATAAAGTCCTTCACAAAACGCAGGTTATTTCCAACATAGTTAGATCCATCCACCAGGAAAACAATGTCTCGGACAACTTTTTGTGTGTGGACTGTTGTAACCTCCACAACTGGTCCTAGAGGATTTGATATAACCACAGTAATCTCAGTTTGTGCTATAGGTCAGTATCAATAGGCTAAAACACTAAGTAAATAAAAAGGAATAAATACATAAAAACATGCTTAACTAAATAGTTTTATTATAAATACAGAATTTTATGGAGTAATTTATGAGCAATATATTATCCTACAATTTGCTTATTTTTAAACAAATATGCTTGTGACTTACCTGTTTCAGTTGGAGTCTCTGTCACAACAACACCAGACAATGTAGAGAGAGGGGAGATAATTTCTTTGGGGTTGCGTGACAACACCCTGAAGTCTTTATACATGAAAACCACACTGTCATCAAAAGCTATTTCCTTGAGCTCTGCCTCCTGAGCAGCTCTGGTACCTGCAGCCAATGTCAGAACACCCATTTGTCGAAGGGCTTCAGCTGGCTGTTGGACACTGTCTTTGGATTTTTTACTGGTCAGGAGCAATAAAAGCTGTGGCACTCCATCTTGAATGCGACTCCCCCTCTCAGCTCTGAACATGTTGGTCCTCACAAAATCCAGGGCTGCACCAATGTTAATTTCGACTGAAGGTTTGGGTTTTATTTTCACAAGGGCAGAGATCAAAGCCTCTTTTGAACTGAATGAGTTTAGATCAATCTCCATCTTTGGGGTAGTGGAAAACATGGCCACTCCAATCTGCACCTGATCAGGGCCAATTGGTACGGACTCAATAAACCTTCTGATGACTTCACGCGCTACATTGATTCCGATGCTGCCCAAGCTACTGTCTATGAGAAAAATGACATCTCTCTGCCCAACAGCCAAAGCTAAAAGGGAGAAGAAAAAGTAATACCGTTAAGTCATTGTGCAAGTTCTAAACAAAATAGGATAACCTACTGTATGGTTAGCCTATTTAAAACTAATATATATATATATATATATATATATATATATATATATATATATATATATATATATATATATATATATATATATATATTAGTTGAACAATGATTAAACCCCCTATGATTTTTTTTAAGTATTTCCCAAATTATGTTTAACAGAGCAAGGACATTTTCGTAGTTATGTCAGATAATATTTTTATTCTGTCTTCTGGAGAAAAAGTCTTATTTGTTTTATTTCGGCTAGGATAAAAAGCAATTTTAACCCAACCTGCCTAACCTAATTACCCTAGTTAAGTCTTTAAGTGTCACTTTAAGCTTTATAAAAGTGTCTTGAAAATTATCTATTAAAAAATATTTACTGTCATCATGGCAAAGATAAAATAAATCAGTTATTAGAAATGAGTTATTAAAACTATTAGAAATGTGTTGAAATTGGTTAAATAAATAAACATGGGGGTTAATAATTCAGGGGTCTACTAATTTTGACTTCAGCTATATATATATATATATATATATATATATATATATATATATATATATATATATATATATATATATATATATATATATATATATATATATATATATATATATATATATATTACAGATGTGTGATAGTGCAATAAAAACCACCATTCTTTACTTGCTATGAAGTGAAGATAGGTAAATCATGTAAGAAAATAATGGATATGGATTAGCATTCAGTGATTATTTGTTGCAAAACATGAATAATGAATACCACTACAATTACCAAAATTAAAATATATTCTGAAACTAAAATAAAACATGTTTTTTACTGTAGTTCTTCTCTACTTACAAAGCTGACTAATTTTAGTTTAGTCTAAATATTGTATATTAAAGAGAATATAAAATGTTTACATGTCCCGATCCTGACAAAGCACTGCAATGATTTCCTTTTCTTCAGTTTCTCAATGGAATCCCCTCATACAGTGATTACATACCTTCTGTGAAATCTGTTTGAATCACAATGTTGCGCTGGGCAACCCCATTAATGTATGGCAGTATCTGGTCACCCATGCTTGAGACTGTTCTGACATCAGGAGCCGACAGAACAAAGCTTTTGTCTGTAGCAATAGCTTCCAGTTGGGCAGTGGCAGAATCACCAGCAGCAATACCAAAGATGTACACACTGTCCTGTTTTAGTGCCCTGCCGCTCTGACTGACATCATCAGCGGATTCCCCAGCACTGATCACCACCAGTGCCTGGGGGACCCCTTCCTCTGCCCTGCCTCCTGCGTCTTCGCCCAACAGACTGTCTGCCACCTCTTGCAATGCAGCCCCCAGATTTGCCTCCCCACCAGGGTATTTAAGCCCCCGGATAGCACTGAGGACACTCTGTCTGTTGTCATAGCTATTGAGATAGAACTTAATCTCAGGGTCAGCACCATAAAGCACAAGGGCTACACGAATTGCATCCCTGCCCACAGCAAGCCCCTCAATCACTTGAGCAGCCAAACCACTGATGAGGGGGAAGTTGGCAGCTCCAACGTTTTCTGATCCGTCAATTAAGAGTACAAGGTCAGCTGTCCCAGGGGCTTTGAAGAAGTGGAGAGAGGACAGAGAGACAAACAAAACATAATGCCAAAAGTGTGGGTTAAAAAACAGAAAGAGAGAGACAGGGGAAGGGTGCAAGCATAAAACATAATCATGGATAATTACAATCCATCATAAAAACACAACACAAACATATTATACTGCATGTCTGCTGAACCAAGGAAGATGCTTTCTTAATTTCATGCTCTAAAATTGTTTAGAATTATGTTGTGGGGTTTTACAGTATGGTGTGTTTAGGGTATCTGCATGTACAGTATGAAGTTTCTGTGTATGTTCAACTGAAATACTTCCATCTTCATGTGTTCAGACAGACCATGCAGACTCTTGTTACAGTATTCAGTGATTACAGCACCAGTCATGACCCCTTTTGTCTCATCTTTGGACCTTTAAAAATACTTTTGCTGTTACTTCATTAAATTTGCCTGGACTTCTAAAGACTTCACAAAATTGCTCCAAGTGTGACAAAAGCCACACTCTGTCTAGTTTTGTCATATGATAATCTTTTGAGATGATAGTAGGATTAGGGACATTCATGTTCAGATGGAAAACCAGATGAAAGACTATAATGAATAGCATTTACTGCCAACAGGGATGATTGTGAACATTTAGGGGTAAATTACAAATGACTTAATGGCAAAATTTAAATGCACATGAACTGAAAAGCATACATTTTCCATTTAAAAAATATGAGGTCTTTCATTTTGAAAAGCTGTTAAATATGCTCTTTAGCCTTTAGTTAAGTGAAAAATTCAAAGATGAGAACATACAGGTTCATCACTGTTTTCAAAGTGCAGAAATTTTCTTTGCTGCTCTGGTTACACAGTGAAGACAGTCAGCACACAAACACATTAGAATCAGACATCAAGCTCCCAAGATATAAGCTGTACTGGTGGTTAGCCATCATCAGCTACTGATGATCTCTTAAGTCCCAGACACAAACTGGTGACACCTTGTCAAAAAATTTAGGGATGAGTTTGGCAGTGAATATAGTTTTTCCTGACTCTCGAGAATTTAGTAGAGAAATGGATGGTTAAATGAGTAAATGGATAATAGTAGAGGAAGAAGATGGATGTTGATGTTTCTGAAATTGTGTTATAAATATCATTATTCTCTTATGTCTCTACACATAAGCACAAAAAAAGAGAAAAGCATGCAGAAAATGTGTCTGTGTGACAAACATGTCATGTTAAAAGTGTGTGGAACGATTAATCAGGTTATTTATGAGGGCTGGGGGTGGCATTTTGCATAAATTACCTATGGGCAGCTTTAACTGGATCTGCTTGTTCCCAGTGATGACAGTAGCTTTTGAGACCCAGCTATCTGTTGAATCCTTTTGGATAATTTAGCAGTTCTAAACAAGGTACACTCTAAAATAGCCTAGCATTATTTAATTTCCTGTAGAGCAATGGTCTCAAACTACTGGAGGGCCACAGCTCTGCAGTTTAGCTCCAACCACCTCCAACTCACACCTGCTCAATAGTCAGAGCTGCGGCCCTCAGGAATCGAGTTTGAGACCTTTGCTGTTGAGTATTAATTCACTTACTTCCCTTTTTAGAAACTATTTTGGTAAAGATATTTTTTTCTAACTGTCTTCAATAAACTGTTATACTTGTGATCAGCATTGAAGGAGTTCTATAATGATCATATGTTGAACAAAAAGTGTGTAACTTTATAATAACTACACACTATGAATCATTTATTAGGCATTAGCAAATAGTTAATTATTTTGTAAGCAATAACTCTACATTAATAGACAGTGGTAAGCAGTTTGAAACTTCAACTACACATGCTGCATTCTTGACAACACATGCAGAATATGCGAGAACTATTTATGGTTTATAAACCCCTTATAAATGACAATTTAAAGCTTAATGGCTATTTGTAACAGTATATAAAAACTGCTAACTAACATCTATTAATGTAGAGCTAATGCTTAACAAATAGTAAAAAAAAGCTTTTTTCTAATGCTTAATAAATGATTCACTGTGTGTAGTTATTATAAAGTGTTAACAAATGGGGTAATAAAACAGAATATTTACCTATAGAGCAAAGAAAAAAACATTTTTAAGTAATTTTAAGCACTCTTCTTGAGCAACTTGTGCACCGTCTGTGGCACAGTCAAATAATTATGTTTCACCTAAACAGGAGGTTAAACCTTCAAATACACATTGTACAACCAAAAATATTAAATTAAATAAACTTACCATCTTGAGCTTCAAGTTTTGGGAATAGGCCAAAAACCATTACACCCCAGAGGGCATAAAGTAATAACTGCCTCTTCCCCATAGTCCACCAAAGTGTCAGAATAGACAGCTAGAGGGGGAAACAACAAAACTGTTTTTATGGAACAAAAAAAAGAGCATATAAACTTCAAGATCTTTTTTACTCTCACACAGTGTCCTAAAGAGGCAGACTGAATGTTTCACAAGATCTTCTACAACTCTGTCATTACTTTGCAAAGATTGATAATGTTTTGCTACTAAATTATAGGTATCAAATGATCAATACTCTAAATATAGTCACTTATTGGGTTGTTTGTGTTCTCATCTTATCTCATAAAATATGACATCAACATTCTCTAAAATACCTTAGGGCTGTTTACGCTTACTTTTAGGAGCAGAGGAAGGGATTTGGCAGAACAGTAAAATTGATGTGACCTGTTTCCACCCTGTGAGCCAAATCCACACAGCTGTCAGATTTCAGAATTTTTAAAGATTTCTTCCCACATCAGCTGCACTCACTTGCCAATAAAAACCACTGAGCAGTCCATAAGTGAAAAAAATGAACACAGACAAAAATGCAATAACATGTAGACAGATAGATGCCAGAACACAGAATTCAATGCCCTTTACCATGTTGAGCTCACACTCTGGAAGGTTATGTCTTGATAACTGGAGGACTACAGGGAAATGACATGCTTAAAATCACATCAGTCTCAGCTGCTGGACTCGTAAGGTCATGGTACAAGTAAAGTAGTTTCCTGGTGTGTTGCCATGTACCAATATGCTAATACACAAAAAGGGCAGTAGTACACATTGCTCTAGAAAAATAACAAATCGTTTCAGGCAGTCAGTTCTCTGGATTTGCCATTCCAATGTATGTGTTTTTAAGTAGCAGCTAGTTATCTGCAGCTCTCACATGGTTCCCCACTGAAGCTAACTAAGGCTAGGTTGCTGTCGAAAGAGGCCAACACACCCTATAGTCATTGTGGGTCATTCTCACCCTATGGTCTGTTGCAAAAATGTAAAATGTTAATTCCGCATTTTATTTTGTAAACTACAGTTAACTACTGATGAATTTGAAATACAAAAATTATAGTTTTTATTAATTTCAGAAAATAGATCAACTGGTCTATATATATATATATTTATATATATATATATATATATATATATGTATGAATCCATTCTGGTGGATGACATATGACTTAAGCTTAGTGTCAAGAATTAGAAGTAACAAAAATATAAACAAATTAAAAAACAATGATTCGTTTTTTTTTTTGTTTTGTTTTTTAAATGGAGGTCAAAGATTTAAGTCACAAAGAGGCCTTTGTAGAAGCTGTTTTTGTTTGAAACTGTACATAAAGTTTTAAATGTAAATACTATTTTAACAAAAATGCATCAATTTGCTACAGAAGACTTTGCTTAATCATCCCCTGGAGCCATAAAAAAACTAAAATTGGATTTCAGAGTTTCTAAGCAAATTAGTTAAATTATGGTCTAATTTTATTCCTTGGGTGAACAAATTATTTAACATTAAACAAAGATAGAGAGACTGTGGAATTGCCAATTGTAAGTAAAATAAAATTGGTGGATATTGTGAAATTATATTTAGTAAGAATTAAATATGTTTAGTCAGTACTTAACTTGAGAAAATTGCGGGAGAACCAAGCCCTACTTTCCTCTATAGGCTACAATCCAAAGAGAGAAAAAATGTTTTTATAGACTTTGCACCTTTTACTGTGGAAAAAAACTAAATATGCTCTAAATGATAATATATATATATAATTTTTTTTTTAATACACAATATCAGTAGTTTATAAAATTATAATATTTTTCTCTTAAAACACTTACCTATTAATTGCAATCCACTGATAATTTGACGTGGAATATATTGTTTTCTGCCATATTTAAAGCTATAGTTATGAGACAATGTGGCATGTTAATAATTCTTAATATTAATTAAAGCAATTGTGATGTAAATGCTAAAGTAAGGTGAATCCTAAGAAAAAATATTCTTAGAAAAGTTTTTTATCTTGTATTGGCTAAGTTAAACAGTCCAGACATGTTAAATATTCAGAAATCAAAGAATAATTTTTAATTCAGATGTTAATTACACTTATCATGCAAACTACTTAATACAGCATGTTATTGGTGATACCTTTGACTTTCATATTTGAACATTCACAAGATACTCTTCAAAAAGCATGCAGCCCCTGTTTTTGTTTCTTCTTGGAGTTAATTTGTTGGAGAAAAGGAGAAAGGGAAAATGTATTTATTTAACACCAGCACAACTGGATAGCCACATGAATTATAAAAATAAAATAATACATCTGTTACTTCACATTGACTTGCTCTAGTTATTTCAAATTTGCAAATTGCAAAATATTGCTGACAATTACTGTCATGCAGATCATGCATGAAGACATATTGAAAACCCCATAAACTACAGTTTAGAATAATAAAAAATAAAGTCACTTCACTCTGCAACAATATTTTTTAGGGAACTTTCAAATCATAGACATCTCTTTGTATTGTTTGACTTGCCAGCAACATTTTGCTGCCTCATTCTTTAATGGTTTTTAAGGTTCCAATGCCCAAGGAACAGTAATGAGATGAGAAACATGTGTTTGAACCAAAACCAATTTCTGTCTTCTTCAACACAGATTGAAATAGTGCCAAAAGCTTCTCACAGCATCTCAACAATGTCCTCTAGTGGCGGAAGTGTGGAAAACTATTTCTCCCTATAAGTCCTCTCAAATCTCACACAACAGAGAACATTGAAGGAAGAAATACTGTGCAAAAACTGTACCTTTAGCCTGTTACTGGAGAAGTACAATCAAAGGTACACAGACAGTGTACCTCCCCATACAGTGTATATTATTAGTGAATGATTCTGTGCATGTTTGAGGTAATAATTCTGCTTGAACACTATGCCTACTGTATTGGCATGCACATAATAATTGGAAATGCAATGGATCTATGTTTTCCGGTATTTTCAAGGGTCCACATCTGGTTCTGCTTGGCTTAAGTTTAATGCTTCAGCTCTAACTCTCCCAACATTCTTTGTCCATCTGGCAGAGACAGTGGAAAAAGTTTCTCACATCACCCTGTCTTTATACAGTGCTGGACAGAAGGTGGTTTTGAAAAGCACCCACAGTGAAATGTGCTTCCTGATATGTTCTGCCTCTTGCTTCTATTTAAACGAGGTTACAATCAGTGTTATCTTGATCAAACCAAAATCAACACAACTTTACCAGCCTGTTATAAGGACAATTCTGCAAAATATACTTCTAAAAAGTATGTATTCTACACATTCAAAAAAGAGATAAGGTAATCAAAGAAGGTTATGTGTAACCAAACAACTACCACTTGCAGTAACAGCAGTCACAGAAACATTTCTACCAAATGTCTCAGTCTTAACTCATTCTTACAGCACAGAGCCCCTCCTCATGTTTTATTTTATCAGAGCACACTTGCACTCTTCTGCTTTGCCTCTTCCTGTGGTGCAAGAAATTTCCCTTTTTCCCAAAGCACTGGAATTTACAGTACCATTTAAACTATAATTAAGAAGTAAAACCTCCTACACATTATGTGCATTGGAGAAGCAATACAAAACCAAAAGCATCCACCACACAACAGCAAAGTGACTTTTAGCACTTTTACAAAAACATATTTACCTCTGGAATGAAGAATTCAGAGCGCTGTATTCCGCTCTTTCTGTGGGATATTCAAACGTCTGCAAAAAGACAACTGTTAGGTCATTATCTTCCAGGTATTTTCCTTCTGTGAGTTGGTCTGAATGTGTCAGGCAGAGACGACGCTGATTAGCTCTTCTGTGCCTTTGGTCTGTGTGCTCTCCAGAGAAGAAGTGCCACTCACTCCTGCCCGGGACAGAACACACAACTCAGAGAATCCTGGAGAAAAGCCACCCAAATTTTTCCACGCCTCTACTTGCTTCTTTTTTTCAGAGAGAAGGAAAAAGCATAAAGTGGAGGAAAAAGAGAGTGAGAGAGTCATTAATAAAAAACAGACCCAATGCCGTATTTGGTGTGTATATTCCTTATTTGGTATGTGATGTAACAAACCAGGGCAAGTTTTTTTTCTTTCCTCTTACACTCCTCCATCTCAACTTGTATCCTTGGCGACCCACTGAACGAATAATCACAAACATGCCATATGAGTTTTTTCGCTTGTGGAATATAAAAAGCTGTGTAGTATCAAGTTAAATAACGGTGGAAAAATTGGACTTTGGGATGTTTTCTTTTCTGATTTTGAACAACAATAATGAAAACACTTTATATTGATGGCCCACTTTAGACATCCTGTTGAAGTAACTTCACAACTTCATGTCATCTAGCAGTCAGAGTTATAGTAGACTATCTGCTTAATATTTGCTGACATGAATGTTTGTTTATTTTCCCGAACAGACATCCTACACACTATACACACCTCTGAAAGTGTTTCAACTCTTTATTTTAACCTTAACACAAACAGTCTGCTGATATTGTACTAGCTGATATACTTTTCTAGTTTGGTTGACATACTTGTAAATTCACCTATAATCACGGAGACATCAAAACCAAATATTTGGGAAAATAAAACTCAATGTAAACTTGTTACAGTTGCATCATGTTTAATATTACCAGTCCAGAATCATAAAACATATTAAAATGATGAGTAAATATGCTTTAATATTTTGTAATCCACAGGACAAGTGATTTCAGTAAAACACAAGCTAAGTAAGATAAGCAGAAAAGTGGATAGTTGATCATTCTCAGAAATCTCACACTTACTGATTGCTGTGTTGAAAAGCAATGCAATTACTGAAAAGTACAAGAATACTTAAGATTGAAGCCAGATAACTCAATTTTGTGTCAAGTAATTTCACTGTATCTCAGTGTTGGATCAACCAGTCTCTCTGTGCTTTGAATTGTGTCAGAACCCTACAGAATTATCATGAGCCTTTCACAGCCGATGCCAGTGTAGCTCAAATTTGTGGTTGACAAACACAATAAGACATGTGATGAACAATTTAGCTCTGCTGTGGGCAGTTTTAACCTGACAATATGAAAATAAATCGATTAATTGTGACCTACATCAAGGGCGTGGGTTTGCACTTGACATTGGTGGGGACGGGTGAATCGAACAACCCCCAGCCCCCACAACCCCAAGAATAAATATCGTTTTGTATAAAACTGCTATTAAAATATATGATTAATCCTCACTTTATACAATTTATTTGCATGATTCAAAAGACCAAAAGGATTATTGTTTTTATTATTATTATTATTATGTTTGAAATACTTAATACTCAAATGGCCAAATTCTGATTGAGGAAAGCTGAATGTACTGGCCAGTTAGTTATTTGCTTATGGGCTTCAGTTTTTAATTTAAAACAATTTTAACAGATAACAGAAAAAAAATATGATAGATGATAATATATTTGTCTTTTAAAATTAATCTTTTCATATTTATTTATTATACATTTTTATTATTGTTTATTCATTCATTCATTATCTTTTTGACTTTGTCCCTTTATTCATGAGGGGTCGCCATAGTGGAATGAACTTATCCAGCAAATGTTTTACGCAGGAGATGCCCTTCCAGCTGCAACCCATCACTGGGAAACACCCATACACACTCATTCACACACATACACTATGGACAATTTAGCATTCCCAATTTACCGGTACTGCATGTTTCTGGACTTGTGGGGGAAAACGGAGCACCCGGAGGAAACACACGCCAACACGGGGAGAACATGTAAACTACACAAAAACACAGACTGACCTAGCCAAGGCTCGAACCAGCAACCTTCTTGCTGTGAGGCGAACGTGCTACCCACTGCACCACCGTGCAGCCCATTTTATCATTTTCCTAAAACTAATAAAAAACTTATTGTTTAAATGCACATTTGTAAATAAACACTTAAAATAGTAAAATAGTATGGAAGCAATTTGACAAAATGGTGGGAAATATTTTTTGGTACATCAAAAGTCTGGTTATGATAACCAAACAACAATATAATCCAGCAAAAATTAGTTCTTAAAATATCACTAAAACACAATCTTTATACATTGTAATTCAATGGAAAAGCAGGCAAATAACTCCAAAAAGGTTCAGTTTTTTAGAAAACAAATAACCACCTCTTCCAATAAGCTGCTGGGTACTGAACTGTGATATCAAGTTAAAAGAATGTTTATTAACTGATAAAGAGAGAGTATAATAAAGACTTCCATTTATTTTAGCTACAGTGCAAAGGTATTTCAGCATCATATATCAGCATTAATACAAGATGGAGGCTGTAGTTTTTCTGACAAATTGTTTCAACCGAAATTGGACAAGCTACTCTGAGAGATTAGGAGAACTGGCAGGGATCATTTATTTGCACTTGTAGCTGTTTGTTGTGCAGTTAGTTTTCAGGGAATATTACTCACAGACTATAAGTCTTTTATAATGTTATACTGTCCATTATAGTGGGGAAAAACATGAGCATTAACGACATTATCATGATACTCATACTCATTCAGTAGCGAACTTGAGTTTATGTGACTTACACTTTTCGTTAAAATAAGCTTGTTATGTCCACCTTTTTTTGCTGCCGCCATCCTCAGTTCAGTGTGTGTGACACACCTTATTCTTGCACAGGAAATTCTTCTGAGCTGTTTTGGTTCTGTTAGTTTTAAATGCAGCTACAGCCTTTCACACGACAGCAGGGAAAGGCACAGCCAATCACAATGTTCATATTCAATTCAATTCAATTCAATTCTATTCTATTCACCTTTATTTGTATAGCACTTTTACAATGTAGATTGTGTCAAAGCAGCTTCACATAAAAGATCATAGTAAATTGAAACAGTGTAGTTCAGTTTTCAGAGTTTAAGTTCAGCTCAGTTTAGCTCAGTTCAGTGTGATTTAATAATCACTACTGAGAGTCCAAACACTGAAGAGCAAACCGTCGATGCGCAGCCCTACAGATCCCGAACCATGCAAGCTAGTGGCGATAGCGGCGAGAAAAAAACTTCACCAACTGGCAAAAGTCAAGGCGCCAGAGGCAGGAAGCTAGACCATATGTGTTTGGGGGGCAGTGCGACTCCAGGAGAGATGAGATTTAACCCTTTCTGCATGTCTAGGTTAATATTGACAGCGCAATTGTTTTATGGGTGGGGACACGTCCCCTCCATCCATGCTAAATCTACGCCCCTGATCTATATAGAGTGACAGCAGATCAAACTCACTACAGTTTGACAAATATTGCAGCTGTTGGACAACATTATGCACTTTTGAGTTTTTTTTGGGCAAGAATGTAGTTGTTTAGATTGCAGCTATGCAGTTTATTTATAAGCATAGTGCCTATTTTAAATATTCATAATTTCGGAGATTCAGAGTGTTAGCTGCCGTCAGCCTGTCATATTGAGCAGACCTAAGACTGAGCAGAGCTAAGCCAAAAGATGATGAAAGAGACTGCATAACAAATCTTAAGTTTAGTAAAACAGCATGTTCTCTAATTTTCACATATTATTACTGGTGGGAAACTAAGGCCCACGCACACCTCCCACCAGTGCTGATATATAGCCATATCACACTGTTACTCATGTGATATTGCTTATATACACAAAATGGGTCATGTAGGGCACTTTTCTGTCAATTTTCTTCTAGAAGAGAAGTAGACTACAACTAATAAACAGGTAAAACAGAAAAAACAAAGCATGAAACTGCATCTCCTGCATGAGCACACACAATATTTTATGTAAGTGTATGTGCTATAACTGCTAGGCCATTATATTCTTTCAATTTGATTGAAGATGTTTGTGTGCACATACTTTTGGTAAAGTTTTAACAATTTTGCCAAAACCACAACAGTCAAATGCTTTCCGTTTACTTCCCAGTCTGGCATTGTTCTTTCTCCGCTCCTTTCCAACACGACAAAATATATTTCAGTCTTTCATCAGAAATAAGCTACCAGCCCAAATGAATAAATATAGCAAATACTTTATGTGTGGATAAGTTTCTGGCTTTTTATACGTTTACAAGCAATTACCATACAATGCCACTAATATGCTTTAAATGTTTATCTAATGCACAGATCATCATGTTAACTATTGAATAATTAAACAATGAATGATTAGTACCATTTTATATGATTCATAGATAATTAATAAACTCAAGTAATAATGTATTAATTGAGCAATTCCATGAAAATGTCAACCTTGCCATGAAAAGAAATTAGGTTCTCACCAAAATAGCTAAACAGTTTCTACATTTTTGTGTAAGCAAGTATTACAGTACTTTGAAAATACTTAAAAATGTCTCTGTCAAGGTTTCCTAACTATTATATTTTATTAACCCAGGTCACACAAGAGGAAATTTCACAGCTGCCACATCCATAATGGAGAGATGTCACATCCATAGCAAAGTTTTTTCCCCATAAATGCAAAAATATTAAATAAAATCACAGAATTTTATTCTATAGTGTTCCAACTATTCTCCTTTTGATTAGCATCATTTCTTTTGGGTTGTGCAGTTTAATTCACAGAGTTTTTACAAAGTATTTTGTATACTGTAAACTTGCTAACCTTTTTGGTCACCCCCATAACGCATGTTTATTTTCCTCATTTAACTATAAAATATGTTTACAGATTGACATTTCCTTATCCCATAACTCTGTGGCTAGTTGTTTTAGAAAATATAAACAGATGCTTTTATTATGATGCTAACATTTACAGTTGAAGACAAAATTATTAGCCCCCCTGAATTATTAGTGCCCCTGTTTACTTTTTTCACCATTTTCTGTTTAATGGAGGGAAGATTGTTTCAGCACATTTCTAAGCATAGTAGGTTTAAAAACTTATTTCTAATAACGGATTTATTTTATCTTTGCCATGATGACAGTACACTGAAAAAAGTGTTGCATGCAGAACTGTTGCAAACAATTTATTTGTGTTGAATTTAAACAAACAAATTAAGTTGAATAATGGTCAACCTAATTTGTTTGTTTAAATTCAGCCCAAATAAATTGTTTACAACCACTTAACGTAAAAAAAAAAGAGTAAATCCAAGGAATCATCTTTGAATAATTTTTTTCAGTGTAAATAATATTTTACTTGATATTTTTCAAGACACTTCTATACAGCTTAAAGTGACAAAGATTATCG